CTAAACACCAGACGGCAGTTTCACTCGTTTGGGGCCGAGTTCATCAGCGGTGTACTCGGTTCAACTCAGCTCAGAGTGCTGAATCAGTTCATACCAACTCAATGATAACTAAATTACAAAATTAGAATTTCATTTATGGTAAAACCGGTTTGAACTAATTCGGGCATCTCTGAGCCGTTTTTAACCTGTTACACCGCTCATCTCAATCAATCAGTAGTAGTACATTGTTGAAGTTATTATAATCTTCTATACAGGTTGGTTTTCAGTAAGTCAGTTTCTGCAACCAACTGTCGTCTCGATAAAGAAAGGAAGACGAAATTTGCAGTATAAAATAATATCATCATTCTACTTCACAGGTTCTCATCAGCTGCAGACTACCTGAAATTACAATGGTTATATAAATGATAATAACATAGTTTAATGTTTGAGTGGTAGTAGAGTAGTACTTGCGGGAGCAAGTACATTGGAAGGACAGAAAGAAGGGCTTCTATCCGGTTTTGTGAACATATTCCAAGAAACCTATGCCTGTAAGGAAGCAAATATTCTCGGAGTGCAATTACCAGACATATTGTTGATACCGGACATCTCGTAGAGATTTCTAAGTCCATCAAAATATTAAATAGACAAAGGACAGCAAATTTACTACGATTTGCCGAAGCGATCGCAATCAAACGATTTAAACCAGACTTATGCATACAGAAAGAGAGTGTGATTAACCTCTCACTCCATTAGTAACTGAATTTTGATTTTGATTACATTAATTAGTCATCTAATTCAGTGATCTGAATTCACTGAACAAATCTCATTCTTATAAACTGTGACCGCTTTTGTTTTTTGAGTTGTTATGTAAACCTACAAGCTTACACTTTTCTGTTAATTAATTTTTTTCTGTTTCAACTTTGAAAGCGTATAAATTGATGATGAAAACTTAAACTAAAAATTGTAATGCTTTCATTTTGGATGGGTCACTTTTATAGTATCTTTTGTCTACTACAACTCAAACATTAAAGTATGTTATTATCATCTATATAGTCATTGTAATTTCAGGTAGTCTGCAGATGATGAGAACCTGTGAAATAGAATGATGATATCATTTTATGCTGCAAATTTCGTCTTCCTTTCTTTATCGAAATTTATCAAGGGAACCAAATGTATGAAACTGTCGTCTGTCTCCTTTAACATAACATTTAAAGGATGGAATGTGTCATCCAACTCTTCTTAGATAATGAAACATAACCGTGTATGTATGACCAGAGGTGAATAAACACGAGAATCACCCATGTCTTTGTTCAGATCAAGACTAGTGGTCACATCTTTTAGTGGACTACTTCTTTAAGCTTGCCAAAAGAACATCAGCTACGATAGGCCCTAATATACACCCTGTGACAACTCCATCACGCCAGAAAATCTGAACTACACATTAAAAGCACATCTTAAAATCAGCTCCCTTGTAAAATTTACTAGTATTCCCATGTTCGTGTAGCCATATAGAAAACACAACAACCGATGAAATTAAAAGTATCTAAAAGGTTTTTTTTTAAATGCAAAAATATATGAACGAAATATTCCCATATTGAGTCATAAGAAAAAGACGTAAACAACGAAGAAAATTTTCTTTTCGAAGATTCATTTTCATGAGCTGTACAATCGTAATTATATTTAAAAAAGAAATCGTGAGAGCAATCAGATACTGGTAAAATTTATCTTCGAGAAATGTATTGCGTAATGTAAGTTGTAACCTAGATGGGATAACTAATTAGAAGTTAGAAAAGAGGTAGAAGTTGGCATGACATAATAAGTGTGGGTGGCATAGCGATTAGGACGCTCGCCGACCATGCACATGGTCCGGGGTTCGATTCCCGGCGGACGAACTCCTTTACCTCGCTAAGCCAGAAATAATGCTGATGAAGAGGAAAGGTTGGGCATGAGGCTAGCAACTCCATCCTGTAAAATAAGCACTGCTACAGAAACTTCAGGGCACTAGCTTGAGGCCCTATGTTCCACTGGGGAACGTGAACTTTCTCACCTATTTATTACAAATACACGAATGTACAGACTAGTTGATGACTTCGTCGAAAAGAAAATTCTCTTCTCTGCAACCGTCTTTTTGTTATTCCAAAGGTATATAAATGAAAAACACTTTTTGAAATTATTTCTTCCTCAGACTTTACTCTAATGTACACAGCTTCATAAACAAGCTTTTTTTAAGCAATGATGGTGAATTTATGAATCAGATATGAGTGCTAAATATTGGAAATATGACCATAATAAAAATGATTATAGTAAGGTCAATGATAATGAAGTTGGTGATAAGCATAATAAAGACAGCATGATGCGATATACGTTTCAGTCGTTAAATCAGGTGAAAATTTGATAAAAGTTACATAATCTCAGTGATGCTCAAATTTTAAATCAATGCGAAGAATATATGGTAAGAAATAAGAAAGGGTGAGGAGTTTCAATTAGTTTACCTACGCCTATCTCCCGAATTCCCCTAGCTTCGGCTATATTTTATGGAAGATGAGTTCAAATTCCTTTCGAAAGCGTTTCTTCTATCTTCCTGGTGACCATTATCAACCCAAATGAGACAAATTAGAGCTTCTTCTAGATTTTGTTTAACCTTTTACGAATCATGAAGAAAGGTACTCGAAAATGCGTTTTGCAAGTTATTGTATTAGCCAATGAAAAGGTGTATAAAGGAGATCTAATATCAGGCTCGGAAGAGCGGTATTTCAGTGTTCTTTTGGGAGACTCCATAAACAATGTCCGGTTGAATTAGATTTTACTTCTTGTGCTAAGCTTTACTAAAGCAATTATTTGTGAAAGACTATGTACCTTGTATTTCATCACTTTAATGTGGGAGAATATTTCCATCAGCCTAAGAATAAGGGATGATGTTGCACTGTTCAGGTAACTAACTACTTGTCTCTTCAGAAATACTCAGATGTCCTCTGTCAAGCGTTGGCGTATAAAGAGCGAACCTTGCAGTTGGTTTATCCTAGCTGGTTTTTCAAAATTTGTACAAAAGTTAATTCACCTTCACACGGGCAGTTGCCACACGATTTAAATTTACTGAAAATTTCACTGGTTTTAGATTTTGTTAAGTCTTCAAGTGAACTATCATATTTCGTTTAAGCATTTATTATGTACAGACACTCATTGAGAACGCAAACCGAAAATGTTAGTTTTTTAGATATTTAAACGAATTTAATAATCATTAAGGACTTTTAGAATTTGTACGTCTTACAGAGAATGAACCAGAAGTGTTTGTGTTTATAGTAAGATCTTATAACTTGTTCAGCCCAGTTATACACTTAGATATATCTTGTACTCTCATTCTTTCTAATAAGTCGTAGTTAACCCTGTTAATATATTTTTCAATTACCGTTTACGTGTTTGGGCTACACACACTTGGTGTGATAAAGCTAATAAAAATAATAATCAGTTACGATTGTCAGGTTTTCGTCATGAACCAACATCAGTTAGAGAGATCATTAAAAACTAGCTAAGAGCACTCGACAGCTGTTTCGTCCCAGTCGGAGACTCTTCATCAGAGACTGAATCTACCACCTTAAGGTTACGAGACCAAGTTCGTTGATCATTTAGTCACTTGTGATGGAATTCAGTGACCCCTGAATTCTAATTTCGTCAGCTGGTGATATAGAGCTGCCCTCATCAATGCCTTAGATAAGCACCTATTTCATCTTGACTAGTTGGACCTCACTGGTCACGACTTCGCACTGCAGCTTCAGGAAATCCATGCAGTGGGTTTACACTGCTGGGGAGCCCCATAATAGGACGAAACAGCTGACCAGTTCACCCGGTTCTGGTGTTCAGTGATCTCTATAACTGATATGTTGGTTTGTAACGAAAATCTAACAAATGTAATTAATCCAAAATCCTCACAAATCCAATAAGCTCAATAATCAGTCACATAGATCGAAGCAAATGAAATGGGATTTGAAGCATGGATGGATTGATTTAAAGTCAAATTTATAAGCCTATAAGCTGCCTCTCTATTACATATTCCTTTACACAATTCAGCAATTTACAACATATTAGTATGCAATTTGAAATTCATTTGTATTTTCTAAACGTAAATGATTACTGTAAGCAAAAGTACATTTCATGAATCTAACTCATACAGTACAATTACAATATCTTCTTTCTTATTTTTTTTGAAATCTCTTATTTTAGATGCTTGAAACAAGAGGTGTTGAGAACTTGTTGACTGTATTGAAAGTACAAACAGCTCATAAAAATGCTTTAATTGCTTCAGTTTTATTAGCTTACAATGCATGTCCTGCATTTTATACAGCACATGCACCTAAAGTCAAGTATGTTAAAACTAATAACAATTATGTTGTGAAAAAAATTATGTGTAGTATTCACTCTCTAAAAGCTGACTCTTAAAAATCAATCTGATGATGTTCGCTAGTAACTGAGCTACAGGAAGAAGTTGAATGGAGTTCTAGTGAGGAGTTGTGACCAGTTGGATCCGTCAGGTCGGAAGTGAGGAAAAGTACTCGAAGGCGATGACACTGGCTGGTGGTCATGCTATAATCACGAAACGATAGAAGCTAGAATTCATGGGCCATTGAGTCAAATCAAAGTTGAAATAAAACTAATAATTTCAGTTGTAAATGATGTTGTTGAACTTTGAGTTCTGTAATATTGAAATAAGTGTATGGGGATCAAGTATTAATATACAGTTTAGAAGTTTGTTCATCAGTACAAAAACTGTATAACTCCTGCTTCCAAATCTATGCTGATGGGGACGATCTCTTCACCAGGCATTCTACACCTATCATTAGAGTTTAAACCAACATCCGATGAACTGGTTTAGTAGTGTCATATTTTCGTCAAACTGTCTCTATGCATTCTCTAACCTAATCCTTTTTCAGTTTAGATTGTTCGTCAAAGAAGGCAGTGGTTCATCATATGTAATATACGTTGTAGCTTCTTCAGTCTACTGATTTTCCCTCCATATCTAATACTCCAAGCCTAACCCCATTGTCAGTAATCAAATGATACCGCCTAAAGTGAGAGACTGAACAGACGATGCTCCCAAATCATCACTTTATGTTCCAGCTTTAACACTCATGTTTAACAGTCATAAAGTAGAACGACAGGAGATCATTCACAGTACACATATATTCGGATGAACAGTCGGATTTCACCAAGGCATGAAAGTTAACTCTGGTTAGCATATCCCTAGGAGGCATTTTGTACCTATGATTTGAATTCTTCAGTCTCTTAGGGCTGATGCAGCTTGCCAAATAAGTCAAGTAGTTTAAACACTCATTATCTTCGCTCCGTATCCTTAAACTAGGAGTCAGTGTAAGCCATTCCTATAATATAATTTCGAATGTGACAGGAGAGTAGCGTTGATTGAACTCTTAACTTTTGTGTAACCACTGTCATAAATATTGTATTTAAATTGCTTTCTTTCGGATAGTTAAGCTTAACTACCTTAAGTTGTAGCTAACAAATCTGTAATTCAGGTAATATCAGTAGCGAAAGCTAAGGCTTATAAGATTTTTAGGGCACAAATGTAGTCTAACCGTTGTTCGCGATGATAACTATTCTGAACCGTTTGCCAAAATACATCACTAACCTATTAATTTCTAACCTAAAAGGATTAAACAGCCGTTTTTAATTTGAATTGCATCAGTTTTTCTAGCGACCACCATTGATATAAAAGAATTTCAGCTGATTTTAGTAACCAACATTACATATTGTGAAATTATTCTCTACGTTTTCTAATTATTATTCTAAATTTTGAGTAGCGTGAAAGTTTTAGTGTTTCATTATTAATATTATTATTTCTTGGACTGACGTGAAGAACCTAGAAGATCTGGATTTCGCGGATGGTTTATGTTTAATGTCACACAAAATCGAAGACTTACAAGCGAAAACCGACAAACTGGTCGAAGAAGCAGCAAAGACCGGACTCCAGGTGAACATAGACAAGACGGAGATTATGAAAATAACCAACCAACAACAACAACAACGACAGCAACATCCAGCGCCAATCACCATCAACGGGAGGGATTTGAAAGAGGTTACTTCATTCACTTATCTAGGGAGCATTGTCTCAACTACAGGAGGAACGGACGACGAGGATGTCAAATCGAGAATCGGGAAGGCGAGAAACACATTCATCAACCTGAAACCAATCTGGAAATCTTCGTCACTCAGCCTGCATCAACAACAAAATTCGGATTTTCAATACAAACGTCAGGTCAGTTCTTCTATATGGATCAGAAACTTGACGGGTCACAAAGAATATTTCCAACAGCCTTTTGCAGACCTTTATCAACAACTGTCTTCGCTCTATACTGAAGATCAGCTGGCCGGAAATAATCACCAAGAAGAAACTATGGGAAGAAACAAAACAAGAATCAATCGCTTAACAAATATTCAGGAGAAAGTGGATATGGATTGGACACTCACTGAGGAGGCCGCTGGGTGACATTGCGCGTCAGGCCATAGCTCGAGTGGAACCCGAAAGGGAAGCGGTGAGTGGGACGTCCAATGGTGACATGGAGGAGATCGTGTAAAGAGGAGTTGAAACAGTATGGATTAACATGGATGCAAGTGAAAAGTGGAGCAGAAGACAGAAGCAAGTGGAGACGTGCATTTGAAGCCCTTTGTTCCACTAGGAACCCAAGGGAACAATAATAAATAATAATAATTTCCTTGAGTTCCGAGTGGAACATATGGCTTCAACAACACATCTTCTTTTTCTTCTTTTTTCCGCTCTCCTCTTCGTCTGGCTCCACAATTGACCATAATCTCTCAATCTACACCTCGCCATACGATCTCCTACATGTCACTCTGGGACCAATGATCCACTCGTCACTTTCTATTTGGTTTCCACTCGAGCAGTGGCCTGCATTGAACGTGATGACATTCGATGACCTCCTCAATGTTTATCCGATTAACCTGCATTTTCTCCTACATATTTATTGAGCGATCGGTTCTTGGTTGGTTCGTCACCAGCCAGAGTCCCACTTTGCTAACTCTTTCTTCCTGGCCAGCTGGCTATTTGATCTTCAGTAAGGAGCCAGCCAGAGAAGTGACCAGCTGTTGATAAAAGTCTGTAACTTGTTGGAAATGCTTTTTGTGACACGGGGAGCAAGTTTCTGACCCGTACAGAAGGACTAACTGATTTCAAATTCGTGTTGAAAATCCCAATCTTGTTCCTTAAGCTGGGGAGTGCAGAAGATTTCCAAACTGGTTACAGGTTGATGAAGGCGTATCTTGCCTTTATTGTTTTAGTTTAGTGATATTGAAAGTTTATGTATTAATTTCCATACCACTCAACAAGAACGGATAATTTTCCAACCGCTTTTTTTCGTTAATTGAAAGTGAAGGTCTATTATATGTGTGATGGAAAAATAAGCACTCAGTATTATGCTGTTAAAAAACCTAATTTATATTCTCTATAGTTTGGTTTGTAAGGATTAGTTATGTTTTATGAGTTGATCAAGGACTGATATCAGTTAGAGAACCATTGAAAACCAGGGAGTACTGGACAGCTGCTGCTTCATCCTAGTTTGGGAATCATCGGCAGTACGCACCCACTGGGATTCGAACCCAGGACCTTCCGGTTACAAGGAAAGCTGGCTCGTATACCATTCAGCCACTGGGACCCGATTCAATGGCTCATGAATTCTAACTTCTACCAATTCATGATTTTAGCGCGACCCCAACTATTGTCGTTGGTGGGACATCCATCCACACACGTGACTTCTAATTGGACCTCACTGGTCACGACTTCTCACTAGAATTCCAGGATGCTCCAACCTGTAGCAAGTCACTAGCGAGCATCAGAATAATTTTCTATGGTTTGGTTTGTAAGGATTAGTTATGTTTTACGAGTTGATCACGGTGGGTGCGTACTGCTGATGATTCACAAACTAGGATGAAACAGCAGCTGTCCAGTACTCCCTGGTTTTCAATGGTTCTCTAATTTATATTCGTCTAACATAAAGTCATACATATCTTTCTCGCGTTAAATATAAACTGTTTATTTGTAACTGTTTCAGAAAACTTCATTAATAGCAAGCAAAAGTACAATTATACCTTATCTAAGTTTTTACTTTACTATTTTAGGAATGGTGTAATTCATTCTATTAATACTGGAGTTAATTTAATGAGTTATAATGGACTAAGTGGTACACAAGTTGGTCCTACCCCATTGGCACTTGAAAGGTCAACACATCAAATGAATGCAGATTATCATCCAGAAGCTTATTTCTCCATACAACTTGAAAAGGTAAATCATGAAACTGTATTTAATTTTGTTGCTGTTGTTGTTAACTGTTTCAGGAATCCGGTGTTTTAACAAAATATTAGAATCTCATTGATATTTTCTGGTTATTAATATTTAAAAATCGCTTTATTAACAAGGCTGAATGCCTATTATCACCGATGGTATTCCTAATTGTAATGGACTGGATTATGCGTCGGGCTGTGCTTGGGGAACAAGAAGACAGGGATACACTGAATAGATAAGAAGACGTTAGAAGATTTGAATTTCGCAGGTGATATGTGTTTAGTGTCACACAAGCTCGAAGAGTTACCGACGAAAATAAAAAAACTGGCTGCAAACGCTGGCAGCGAAGACAGGACTCCAGGTGAACATGGAGAAGACGGAGGTGATAAAGATAACCATCAGCAATAACAGCAAGCACCAGTCACCATCAGCAGGAGAGATTTTACAGAGGTTACTTCCTTCCCTTATCTAGGAAGCATGGTTTAAACCACAGGCATTCGGAACGGATGAAGATTTCATAGCCAGTTATAATCGTAAATGCAAGATATGCCCTCATCAGCCTGAAACCAGTTTGGAAATCTACTGCACTCCGTCTCAGCATGAAGAACAAGATTCGGATTTTCAACAGAAACGTAAAGTCGGTCAGTCACTTCTTCTATGCGGGTAAGAAACTTACACTGAGTGTCACGAAAACGATTTCCAACAAGTTACAGATTTTTATCAACAACTACTCACTTCGCTGGCTCCATAGTGAAGATCAAATGGCCGACCAGCCAGCTAGAAAGAATTAGCAACAAGAAACTCTGTCTGGCAAAAAACCAACCAAGAACCGATCGCTCAACAGACTTGTAGGAGGAAATGGAGGTGGATTAAGCATACTTTGAGGAGGCTGACGAATGTAAACACGCGCCAGCCAATGCCTCGAGTGGAACCCCGATGCTAGGTAACGAGTGGTTCGTAGGTGCGAGGGTGACATGGACGAGGTCGTGTGAGTTGGAGGAGGAGATGAAAGATTATGGTCAATCGTGAACCCATTTGAAGAGGACAGCAGAAAATGAAAGAAAGTGTAGATATGTTGTTGAAGCTGTATGTTCCACTCGGAACCCGAAGTAATTATAATAAATTAAGGTCATTCTCTGACCTTAGGCTGTCTGCGAGAATTGTTTGGTCTGTGATGCTATTGGACAGATTCCACATTGCTGGGCATATTCTACTTGATTCTCAAGTACTTTTTACAGCTGAATTTTGATTAATTAATTCTGTCGTACAAAGTGTATTTTGTACTGGAAACTGATCTGATTTGAATAGATGCCTAACGGTACCGTTGTGGCCATTTTAAGTCTTTCATGTTAATACTTTTGAATGGAGCCAAATGGATATTACGAAAAATGATCATCTTTTTACTGTCTTTCGAGAATTTTGTGATTGTGCGCGTCCCAAGGAAGTGTTGGTCAGCTATACGGTAGGACACAAACATCAGTTTCCCGCATTCATATTACAACTAGTCAGTTTCGGTCGTTACACACTGGATCGAATTTTTAAGAAAATACAAACAGAAATTTGCTTTCAAGGGGATTCTTGACTATGCAATCACCACATTACAAATTCTCGTATTTTTTCAGTTTACATTTATTGGAAATTAAGTGATCTTATGGTAATAATATACTGAAACAGAAGAAAAGTACATGTCTTTAAATTAATGTCAATTGACATTTGAAATTTTTTGGATTTGAAGTGAATTAAGGTGCCTGATATCAATGAGAATGCATTCGGGTAATCTATAAGATAGGTGCTAAGTGTTAGGTGTTATCCAGTGAATATTCTTGAGTGAAAAGAAGGCATACCTGTAAGCATAACTTAAGGACGTTAAGCTGAGTTGAAACCAGTTTGAAGATGAACATGAATAGTTCTCAAAACCGATAGTATTGAACCCACTGTCATATTGAATTTTCAGTGTTGATGTTTGTTGTACATTCAAAGTGTTTCTTTTCGTTTTGCAAATAAAAAGACAAAACCTAAATTCCACCTACAACTCATATATATTTTCCTGTAGATCCTCATAATTTGATAGAACTCTTATTTCTAATAATACTGGCCTCTTTAAACTATTCCTTATCTTTCAAACACTTATTTTACGAGCCATCAGAAAGCATTAAACTCACATTTGCCTCAAAACTTCTGTTTAACTGCAATGTCTCAAATTGGTTTTCTTAAGGGGTATTTCTTTTTTTAAACTGTGTAATGTAACTGGGAAAAATGGATTGCAAGTCAGATATTTCATTCAATTCGAATTCAACGAGAGAAGTGATTATTCACTATCATAAAAGTTTTTGTATTTCTCAATGAATGAAAAACAAAACGATTTTGTTGTTTTTACTGTCGTTTCACTATTTAATGCAACTAATAGCTCTATAAAAGTAACATTGAACCAGAATTTATAAAATTTCAGCTTATATCCAGCAACTTGACCATCCTGTTTATTAGGTGCTCTTCTGATATCTTCTGATATTATTGATCCATATGGAATGTCTGAAGACATCAGGAGAGTACTCAATAAACTCGGCATCGCAGTTTTCTTCAAAACATCAGACAAACTGCAAAGCAACCTTGTCCATAGTAAAAAGACCAAATCCCTAAAGATTCTCTATCTAATTGTGTCTATAAAATAAAATACTTGCTTGGAATGTGATGCGATTTACATCGGACAAACATAGCCAGAGAGAAATCAAAATCAGAAGAAATAAACACCGTAGAACATCTGCTCGACCACTGAGAAATCCAGCTGAAAATCATCATATTAAATGTAATCCAAACTGTCTGAATAGAAATGATAGACTAAGACAGAATTTAACCTGGTCCCAATATATACCCACACGCTCACACACACACACACGAAGTGATAGAATCAACACGACTGTAATTAGCTGTTTTCATTGTGTAAACACATGCTGTTTTTGTAATTTCATGCGCTTATCAAAATCCGACAATCCACAAATGATTTTGTTATCTTTACCAATTGACCAGCCTGACAAAGTAAAAATTGCCTCATACTAAAGAACAGTGATTCAGTTAATGTATATAAACTGAGATTTTGTAAATTCTGGCTTAATACTACTTTGATAAGGCTATTAGCAGCATTAAGTAGCGAAACGTCAGTAAAAACAGTATCTTCCAGAGTTTGTTTATAGGGATCTGATTTGTTTCAAGTTCGATCAAGGAATGATGTCAGTTAGAGAATCAGTGAGAACCACCAAGGAGTACTGAACATTTGTCTCTTCCAGGTTAAGACTTATCGGCAGTATGCGCCCACCTGTTTTGGAACCCAGGAACTTCTGATGTAAATGCAAGCTCAGCCACTGGATCCACCCCGTTGGGAGTGAGGATAAATACTAGCCAGCGATGACATTGGCTGGTGGTCGTGCTAAAATCACGAATTTGGCAGAAGTAAAAATTCATGGGTCATTGAGTTGAGTGTGAGTGTCTGAACGGTCCAAGATCTTGCCTTATAACCACAAAGTCCTGTGTCCGAACCCTGGTAGTGGGTGGGTACTGCCGATGATTCCCAAACTATAACGAAATCGCTGTCGAGTACATTGCTCCCTGCTGGTTTTCAGTGCTACTCTAAGTGACACCAATCTATAATCGAACTTGAAAATCAATATCGTTTTGTTTCTCATTCATTGGGAAATACAAAATCTTTTATAATAATGAATATAAAGAATATACTCAATGTCCAAAACTTTTCAAACTATTAGAAGTATTTATTTACTCCCTAGTTAAGCATTAAATATCCTTTAATTTTAAATGTGGATATTTGACACCTCACTTACAATACAATACAATAGAATAAATTGTTTATTTTATTTTATTTCATTAATTTAAAAGGGACCTAGTCGGGATAGAATGCAGAATGCTTTTATTAAAAGAACACAAGGTGGTGGTATCGCTTCATCGAAAAGTACCATAGAAAGTGAGAAAATGAAACGGTAAAAAAATTAGTAACTTCATTGTACAATAATTAATTCAATGTTACATGTAACATGTTTTATCTTTTAGTGTTGTATTTTTAAAGAAATGTTTTACTTCAGTGAAAATCATTGCATATATAGGAAGATAACATGGTAGTATAAAGAGAAATTTGCAAAGGAAAAGCAAATGGACATGACAATATACTCATTTTCATAGCTTTGTTCCTCTCCAGTACAAAAGAAATTTAGTAAGGACGTTCAGTCACACAATTACAGCTATATACTCAGAAGAGATAACTGGAAATGAACTAAGGATTGCACATGATACCTTGATCAAAAATATACCTAGTGAAATAATTACTAACAAGTTTAAAAAAATCCATTCATCAAAGAACTTTTAACGCTGGTAAACTACAATTCATATTTCCTACACGACCGGTTGTGATTCCTCAATTGAAAGATGAAGTACCTAGACTAGCCACTTCCACTTGTATCTACCAGTTCAACTACGATGCTTGTGGAGCGAGTTATATTGACCGTTGCTCTAAAAACTTGATTTCTCATGCTCAGGAACACCTACCAGTGTGGCTAAATAAAGGCGTAGTGAAAACCATCAACAGTTCAGTTTTAGACCATCTAGTCCAAACTGGCCACAACGCCAGCTAGCATTGAAGAATCCTTTTCTATCATTTTCTATCAAATAAGTTACCAAGAGCATTCAGTTACCGAATAATCCAAACAGCGGAGGCTATTGTGATTCGCCTAATACAACCGATGCTCTGTGTGCAGAAGAAACAGGTCCAACAACTACTGCTGGCCTGCTGTGGAGTATGCGAATACCTTAATACGTCGAACTTTTTTGACATGTCCCTCCATCCTGTACATATAAATTCCCCTACCCCTTGTCATTATACTTGCATTAACTAACCTTTTGTTTTCTTATTTAAACTTAGTGGTTAACTTACATACTTACACACATACAACGCACATAAAATTCAACCCCAAAAGATATGTGGATGACACTTTCACAGTGTTAAAAACAGAACATATCTCCAGCTTCTTGACACAAATAAACTCACTAGTAGAGAGAAAAAATTCACATTTGAATCGGAAAATGAACAAGAAGAATTAGCTATGATGTTAGATTGTAAAATAAAACGAATAGAAGAAGGAAAACTACACACTAGTGTTTACAGAAAACCAACGCATTCTAATAGATATTTAGACTTAAATTCCTCTCATCCTTTAACTGTTAAGGCAGGCTTAGTTAAGTGTTTAACAAACCGAACAATGGCACTAAGTAGCACAAAAATAGACCTAAATGATGAAATAAAACAGATAGAAGAGGCGTTGGTGCTAAACAAATATCCTTTAAAATTCGTTAGGAAGATTGAGAAAGGCCAAAAGAAAAAGAAAAATAATTGTGAAACTAGTAATAATAACATAAATAAGAGAGAATATAAGTCATCTACTGTTATGCCATATAAAGAGGGGACATCTGAGACCCTACGTAGGATTCTTATTAAAGCAGGAATTAGATTGGCATTTAAACCTACAAACTCACTCAGGGACAAGCTCTGTAGGTTAAAGGACCCTGTCGGTTGACCCAATTAGACAAAATAATATAATTTACAAAATACCCTGCAATGACTGTGAGTTAAGCTAACTACATAGGTCAAACTAGTAGGTCGGGGGCAGTCAGATTGTCGGAACATAAGAATTTAGCTAAGGGAAGAATGGTTGACCCCACGAAGATAAGTAATTTAGAAAAAAGCTCAGCAATTGCAATGCATGCATTAACACACAGTCACACAATAGTGTGGGAGAGGGTTAAAATTCTAAAAAGTAATTTAGTTAGGTGGAGAGAGAGGTTGATTACTGAATCCTTGTTCATCGAATCTACACCCAACACATGCTATAGGAAATGATTCATCACTCATACCCGAAATATGGAAAATACTACTACCAATCAAATCAAGTGAAAAACAATGGAACTATATAAATGAATTTAGGAACTCGTGTGATTACCTTGATATGATTATGAGCAATAAATTGTGCTCGAAACGCGGTCATCAGTAAACATTACTGTATAACACTGTGAGACTTTATGAAAACAAAAATTTACCCATAATGGAATTACACTCTACCACAGTGCACAAGTTTTATTCTTATATCAAAAATCTTTTTTCTCTACCCCCGTCCTTGACATGGTCATTTATCCATCTGATGTTTATAATCAATATGAATAGAATTTAATATGAACATGACTTATTTTTCATTTATTCATTTATTACTAAACATTCGTTGTCATTAATAATCAATTATTTTGTAATAATGGTGTTCATTTAAATTTTACAATTATTCATAATGCCACATCATATATTTTGGACTGTAATCTACTAACAGTCTAATTGCAAATAACTTTTGGAATTCTGATCTAATTCATTCGATGTTATTTTTCGAAAACCACCAGTGTGGTCCATAACAATCATCCTTTCTCTGTAGTTTGGTTTGTAAGGGTTAGTTAAGTTTTTACGAGTTGATCACGGATAGATATCAGTTAAAGAACTATAGAAAACCAGCACTGGAGTATTGGACAGCTGTTTCATCCTAGTTTGAGAATCATCGGCAGTACGCACCCACTGGGATTCGAACCCAGGGCCCTCCGGTTACAAGGCAAGCTGGCTCGTATACCATTCAGCCACTGGGACCCGATTCAATGGCTCATGAATTCCAACTTCTACCAATTCAAATCCCTGTGGGTGCGTACTGCCGATGATTCCCAAACTAGAATAAAACAGCTGTGCAGTACTCCCTGGTTTTCTATGGTTCTCTAACTGTTATCAGTCCGTGATCAACTCGTAAAAATCATTCTTTCATTATTTTGGATAAGTATAGCTATAGAACCTGATGAAGTTATCGAAAAGAATATACTTTGTTCAATAATCAGTCTTTTGAAATCTCGAATAGGCATCGTTAATCAATTATGTAAAATTCCATTTACGCACACTTGAACCTTCCTTGAAAAGCTTTCATGACACTAAACGGTTAGCATATACATATAACAGATATACTGTATATACTGCTGCTGTCTTGTATCATAAAATTGTTTCCTGGAGGTGTGCTTTTGTCTCCTCTCCTATTTTGTTTCTTCTTACACGACTTGCCTCTTTCAGAAAAAATCAATTTCGTTAAATACACTGATGACCTGACTGTTTCAAACTTAACAGCTTTTTATTGGACATTAATTAGCCAGTGGTCAAAGTTAAACGGTCTTACTTTAAATCCCTCCAAATATCAGACAGTTAACTTCACTTTAAGTATAAATGTGATCCACACGAACTCGTTTGTTGACAGGATGCTTGTAGCATAGAAGGTACTGAAGATATTGAAACTATTCAAGCATTGACTACCTTGCAATAGTTCTTTCCTCTGACCTTTCTTGGTTATTCCATATCTTGTTGATTTCTAAGTACTATTTTGGAATAAAGCAAATTTAATGATTCCCACTGTAGCACTATGAACACAACACTCAGCGAAGAGATTCTTTTCAACGAATTTATAATCCAGCTGCAGAATCGTAATACATAGTTTAAAAAAAATCAATTATATCCGGTGAAGTAGAGTGAGAGAAGTCAGTCAATTGTTCTAGAATGGAGCTCCATACACCCATCTCTTCTCTCTTGTAAAACTATACTAGAATATGTTCTCGTATCCCTGTGGAAAGCGTTATCTGGCTACGGCCAATGTACCTTACTTCCTCAAGGGCAGGTGAACTGATAGATGCAAATGGAGGTGCTCAGACCAGAGAGCAGAGATGGAGAACAGCTGGTGAAAGTCATTTGTAATTTCGCAGATAAGAACGTCTTACTGACTGATTTAGAGAGACGGTTTTTGAGCATAACTCAAGCTTGTTCACCTTTGAATTTCAAGTTCATGAATAAGGTTTTCGCTGGAACTGAGTCGGTGACCATTTTAAACTGCTTATCTTTCATTTTACTGTCAATAAATCGGTTCGGGTAACCGTTTTCTGTGAGCGTAGTTTCTAGGAAGTCAGATTCTGAGTCATCGCAATCAGAGCTACAAATATTTCTTATCCTAAAGCAAAGCGAATGAACTAGGTTCCTTTTCCTGGAGGTAGGCACCCAACCATAAAAATTAGTTAGTTGTCCATTTCATATACGTTTCCGGTGGATGGACCTTTTGAGAGATCGGTCTTTACATCTGCTAAGGCACCGATCAAGAATTGCGAAGAGGGATGGTAGTTGTTGAATGCAAACAAGACACCATCAAGAATCACGTACTTATCGCAGATAACGAAAGTGTTGTCTACGCATCTTCCACATACGTTAAAGTGACTGATGGTTTGACTAAGTGGAGAGTTTTTGAGCTCTGCCATAAAACAATCAGCCAGCAACAGACCCAGTGGCGATCCCATCTCAGTGCCATCTATCTGTTTAGAGATCTCACAGATCATAGATGGCGTTGCGATGGCATAGCCACTTGGTTCATTATTGCCTGATTTTACTTGTGTAAACCTGTGGTTGAGCAATGGAGTGTTGACAAAAGAGGATGGGAATAATTTTATCTACTGAATATTTCATAATCATATGATTTAGTTTTACATTTGATTAATTGTATTATTGACTTGTGAAATCGCATTTCTGAATAGGCCAATCAGTATATCTTTGAACAAAATTACACAGACATTTATCTCAAGTTACCGTATTTCATTTCATCTAAAATACGAAATGGTGACACATTATCAAAACAAATAAATTATAATACCCTTGGGTTTCGAGTAGAACATAGGGATTAAGCAGAACATTGGCATTTCATCCTATTCTTTGTAGTTCTCTTAAGCTGACTCCACAATTGACCAGAGGTCCTAATCTCCTCCTCATAGGATCTCCTCCATGTCAGCTTTGGACACACACTCAACTTGTCGTTTTCCATTCACCTTCCACTCCAGCTATCGCCTGTAATGCGCACGATGTCATCCAACAGTTTCGTCAGAGTGTGTCTAATCCATTTCTGTTTTATTCCGAATATTTGTTGATTGATTGATGGTTTCGTTCCCAGAGTTTCTGGTCAGAGAATTTAAATAAGTTTACTTCATATTTAAGCTTGTCATGAAGCCGTTTTCTAGAAGGAAAAGGAAAACCCTTCAATCAGAACAACCAGCTTAGAGATCAAAGCCACATCCAAGAAATGCAACTGAATTAAATGTTTAAACATCATAGTTATTTAATTGGTGGATGGTGACTAGCGGTGGAATCCAGGATAACGCGCATTTCGTCCTATTTGAGACCCGTTAGCTGGATGTGCCTGTATTCCGCAGTGGGTGATGATGTTCCCACCGAGGCTCGACCTCAGTGATCATAGTTTGAAACGCCAGAGCATTATCCACTAGACTGAATCATCTGCACAAGAAGCCAACATATCAACCTGAGACCGAGGACTTCAGTCAAATCAATCGACGGGAAAATCTAAAATTCCATAAAATAATTAATATGACCCGTTGCACAAGAGGTGGCTCTCGTGGCCCAAGTGGTCTATTGGATAGCGCTTCGGCGTTTGAAACTATGGGCACTGGGTTCGAGTCTCGGTGGGAACATCATCACCCACTGTGGGGTGCAGGTACATCCAGATGACGAGTCCCAGATAGGGCGAAATGTTCTTCATGCTGGATTCCACTGCTAGTCGCCATCCACCAATTAACTTCTAACTACATGCCCAGAGATCGTCGAAGCATCTGCACAAGAAGTCGACATGTGAACCTGAGACCGAGCACTTCGGTCCAATCAATTGACGGAAAAATCTAAAATTGAATTTAATAATTTTCCAACGTTTTTGGGGTACTTAAATTTCTATCAGATAATTCATTTTGTTAGTACTCTTAATCACTAGCATGTTCAAAATTGCCATCCAGTTGAAGCTTTATCTTGATAACCTTTTATTATTTTCTTTCAATTAACTTTCCTTCTTTTTTTCTTCTTCTTGTTCTTTAGAGAATTTCTATCACAATATTGTCTTGATTTTGGTGAACGTACTCAACAAGCATCACTTCGTGCACAAATTATTGAAACCTACAGTTCTATATTAATCATATTGAAAAGTGTACCAACTGTATCGTATGTTCACTCTAGTCTCTATTCATTTTTAGTACAATGTTAATATTAAAAATAATTTGTTTAATTTGTTATCTTTGAGGTTTAGTCTGTCTGCGAGTGAATACAACTTATTTATATATTTTTTTGTTTACTTATTATCAACAAATTCATTTTAGGGAAAAGAACAAGAAGTTCAGCAAAGATATCTTTCCGGTGATTTCATTCTCAAAAGCTGACATCTAACTGATGTCAGCTCATAATGAAATCCTCCATCAAATCAAACAAAATCCCTACAAAACCAATACTTGAAAATTAATCTGATGCTCACTAGTCACCGGCCCTATTCAGGCAGTTAACCTGGGGTTCTAGTGGGAAGGTGTGACCAGTAGTGTACAGAAGGTTGAAGATGAGGCAGTAACTCATCGAAGAAGCCATTGCGAAATGGTCGCGCTATGTTGTGAATTGGCAGAAGTTAGAATTCAAGGACTGGTCATTGGATCGGGTCCCAGTGGCTCAATGGTCTACGAGCTTGGTTGCCTTGTAACCAGAAGGTCCTGGGTTCGAACCCCGGTGAGTGCGTACTGGTGAAGAGTCCCAAACTAGGACGAAATAGCTTTCCAGTACTCCCAGGTTTTCCAATGGTTCTCTAACTGATGTCAGCTCCATCCAATCAAACAAAATCCCTACAAAACCAATACTTGACAGTTATTATTTATTCAGTTCCACATAGTAACAAAGGAGATAATAAATTTCAACTTGATATGAAAGTTTGAAGGTACAAGTATAGATTACAAGGGGTTTAGAGACAAGATTGCATAGGATTAGAAAACAGTTACAACGTGTGCAAAATTAATATCTGACAACTGGAAAAATAATTTTTAAAGGCAAATGAAAGGTGATAATTATTTTCAACTTGATATGAATTACAAGAGGCTTAGAAACTAAAACTACACAGGGATAGAACGAAATACAGATGTGAACAAAATGAACATGGAAACAAATTGAGATCAAACTTTTTCAACTTGAAATGTAAGTTAGGCGGTGTGAATATAGATTACAAGAGGCATAGAAACAAAAAATTACACTGGATTAGAATATAATTGCAAAATGGTTATTCTAAACGGATTACAAGTGTGATCAGGAGGAGCATGGGAACAAACTTAAAATAACTGATTTTATAACTGAAAAAAATGAATGAAAGGAATGAAGACAAAGAGAGAAAAATACACGTTGAGAGCAAAAAGGAAAATTGAAGGATGAGGGAATATACTGAACTAGGTCCACGGTAGTTGTAAAGACTGGACTAGTTTCTTTTGAACACACGACTCCGGCTTTTCGATGCATTTGGCGAGAGCTTCCACAGTACAGAGAAGTCAGAAACACACTCCCTTAGGTAAATTACTCTGAATGATGGGTCAGTTGACATGCCGTGACAGGTATTGACGAAGTGTTCAGTTATGGCGCTTCTGGTTGAACCAGTGCCTCCCCTTTGCAGCTATGCTGGATGATGTTCTCTAACACATTTTGATAAGACCCGCATAGAACGACCTATGTACCTAGCTCCGCACGAGCAGGTGAATTGATATATCATATATATATATATACATTGAAGTTGTCATATGCGGAAGTCTGTTCTTCGCGTTGCTCCAAAGTAGTTGGCGGCTAGAGAATATCACTCTTAGAGTTACTGCAAGAAAATTCTTCTTCTGAGAATTGGAGATTCTCCCTTTAAGGAAATCTGTTGCTAGGTCTCCCATGAATTCCAGTATCAAATAAGGTGTTTTCTTTGTCATTGAAGTGCATTCCTCTCTTTTTGGCTTTGGTTTCACGTTCTTTTCCACGAAACGTAGTGGGTACCATTTTTAAGCAGGATGATTTTAGGAAATAGGAAGTTCATTTTAACAGAAGGACTGGGAAACGTACCACTAGACTGGATTTTCAACTTATGTAGAAGGAATGCTTGTAACAGCAGATCCTCGAATTAGCTATGGATATGCGGTTGTGATAGAATTCAGCCTGCACCAACACCAAGGACTACACACATTACACTAGTTACTAACCAGTGTCCAATCAAAGTATCCAGTACAGTCCTACAGAAGGTTAGTCGCGAATCTGAATAGCTTATTAGTCACTTTTCTGTCTTCAGCATTGAGGCAAGAAATGTAGGTCAGGCTGAGCATCCTGTCAATTACCCTCAACTATAAAATAATATCGATTCAGAGTTCTGCCTTGTCAATTGTCCAAATTTCCACAATCCCTTTGACAGTAATGAAGAGAATTTTTGAGGATAAATCTATTATCATGATATAGTACTCAAAGATGTAAAGTGGTGTTTTATATATCCACTAACTTTGAAAGTAAAGTACTGTAGAAAAGTCGAGTTGATCAAAAATCATTGAAATTTATGCCTGAAAAACGCTTTTGTTCCAAATCACACATGAAACCCTCAATGTCATTCCTATTTGTTCTAAGTCGAATGTGGACCTTCAGACTTTCAGAAGCAAAAGTGCTTGTGTTTTACGAGATAGGGTTGCTAGGCTGACGCACAAAATTCCCTTGTTGTCGAACTTACAACTAACTAAGGGGGATTGGGGGTTTTGAACGAGCCAGGAATCAAACCTTGGCCTATTTATATGGTTGGCAAGCATTCTACAGCTATATCGCTGACTCACCATGTAACTTAAGACCGACCGATGAATCAGGGTTATTCTTTGAGTGAAATTCTGTCATTTCAAGTTGTTACACTTCAAGCAGACACACATAAATCTAGAGAAATGGAGAGGTAAATCTTTAACTGTATGAAATGTTGACGAATAAGTTAGTGCAGAACCAATCACTAGGATCTTAGTAAAAATAAATGTCTCTTTGCTCACTATTTTTGTTTCTAATGTTGTAATAAAGTCACAATGAATAAAGTTGTCCAGGAAAATGGAACACTTAGGTACAGATTGTTGAGGATTTCCGGAATATGAATGATAACCGTGAGTGATTACATACAGACATATGGAACTACATCTTAATGAAATACGTCAAGAATGTGTTTTTACCTCCAACAAAAACTTACAAAGAAAAATGTTCCTTAATATAGATTATTCCCTTTAGTAATAGGTTGAAAACGGTGATTTTATTGTTCTGAAAGTAAACTTGAAAATCAGATTGATAGGATTCCACACACTTTGTTATTGTTCAATTATTTTAACGACTGTTAATCTCGCATAAGTGGTATATCATCATTTCCCACGCATTTTTTTATTGACTATTACGACCAATTATTTCAAATACTGTTAGCTGTCTGTATTGGTTGTAAAAATGTATAAATACCATTTCCTAAATAAGTTTATTCGTTGTCGTAGTTTGTCGTAGTTGTTGTACTACAATACACAGTCATAGACCAGCTTTTGTCTTTTGATATTTGCGTGGTTCGCTGAATCGGAAGGTACCAGAAGGAGATAGGCATATTAGTCAGGCGCAGACAGAACAAGGCAACAACGTCCTTATTAAATTCCCCTACAGTTACAACAGATAGCACGAAAGCAATTTGTACTTGATAATTGCAAGTGTCAAGTAATATTATACTTTTGAATACCCTCTAACAGATAGATGTTTTATGTGACCATGAAGTATCCTGAAAATGCTAACAGAGGTGTATGTGAGGATAAAAAAGGTAAGATTGCTAAATGTAAGCATAAACAGGTTTTAGTGTCATCCTAATAGCTGCTCACAGATATTCACCTCAAAAGTTAGGTAGAGTAATATAAAAATAACACAAATTTACTTCACCATATTAAGGTGAAGAAGGTGCTCATCAAAGGCATCTATGAGGGCAGCGTTATATCACGATTTGACAAAGTAAGAATTTAGGGGTCAATGAATTCCATCCCAAGTGACCAAATAGTCAACGAACTTCGTCTCTTGACCTGAATTTTCTGGGTTCTGTCCCTGGCACTGATGAAGAGTCCCAGACTAGGACGAAACAACTGTCCAGTACTCTTAGCTGGTTTTGAATGATCTCTCTATGTGATATCACTTTGTGGTGAATATATGTAACAACTTAAATAAATGTATCATCATATGATTGTTTGCTTCATATTAAAAATAAATTAATTTCTTTTATTTTTCATTAAAGAATTTTTGTTAAAGATGGTTTACATATTTATATTTTACAGTGAAGAATTTTTCATAATTGGTTATGCATTTGAAAAGAAATCCTCTGAAGATGATCTTGATACACAGACAACAGATCCACGATCATTACGTAGTCGTCCTCGTCGTGTATTATCTACAGATGGTAAAAAGTGTTATAACTTATGGTTTATACCACATTTTATCGAAGTGCTATTTGTATTTCGTCATTTGGATGATGAAGCCTGTACAAAAGCTCTACGTTCTATGACAAGAATTGCTCGTGCTTTACATGACATTTTACATTATTTAGTTGCATATGCTCGTCTGGGTATCAGTTCATCTAGAATAACACCTGAACAACGTCATCGAATATTAGTTACGTCTGATGAAGTAAGTAAGCATTGCTCAGATATCAGGCATTCCTTTTAATTAACTATGGTAACTCTTGTGTTGATTCAGTCGTTTTACGTTTTACTAAAGTTTTATGGAAAATCGATCAGGGAGTTGAAATGCCTATGTCATTTAGTTTTGCTATATATACTATAGATCTTCGCATTTCAAAGAGGGAAAATCACTCGAAGAGGCTATGAAGTTACAGATTGAGATGGTTAGGTCACGTGCTGCGCATGCCTAGCCATCGTCTCCCCCGATGGGCATTACTAGCTGATATAGGTGCAGGTTGGAAAAGAGTAAGTGGTGGCCAAACAAAAACATGGCCTCATCAATCCATGAAATCCCTGACAGTTAAACTGAGTCAGGTAGGGAGATGCAGACTTCCGGGTTGGGGCCCTCGGGAATCTAAGAATCAATGGCTGGAGACACTAGGTGACATGGCTCAAAATCGTTGCCAATGGCTTACGCAGATGTATTCAGTCTCTTTAACCTTCATATTCCTTTCTACCATTACTCATTCTATTTCACTCTTATACTTGTCAAAACTCTATTGATTCTCTTCTCTCATTTTCCTGTCTACCTTTGTGTGCTATTTGGAACGTGGCAACTCGAACTGCTGCACTTCGGTGCCAAGTTCTATGTTGAATCCAGCAGCAGCAGCTTTGCATTTCAATAATCCATTTTAAGCCACAGCTTTCCTCCATATTACACATAGGATCTGTTAATGGATCTTCCTTTCTCTTGTCCTTTCTGTTTAATTTCATCATAGATGTACTAATGGAACTAACTTCAGAGATCTAGGAATTGACGTGTTACCTACCAGAGAATAATTTCTTTGACACAGAATATGCAAACGAAATAGTCCTCCTAGGTGAAGACTCTGATAAAATGCAGTCTTATGAATACCTTGAGTAGTAATCTTCGGATATTTGGCATGCGATCCGCCCCAGTTAAATATAAGATGATGATAGATTGACTAGATTGACTCACTCCTAATTTAAGGGTAGGGAGTGAAGTGGTGGGGCGTGTTGACCACTTCACTTATTTGGGAAGTTGCATCAGGCCCAACGGGCTGATTGCAGACGAAATCTCACCTCGGATATGAAAGGTTCGTTTGACATTTGCCAACTTATGCCATTTCCAGCGTAGATCTGATATCTGGTTGGCTACCGGTGAAAGGAAGTGTGCACTGTTCGCTTCGTCCCCCATTACGGCTGTGAAACATGACCACTGGAAGTGGAAGACATAAAACTGGTAGCTGTCTTTGAACAGAGAAGCTTGCATTCTATCTCCTACGTTAAGTGGTATAATGTGGTTAGATGTCGAGTGTTAGGTGAAGTAGAAGAGTTAATCGATAAGGTTGTGGAGCTGCATCCATTCAGATGCTTAGGATATGTGTTATGCATCTCTAGCCATTGCCTTCCTAGATGTGGAATGTCGGGTGTTTGGAAAAGAGCTATTGGCGGTAAAAGCAAAACACGGAATCAGTCAATTAATGCCTTTACAGTTTGTTTCATGTTCTGCTCTTGTTATTGTTGGTTGGGTACCTTCATCATCTCTGCCTTCTCTGTGTCCCCTGGATGTCCCGTTTCCACTATCTATACTGCCAACTTGTTGGTTTTGGCCCATAGATCTTCAAGTTTATGCGAAATTAGATATAGGTCATCTGAGAAATCCCACTGAATAAGAGCTTTTGCTGCTATATGTGACATTATGGTAACCACTGCACTTAACACTTTGGATAGCTCACTTTCATTCCATCTGTTATCACAGATGTTTAGCAGTTTTACAGCCTAACTTCTCATTTGTCTTACAATCTGCATAGCGTTATCAGCCTCAAAAATGATGTGAACATCCCATCTTCCTATACCTGCTTTTTCCTTAATTGAAATAAAATACATCGACCGACTTGCTTATCGATGGCTTTCATCAGTATACATCATTTCTGCCCGACTTCTATGAAGATTAGGTTTCCTTTGAATAGTTTTGCCGTCTTCCTAATTTTCTGTAGCAACTAGGTTGATTTTCCGAGGTTGGGTTGCTAGTCTCCTCTTTTTCCGAGCTATGGTGAACTACTCAACTGATAAACTCAGCGAGGTTAAGGAAAAATATTTGGCTTACACGTCAAGTAAACATTAAGTTTTAATAAGTCTCGACCTGCTGTAACACCTCTCTTTGTTTCGATTAGTTCATCTTACTCTGTGAAATCTTTGTGGTATCTCTGAATTTTGTTCACCTGTCTTTTGGACACTTGGTTATTGGGTTAGTTTTCATGAAGTTTACTGTTTTCATTACCAGAACCTCTTCGTTTCCTAGTGAGGTTCTCACGTCTTAACCGCAGCAATCCTCTGACTTCCATTTCAGAAGTAACTAGCCCAGTTTTTTCGATGACGCCAGTAGTCCATTTGTTTGTGAGAATTTCTAAAATTAAAATGTTTGATGGCGTTTTTTTCGATGATTACAAATGCTAATTTAATTAAAAATTGTTATCTCTTATTATTATTTTTTCTGAATGGAATCTCCTATACAAAATAAAAGGATCACCTATTTCCTGAGAATCAGAATAATTTACAAACAGCTGAAGAATCTGCCATTGCAACAGCAGAAGTAGCCGGTCTACAACAATCAGCTTCACAACTTGTCTCTGTTGGTACTACTGAGAGTATGTCATTAGCGTTGTCATCACCTGCCAGTTCTATTACACCATTGGATTTAACAATACAAGGACGTAGTCTTATTGTGGATCAATTAGTAGGTAATTAACCTTATTTGACTTGATTGAATTTCATTTTGTATTATGTCGGAAGTAATTCTTGATTATAATGTATAGTAAAATCATTTTGATTTCATATTTTTAATCCTGAATATCAGTTGGCATTTGACAGTTGTCTCTTTTGTTGTGTACCGCACATCACACTGACTGGCCTGTTGTAAGTGTGTGGGCGGTTGTTAATTTCCGGCTGTTCACACCATGGAAGTTAATTTTTTCTGAGAGCACCTGAAACAGACAGAGAATTAGTGTTGCTTGACAGCAGAGTCCAGAGGACATCTGTTTGAGGCTGGTCACGTAGGGGCATTATGAATTAACTTTTAGAGTTGTTTCGGAACTGGGAACTTACCACCGGCTACGGACCACCCTAGAGAAAGTCTAGATGTACAATCTTAGGATTGACTTTTTTTAACACCCCTCTTCAGAGTGCAGAGGTAGCATGGCTGACATGCTGATCATCTAAGGGGAAACACTATAGTACTGTTACGTCCCTGTTTCCCAACAGTTCGGCTTCGCTCACAGACTTCAAGCACACTGTAAACATCTTACACTATACCGGTAAAAGCTTTTAGTCTAATCCCCAACCTAATAACTTATCTAGCATATAAGAACCTCAAGAAACATTAATTTTAGTCAGTTTAGGTTGCAATGCCGACATGTCAACCTGAGACCGAGCACTAGGGTTCAATCTACCGACAGGAAAATTTAAAAATGAATTAGATATGGCATATTATATACTACTCTGAATTATTGTTAGACGGTCTGAGGTAATCTGCAGGAATCCCTGTCTGATTAAAATTTCGTGCTTTTTGGCACTCACCAGTCAGAAAGGCGTGTCTGGAGTGCTTAAGGAACTCATATCCCTTCTGAGATTTAAACCTGCTTCACTTAGTACTGCAATCAAATATGTTACTACTGAGCTATTCGGGATCATGTCTAGCATCCAGTAGGATGATAATGCATCCTTTGATTGGGCGCCAGGTAGTAGCTAACTAGTATCATACGTCTAGTCCTTCGTGTGATGCAGACTTTTAGTCAAACGAAGGACTAGATGCAGGACATTAGTTAAATCTTAGTGTCTGATCAATGGATCCATGATACTCTATTGATTGGACAAGCCAATGAAATATATCATGGATACATTGTAAGAATAAGATTGAAGCACAGGTAATAATAATAACAAATTAATTTTTTATTTCCCCTTATGCTTAAAAATAAATTCCAGATGGTTCAGATGATTATGATGGTGGTCCAATGTCTACATTAGGTATTACAAAATGTTCAGTGTTATAAGTTTAAAACAACCTGTTATTTGTTTGTTGATTGTTGAACTGTTGTTCAAATTAGTAAATTAAAACAATGTGATCCACGTTTATTAAAAATTTGTACATTTAAAAAAATTTATTTATCATAAACATTTATACTGTAATGAGCCTAACCGACGTGTTGTCTTCTGTGCTCAAGAAACCTATCTTTGCATCCTAATGTATAGCTGACCAAAACTTCCTCGAGCTCCTCACAGTCACACAATACCTCAAGGATAGCAAACAGACAGGTATTTGCAATTAATTCTGAAGTACTCAACAGTGACGCTAAGTAGCTATACAAATCCAATAGCTTCTTGAGTACTGAAAGAAGCATTGACAATCAAGCAGAATATTCCCAACTAGCTGGGGTCAAGACTCCGTCAGTAAGCATCGATCACCAAACAATTCCTACAGACAACCCAAGGTCACACTAACCTTGACACATCTAAATAAAATCACAGCCATGGAACAGAACATTACTAATATCATCGTCACATAACCAAAAAGAAAATCATTAAAATGAGAGATTAAACAGGTACAAATACAAATAACAAGGATTCAGTTAACAGATGGTATGCAAAAGTTAGACCAGTGATATATAGTCTAGGAGAAAAACGGATAATAATTACAAAGTTAGCTGAAACATCCAAATAAGTATCAATATTCTACTTAGACAGTTCGGGAAGGACTCCATAATGGTTCGGGAAGGACTTTTCAAACAATTATTCTCTTACATTAACTTTTTATAAGAAAGAAACTACAGTGTTTATTTAATAAAGTTCTGAAAATATTTTGTGAAATCTGGTTTATAGTGTAAAGAATCACTTGGTTTGTTCATTAAACATATCTAAACATTCTAATAGTTGGTTTGAAACTAATTCTTACAAACCAACTATTGGAAATTAATATGATGCTCGCTAGTGACTTGCTACAGGACGGAGTTTCCTAGAGTTCTAGAGAGAAGTAGTGACCAGTGAAGTCCATCCAGTCAAGTGTGAGGATGGAGTTCCCGCCGATGACATTAGTTGGTGGCCGTGCTAAATGACGAATTGGTAGAAGTTAGAATTCATGGAGTGGTCATTGAGGAGTCGGGTCGCAGTGGCTGAATGGTATACGAGCTAGCTTGCATTGTAACCGGAGGGTCCTGGTTTCGAACCCTGGTTGTGGGTGCGTACTGCCGATGAGTCCCAAACTAGTATGAAACAGCTGTCCTGTACCCTCTGCAGGTTTTCAATGGTTCTCTAACTGATATCAATCCGTGATCTACCTCATAAAAACATATCTAAACTTTTTATTACATTGGTCTTATAGCTGCCATAAATAATGAAGTGAGCTTACAATACTTATAAGCCACATTTCAGCTGCACTTAAACAGTTTCATCTGACTAACATTTTAGGAATTACTTGATGACACTAAATTGATGAAAGACTTACCTTAAAATAAAGATTTTTGTTTTCAAAAAAAATGAATTCTCACTATTGCCTAACCAAGTGAAGGATTTTTTCACCAGTAGGAATAAAGTCACCAGTAGGAAGCACATAAATACATGTTATATCATAAAATCTAAAGGCGTAGTTAAAGTATCATATTGGAAATCACACTAACCCACAACAACCAATCAGAATTCAGATGCAAAAGTGTTGCATCATCGTTAAAAAATTATTAAAACACATTGCGAATATGACATTACATTGGATAATTGTATCGTGTGTGTGTTGTAAGAATGTCTCACAGTTACTTCAAGGATAATCCATAGAGAAATCATAACATGCACAGTGAATGTATTCATCCAGATGACTGTAGATCATGCTACCTCAACATCCATGGATATTAATAATAATAGTAATTCTGTGCTGCGGAATTACGCAGTGTCGTCAAAGCCACCTCAGTTTTGCTTTGGGAAGTTAAAGATAAACTGCCTGATTTCGCCTCTTCCATGTGTATCTACCAATTTGACTGCTCCTGTGAATTCAGCTACATCAGCAGTACAATTAGGTGTGTTTATCTTCAGATTTCTGAACATGATCCTGTGTGCGGTTAAGCAAGGGACAAAAACAAAGTTCATTTACATAGTTCTATTCTATTTCATCTCGTGGAAAAAGAACACAAGATTGATGTCAATGTGGCTTACAAAGTCATTTACTGCATACCAACTAATCCTAACATCACCTAAAGAATTCGTCTACTAAATATTACTGAGGTTGGTGGAATCGACATTAAGAAACTTAACTTATGTATCCAAAGGAAGACGCTGGTTCAGGCACTGTCCTCACCTTGACTATCAAGGTTCGAATGGTCCTCAATTTTTTTGTGGAAATTTCCTTAATTTTATTCGATATTCTATTTGCTTTTATATTTGTATGCATATTATAATTTATGCATCTTTAGTGAACCGTAATTCCTCTGATCTTACTTAGCAAATCAACAGTATTTAAAAACACTAATATCGTTGTTAACGACTATTCTAGAATATATAAAATTGTAGAGTCAGAAGAGGAAATTATCGAAAAGGATATTCTCTGCTCATTTTTTTGTTTTTTCTAGATGTCTGAATGAAAAATAATTTGCTTTATTCCAAAACAGTAATTATGATACAATATGGAATTCTTAGTATGTGGTACAATACTGCATATAACTGACTCGACAAAAACATAAAAACAAAAAATTAATATTAGAGGGTATACTTAACGAGGATTGATAGTGGCAGCTATTTTGGTATTTGCAGTGACAATAAAGTCGAAAATGTACAAAAAGTGTAAAATAATAATGATGATAATAATGTTAATAGCTAAAATTATAAGTTAATTGAAATAGTGTCACCATAGATTACAAATAGTAGAGGATGAAAGAGCTATTCATTTTGCTAACTACTTAGTTACAACTTTCATGCTTAACACTTTCTCCACCACATCGAACGCGGGTGGGCAAAATATGGTACCGTTGAGTTTTTGTACTTACATGCACTAGTGCACAACCTCTTATAATGACTTCTAGTCCTACCTAATGATGGCATGCAGGGGGAGAGTTGTGAATAAGGAGTTACTGAGAGGTAGACAACGTGACTTTTATCCATTCTGCGCATGAGTTCAGATGTCGATCAGCTAGAGTAGTAACGAGCTTGTTCCACTAATAATCTCTAATACACTGCGGAATATGATGCACTTCTTTTTGAGTAACTCAGGAAAAACTAAGGGGAAGTAATACAGAACAGATGCAAGATTTAACCAACTGTGAAAGTAAAGGTTGAGTAATACCTGACCGTCTTAACGATTTACCTAGAAATCAACAAGATATGGGATGTTAGATGGTTGAAGGCAATCAACAGGAAGCCTTGGACCTAGGTTTCGTACTAGTCGGCACTCGTCAGCAAGGCGTATCTGCAACCTTGAAGGAACTCATATCCCTTCTGAGATTCGGCCCGCGTCACCCAGTGAGTGCTGCAATCAGAGACGTTACCACTGAGCTATTCAGGCTCGCGACTGACCTTCTGTAAGACTATAGGGGATATTTTAATTTGACAGTATTAACTAGTGCGATGAGTTCCTTGAAGGTTGCAGATGCGCCTTGCTGACGAGTGCCAACTAGCACGAAACCTTGTTCCAAAGCTTCCTACCGATTGCCTCCAACCATCTAATATCATCAAATCAATGTGCACTGTGATGGCGAGCTACCTAGAATGGTGGCCACATTGCAAACTTGACTGATAGAATTCAGTCTGAACCAAAGAAAGGACTAGACACATCGCACTAGTTACTAGTGTACAATCAAAGATATGGGATGACCAAGAAAGGTGAGAGCAAAGAACTAATCCAAGGTAATTGATGCTTGACCTAGTTTCTATTTAAGTACTTTCTATGATACAAGCATCATGCAACCAAAACAGTTCGTGGAAATCCCGTTTATGCTTAAAGGTGAAGTTAACTGTCTAACATTTAGAGGGATTTAACATTACATTCCCTACACTCTATTCATTCACCTACTCCTAACTCTAATTTTTTTAATCCTTCTGGCTTAGCGAGGTAAAGGAGTGCGTTGGCCGGGGATCGAACCCCGGATCATGTGCATGGTCGGCGAGCGTCTTAACCGCTATGCCACCGGTGCCCTAACCGTAATTAATTATTTATTATACTATTGTTCACTTGGGTTCCCAGTGGAAAACAGGCCTTCAGCAGCAAGTCTACACTTTTTTCTTTTTCTGCGGTCTTCTTTAGCTGCTCTCATGATTGCTCATAGTCTCTAATCTCCTCCCCGTGTTACTTACTGCCATCTTCATTTGATGAACAAGTGGCTGTACCATCCAGTTACCGAAATCTGTCAGTGGTCATCAACGCTTCACCAGCTTCATGTGAATCAGATCCTTTAATAAAATATGTGACCAGACTTGTTTATCTGCACCTGTGAGCTGCGTAATATTTGTATATATACATACATATAATAAGTCGTTTGTTTTCCTCATTTCTGCGTGTTTTTTTTCTCGGTGATATTTAGCCACTGAATTAAGAGAAATTCAATATCAAATAAATCGATTACCAGATCCAACGGATCCAGAACAAATTATTGAAGTTTTATCGCTTAGACGTGATATAATGTTCTTAAAATTTGATGTCTGTATACGTACAGTGCTGGGAGAAACATTTCTTGCTGCAGGTAATGAAGAAGCCTTCAAAGTGAGTGAATGCATTTCTTTTTAACTATTTTTTTAGTCGAACATTTTTTTTCGTAAGACTGTTTATTAAACTGTTTGGATGATTCATCTTTTCACAGAAGAATTTCGAGGCTGTAGATAATGGCGAGTGGACCAATTATTCACCTAATAAAACCGATCTCTATGCTAAGATTTGACTACAGACAGATTGGTCAGAGCAGAGAAAGAAAGACGACCATTTTCCATTATTATTATTATCCTCACCTCATAGCATTGGAAATTGCACTTAATTTACTCATTCATATGCTGGTATACTGAATAACCATAGGTGTTTTATTTACTTCATCCTTTTCATTGTAAATCACACAAGCAAGACTGAATGGCAAAGTTTATTTATTATTATTCCCTTGCGTTCCAAGTGGAACATAGGGCTTCAACAACACATCTCCACTTTGTTCTGTTTTCTGCCGTCCTCTTCAGCTGAGTCCACAATTGACCAAACTCTCTCATCTCTTCCTACTCCTCACACGATCTCCTCCATGTCACCCTCGCACCAACGACCCACTCGTCGCTTCCCATTGGGATTCCACTCGAGTGATGGCCTGCGTTGCGCGCGATGTCATTCGACGGCCTCAATGTATGCCCAATCCATCTCCATTTTCTCCTACATATTTGTTGAGCGATCGGCTCTTGCTTGTTGGTTTGTTCCCATAGTTTCTTGTTACTTCTTCTTTTTGGCCCGTCATTTGATCTTCAGTATAGAGTTAGCGAATGCAGCTGTTGATGAGATTCGGCAACAGGCTGTTTGAAATCCTTTTCGTGACTGACACGCAGTGCAAGCTTCTGACCTGTATAAAAGAACCGACTTCACACTGTTTAAAGACAGTGTTATTTCTAGTGGTTAACTGTGATAATTCAATTCGGAATTGATCAAATATTTTTTTACTAATTGTTAGTTTTTGTAGGAAGAACAAATACAGTGTAATTTCACACTCTCGTAGACTTAACTCTAAACTAGTCAGGTATGCTTCAGATACTATAATTGTAAACCATTCAACTCCAGTGATTCGCAAATTTCAGTGAGCCATTGTAATGTTGTGGGATACAATAAGTTATATTCAGTAATGAGTAAAGAAAAATATTACTTTTGTGCCTCTTTAATTGCGTTGGTGGTGCAATGGTTGAATACTCACCAACCACGCCTCGTTTGGCAACGAGTTCGACCGATGGCCGACTCCTAAACTTCCCTTCTGTAGCTCAATTATTTCTTATGCAAACATTTATGTATTTTGAGACCACTTTCAAACAATAAAAGGGAAGCTAATTTATTATTCAGCATTTGCATACTACGATAGAAACTTCCTAGCCATTCGAACTGAACTTTTCACGATATATCATCGGGTCCATCCGTTTAATACAGTTCGTCAGCGTAGATATCAGTGTAGATATGCTTAAAATACTCCCCTATTACATCTTTAAGACAATTAATCTTGAAAACAGACCAATCAAATTACAGAAAACAGCCACCAGTCATTTCGGCCTATTAAAACACACAAATAAGGACTATAATCTCCTAGTTTGCTTTCGTCTTATAAATTTCTCTATATTGTTTGCAAGTTACCATCAAACATGAAGTTCAGAAATTTATGCAACTCAGACCAGTCATTTGTCTAACCAGTATGCCATTGCAGTCTTTTTTGTTATGTTTAATTTTAACCTCATTTACCAGTTTATCTATCTATTGAACAATGAATCAATAAACTCCATCCTTGAGAGAATTTTATTTTGATTAAGTCTAACAGCGTTGTACAGTAATATTTACTGATGACGTTTCGAGCGCAGTTTATTATTACTCATTATCGTATCGAAGTACTTAAACAACTTTCAACTTCGTTTATATATATTCCATTATTTCTCATCTCTCAACTTGATTGGTTGTAATATTTTCCATACCTGTGGTATTGATCTTGAGTCATTCCTATTGCGTGTGTTGGGTGTAGATTCGTTGAACGCAAATCCGGCAATCAACCTATCTCTCTCTCCACCTATTGATATTAATTTTTAGAAATGTAACGTCGTAACTATCTCATAAAATTCATTAAGAAGATCACAAAAAGTCATTAGAAAAACAAAAATAATATTTATTTTATTTTGATTTTGATTTACAGCTTGATTCCACACCGTATTTTCAGTACAAGTGTGGAATTTTCAGCATGGATATCGGTAGCCCGAATTCAGGCCGACCATAATAGTGAAACTAGTGATGATAACATAAATAAGAAAGAGCTCAAAGCATCTACAGTCCTAATATATAAGGAGGGGACATCTGAAACCCTCTTTAAGAAGTATTCTTGATAAAGTAAGAATTAGAGTGAAATTTAAACCTACAAACTCACTCAGGAACAAACTCTGTAGGTAAAAGGACTCTAGTGACCCAGTTAAACAAAATAATATCATTTAAGAAATACTTTTCAATGACTTGGGTCAACTACATAGACAAAGCCAGTAGATCAGTGGTAGTCAGATAATCAGAATATGTAGAACGATTGATCCCGAAAAGATAAGTAATTTAGAACTATACTCTACCACAGTGCCCAAGTTCAATTCCTATATCAATCAATTAACTCTCCGTCATTTGCCGAATTCTTTACTGAATATTCCAAATGACAATTACCTTCCTCGCTGTCTAATAATTCATGACATTAATGATGACGTAATGATTTTAAAGTCATGCTTTATAAAACAAAGGTGTTTTTGTTTTCACATTTATTGTTTAAATGTTTTTTTCTCTCTCTCTAGGAGGTAAGAGAAAACAGTCACTTCCCATTAGCAGAATTATCAAATATGCAACGGCCATGTGTGAATGCAATTGATTTATGTATACCAGAACCTCTGGAACCAAGAGATGATATGGCACAGGCTATACTTCCATGGCGTTGCTTGATTAATTATTATGGTCCTTATTTGCTATTCAATACAAATTGGACACAAATTGATTATAATATACGCTTATGTTTAGCTGGATTGAAACCAGTCGATCGGTAAGTATAAGTCACTGAGTATTTTAATTTGTTGGTTAATAATGCACACCAATAGAAAAACCACTTCATGTGTGACCGACAACAAGTAATTGTCTCCTCGATTCTGCTGTCAGTCATGCAGTACTCATGCTTCATCTTTTTCAGATATTCCGAGATGAAATCGTCTTTCACGATGTGCGCGACCGGAGAGTAACAACCTGCCCACACACACTTCTATAAGCACACAAAGCTTTCCTGATAGATAATCACCGTCCTTTATTTCATCTTGCTTTCCTCCTACTGTTAATACTGTTTCACAGAAAGATCCAGAAAAAGACTGCCAACTTCAATTTAACGTCAGGACTCTTTACCAAATCAGACAACAGGCTACACTGGGCAGAACTCTAGCATCCTAAACCGTAGATATATGTTGTTTTTCGAAGTCACGCATACAATAACTAATGTGTGTTTATTCACTTAACCTTACCTATCTAACAGAGGGAATATGCGAAATTCAGCTTACGAATTTTGATGTGGTTGTGTTCTCTGAGCTGGATAGTTAATTTGCGAAGCTTTCATCGCCCTACTAGGCGATACCTCAGAAATCACTACAAGACTCTTCAAACCTTTAGGAATTGACGTCGTACACAAACCAACAAAGTCACTTCACTCAATTCTATGTCAACCAAAAGACTCAACAGTGAAAGAAGATAAAACCAACATCATCTACAAAATAGATTGTATCAACTGCGAAAAACACTACATTGGCCAAAGTGGACGTCCCCTTCGTCTTCGTATCCACGAACATTAGCTAGCTGTCAAAAGACATGATATCCACTCCCTCATATCACTACATACAGACAACCACGGATATCAATTCGACTGGGACAACCAACGTTCAAATATTAGACAGAGGAAACAAGAAGAATGCTAGAGAATTTTTAGAAGCTTGGCATTCCAGTGAATCATCAATCAATAGACACATCGAGATAGACAAAATTTATCAACCGATAAGAAAGAAACCTCACACACAAAGGGTCAAAGTTCAAGTCAAAGAAACAATGAGTGACAATACAAGTAACCTAGAAGGTGTGAAAACACACAAAAACAACCAATCACGTCCAAGGTCACCAGGAGAGATGATTAATAAACTCGTGGAGAAATCTAAAAGCTCACTTCAAATTGAAGTATGCGCTGAAGATGTCGCCTAGTAGGGTGATGAAAGCTTCGCAAATTAACTATCCAGCTCAGAGAACACAACCACATCAAAATCATCCACCTGAGCTACAAATCTTCTCTATCATATCAGCTTACGAATGTCAGAAACATTCTCTGGTTAGTTAACAAGGAATTCCAGGTATAGGGATAGAATTAAGCGCTAGGGCAGGAAATTTCCTACCCCACTGGATCCCAGTGGATAATCGTATGCATACTATTTGGCCGAATGGATCCTTTCAATGTAGGAAAGATTGAGATACATGTCTGTGTTTTTTCATGACCTCCAATTACGTTTTGATAAACTACAGGTCAGACGAAGTAAAGGGGGATTTCTATCAAAAGCTGTCTAGTTTGCTGCTCAAGACAAATCGTTCAGATGTAGTCCTTACAGCAGGTGACTTCAAAGCTCAAGTATATAATCCGCAAAGGCCAAAGAAATATATTGGCGGCACCTTTGGCATTACATGGCATTAGTGGTATAAGATGGCAGTAAATAATATATTGTATTACTATTATTCCCTTGGGTTCCGAATGGAACATAGGGCTTCAACAACACATTTCCACTTTGTTCTATTTTCTGCTGACCTCTTCAGCTTGGACCACGGTTCCCCACAATTTCTGATCTGCTCCTCCAACTCACACGGCCTCCTCCATGTCACCCTGGCACCAATGACCCACTCGTCACTTCCCATTGGGATTCCACTCGAGCGATGACCTGCATTGAGAGCGATGTTATTCGACGGCCGCCTCAACGTATGCCCAATCCATCTCTACAGTGAATAATAACAGCAGCTTTATTCTGAACAGTGTTTATGTAATGTACAGAATTTTCAGCAGAGTTCATTACATGATATTTTATCTTCATCCAGGATCTTCAAATAAAATATTAATTGACAGTAGATCGTGTGACACAGTGTTATCTGACCTGAAGAGCCCACCAATCCATTATGATATCTCTTTTGTGTCTCCTTCGAGAAATGCATGACATTTAGTTGAATACCAACCATACAAAGTTCAGGAGTACACTGTGGCAGTCAAGGACATAATTGAGCAACAGTTATCTCCATATATTAGTATACACTGCCTCCTAGGATTATGCTTTTGCTAATGTTTAGTAGAAACTTGTAAATCAGCAGGTTGTAAACAACTTAAATACTCTCCAGAGTAAATTATACCACTAGATGTCATACTCCAATGTGAAGTCAGTGCTACTATACGGATCAGAGACCTGGCGTGTCATAAAGAGCATCTCAAACAAACTACACACCTTCATTAACAGTTGTCTTCGCTCAATACTACTCAAGATCAGATGGCCAGAAATGATCAGTAATAGGGACCTGTGGGAGCGAACCAACACGGCAGGAACCAACTGTAAAACAAATAGGCAGGAAGAAATGAAGATGGATTGGCCATACTCTGAGGAAACAAACCATTAAGTGACATCACTAGACAAGCCATTGCTCGAGTGGAACCCGAAAGGGAAGCGGCGAGTTGGTCGTCAGTGTGAGGGTGAATTGGAGGAGGTCACGTGAAGAGGAGATGAAAACGTGTGGGCAGACTTGGAGCCAGGTGAAAACCTCAGCAGAGAACCGAACGCAATGGAGACGCACGGCTGAAGCCCTATGTTCCTCTATGAATTAAAAGAAACAATATATATGTCATACTTCAAGTATTAGTTTTGCAGGGAAGTTGTTCTTTTGATTGGTTGAAGGATTTCATCATGAGTTGACATCAGTTAGAGAGCTATTGGAAAACCTGGGAGGACTGGACAGCTGTCCCGCTCCACTAGTTTGGGAATCTTCATCAGTACGCAACCACCATCAGGGTTCAAACGCAGGGCGAGCTAGCAGACCATTAAGCCACTGGAACCCGATCCAATGGCCCATGAATTCTAACCAGTAGGGTGCAGCAGGCTGAAGGTGAGGTAGTAACTCATCGAGGCAGACATTGCGAAGTGGTCGCGTTATATCGTAAATTGGCAGAAGTTAGAACTCATGGACTTCTGTTGGATCGGATCCCAATGGTTTAATGGTCTACAAACTCGCTAGCCTTGTAACCAGAAGGCCCTGGGTTCGAACCCCGCAGTGTGGGTGCGTACTGTTGAAGAGTCCCAAACTAGTGGAGCGAAACAGCTTTCCAGTCCTCCCAGGTTTTCCAGTGTTTCTCTAACTGATGTCATACTTCATTAGATTAAAACAAAATGATCAGGAGAAATTAAATGGAATACATTGATGGAGGCTTTTTAGTAACTCAAATTTTAAGCAGGCCACTTGAAGCAGTACACATAAGTGTTAGGCTTCAAAACTTCTTGTGTACTACTTTGAACTTCAATATTTATAAATGGGACCAGTAAAATGTATACTGACAGACTTATTTCGAGAAGTATAAGAGTATACGGTTTGGTGATTTTTGTACATTTCTATATAAATTGCCCAACCAATGCACTGAACCTCGGTATTGAAGACAAATTTAGCCTAACTGTAGTAATGTAGTGAGAGCTGTCTGCTAGCCAAAATTGGTAGACAGAAATTTACGTCGATCTTTATGTCCCAAATGTTGGTCATGAGAAAAAAACAAGAACAAAGCTTAACCAACCAATAACATCAGACTTTGCGTGGGCGGATACGACTCGCAGCCATATGGTCTGACCTTGAAGAAACAGCCACACAGAGATGACAGAATAACCTTCAGCAGGAAAACAACCAATCAGAAGACGTTACCTCTCTGCTAACAATATCGAATAATAATGTACATAAAAATCTATAAATATCTGTTGATTTTCTGAATAAACAATCTGTTACTTGGCCCATGTCTTCTGTCGTTACAGGAACACAATAGCATGAAGCAAAAAGAGTGGTAATATATCTCTAACCAAGATAATTAACAAATCTACATTACCAAATTATGATTAATTTTGTGCAGTTAAGGCTATTTAAAAATAATTTTCTATTTTATAACAACTTTTGTCTAGTCCAACTGTACACGGTGAATTATTGGCTATGAATTTAACTCTTGAAGATATTCTTGAAACTGGTGATATACCAGAAGCTTGCGCTGGTGATAAACTACCAATTCAACAGGCTGAGAATATGCATTGTATGCTTGGTAAACGTACTAGAGAGAAAAGACGTGATCTACAACAGACACCAGGTATTACAACAGGCACAACAGGCCAGCCGCTGACAACACAAACACCAAGTACAGAACAGAGTACAGGTAAAACTCAAAGTATCAGTCCAAATCTACAAACTGCTACATCAAGTTCATCTAAAAAATTAACAGGTGACAATAAAACTTTAGTTATATATTTGTTTATTGGAATATATTTGTTAGTTGTGTATCAATAGTCTGTTTGAGTAAATTAGTTGCAAATCTTTACTTGATTACTTTAGACTGTTGTAAGCAGAGTGAAGAAAATGAAATGTGCTAAAAATGACCGATTCATTGATACGCTTGTTTCTTTTTTCTTCTTCTTCAATGTAACTACACAGAGAAACAAATTTACATTCATATATTAGGTTACTTGTCAATAACTTAACAAATAACCTTTTATTTCAACGTCTTTGTTTATTAAAACCACTCACTACTTAGCACTGGGATTTGTTCTCGGCATATATATATATATGTATATTAGATGGTTGGAGGTAGTTGGAAGGAAGCCTCGTCTGACTTAGGTTTCGTGGTTGTTGGTATTCACCGGACAGTAAGTTGCATCTTCATCTATGAAGGAATTGATGTCCTTGTGTGACCTAGCCACAGACGATACCATTGAACTTTTCGGCTTTGCGGCCTATCCCCTGTATGACTGTATTGGATACTTTGATTTGATACTAAGTATTAACTAGTGTCATGTCTCTAGTTCTATCTTTGGTGTAGATTGAATTCTATCCGTCAAGTTTGCAGTGTGACTACTATGCTAGGTAGCTCGCCATCACGGTACACTTTAAACTGTTGGTGTTAGATGGTTGGAAGCAGTTGGTAGAGAGCCTTCGACATAGGTTTCATGCTAGATGGCACTCACCAGTCAGCAAGGCGTGTCTGCAATCCTGAAGGAATTCATGTCGCCTCTGAATTCGATATACCATTATTTATTCCTAAAGGAACATAGGGCTTCAGCCACACGTCTCCATTGCGTTCGGTTCTCTGCTAGAGTCTTCACGTGGCTCCAAGTCTGCCCACACGTTTTCATCTCCTCTTCACATGAACTCCTCCATGTCACCCCGACCCTCGCACTGACAACCAAATCGCCGCTTCCCTTTCGGGTTCCACTCGAGCAATGGCTTGTTTAGTGATGTCACTTGATGGTTTCCTCAGAGTATGGCCAATCAGTCCACCTCCATTTCTTCCTGCTTATTTGTTGTACAATCGGTTCCTGGTTGGTTCGCTCCCAAAGATCCCTGTTACTGATCTTTTCTGGCCGGCCATCTGGTCTTGAGTATTGATGGAAGACAACTATTAATGAAGGTCTTTAGTTTGTTTGAGATGCTTGATTTTCTCATCTCTTTCTCTATGTTCACCTGAAGTCCTATATTTGATGCTCTCTGCCAACTTGTTTCTTTTCGCTTGCATTTCTTCCAGTTTGTGGGAAATCAGACATATACCATCGGCGAAGTCCAGATCCTCCAAGTGTTTTGTGTGAGTCCATTTCATGCCTGTTTTTTCATTGTTTGCCGTCTGTCGCATTATGCAATCTACTGCAATCAGGAAAATCATTAGCGATAGTAGGCAGCCTTGTCTTACTCCTGTCCTCACTTCGAAGGATTCCGTAAGTTTCCCGTTGTGGATTACTTGGCATGCAGCATTGTCGTACAACTGTTGGATGAGATGTATAATTGTCGGTGGCACCCCTTGGTAGTAGCGAAGTAGTTTCCAAATCACCTCTCGATCGACGCTATCGAATGTGATATATATATATATATTCGCGCTCACTTCTAATCCCATGTATATATATATATATATATATATATATATATATTAATTAGTTAGAGTTAGTCAGAAGGAGGCCAAGCCTGACTTACGTTTCGTGCTTGTAAGCACTCACCAGTCAAAAAAAGGCGTATCTGCAATCTTGTAGGAACTCATGTCTCTTCTGAGATACTAAGCCGTGTCACCCAGTGATGTAGTCAATCAAAGAAGTTACCACTGAGCTATTCAGGCTCGTGATTGACCTCCTGTAGGACTCTATTGGATTCTGTGATTAAAACACCAGGTAGTAATTAGTGTTATGCATCTAGTCCTTTGTTTCATACAGACTGAATTCTAATAATCAAGTTTGTAATGTGACCAACATACTAGGCGGCTTGACATCACTGTGTACTGCGAATTATGGTTATTGTATGTTTGGAGGCTGTCGGCAGGAAGCTTTGGACTTAGGTATCGTACTTGTTGGCACTCGTCAGCAAGGCGTATCTACAATCTTGAAGGAACTCATTTCCCTTCTGAATTTAGTATATATATATATGTATCTGTAACAGCTGCCTAGACAGTTTGATAAGTAGACTCCATTTCTGTGATTTTGTTGTCATCTCAATAATGAGAGAGATTCATAAATTAAATCACTCTGAGAACGACTATTTTTATTTTCCCCAACTGTTGTTCATAAATTAATTTATTTAGTCCCTATGATATTATTCAGTAGTAAGCAAATTCACTTAGATACATTTATCTAAGGAACAAAGATAAAAGCATTATCAACTCGATATCATAATAATGTTTCTCCATGAAATAGTCAGTTGCTGTATAATGTCCATCCATCTTCAGCTTCTTTAAACGTACATAGATGTTATTGTAAGTCGATGGTGTAAAATTGTGACCGACTGATTTTATAGCCACTCTAACAGAATGTTTTTGTTGAGAAAACCACTTAACCAGTATCAAAATTTTATTTTATTTTTCTTAGAACAAGACATATAAGCGAACAATATTGTTTTCAGTTAGATCTTCTTCAGGCTTCACTCTAATTTACATAGACTTATATATAAAAATTTTTTTAACCAATGACGATGATTTTGTGGATCAAATAATAATAATGTAAATGTTTTGAAGGTGAAAACTACCATTCCAACCAAAATAATAATAATAATGTTAATCGATTGTCGTGAATAACATGTGAAGCGATAAGGGTCACGTAAATGAAATTGGTTAAACGATATTTTATATTTTGTTAGAATAATTCAGATATTTCAATACAGTTAGTCACTGAATTTTAGTTTATTTGGAAATCGAAGAGTACTGGACAGCCATTTCGTCTTTATTTGGCACTCTTCGTCAGTACCCACCCAACCATCTCACCATCTATCGAACCTAGGACCCTAGGGATAAAAGACGAACTCGTATACTATTCAGCCACTGGGATAGAATTTGAGGGCTCAATAATTCTAACCTCCGAGATTTAGCGCTGCAGTGCGATAGCGTAATTCTGAAGAGTCCTAAACAAGGACGAAAGAGGCTTCTGACACTCCCTGGTTCCTAAAATTTCTGTAAATGAAGTCAGTTCGTGGTGAAAAATGATGGTAACCATCAATGAAAGTTTTAGTAACCATGTTGCTACATTTACACTAGTATGACTCTTAATTTTATTCACTTTTGAACAGGATTGTCCAGGCTCAGCACTGCTGACAGAGAAACACCATATAAATGATTGTCTTTCTTCCAGATAGCTGATGTCTATGACTTAGGTATTTGAATCCTAAGAAGTTTGAAGTCTAGTTTGTGAATTCTGAAAGGTCAGAGATACAATTAAAAAACAAAACTGGGGAGGACACTGGACCGTTTTTTCATTCTAGCTTAGGATTATTTAGGAGTACGCAATCACTAACCAACCAGGGGTCGAACTGAATACCTCATTTTACGAGACAAACGAGTTGCCTACAAACTACTCGATCATAACGCATTAAGCGGTGAATTTTAAATTCTTTTAATTTCCTATATCATCTATTACTACCATCCATTTACACCACTTGGTGGATCTTACTAGTCTTGGTTTCTTATAGAACTCGTAGCCAGCTACCTGTCGGACAATTGGTTACTGCTGAGCAGCAGATTAACTTTCAAGTGTTATTTTGTGAGAGTTCCTGACGAAACCAACCTTAAAGTTAACCACTTCCCCAATAACTTGATAATATCACATCCAGAATAAAAACGTCAGTTAATAACCATGTTATAATTTGCCTATACTTCTAAAAATGTCTGCTGTTAAACCAATGTAATGTATTCATCATAATTAAATTGTGTTTTTTTATCTCTTACGGATACTGCTTTTGTATATAATAGGCGTAAGTGCAGTCAAGTTGAGTACTCTGGATACACCGATAGCAGCATATGAATTAATCAAAAAGTGTTTAATTTTATGGAAACGTGTTGAGTTATTGAAATATGCTTGGGGAAAGAGAAGATTAGGCATTGAACGAATTAATACACCATCAACATTTAAAATGTTTTGGTAAGATCATTATTTTGTTTGCTTTATTTTACTATTATTATTGTTTAATAATATTAAGGTATGATTATCTTAGGTTGTAAAGTTGTAATGTTCACATTCATTTCGTTGGAATAAATGCATGCTTGTGGTCTTTTAGGAATAAGAATATATATGTGTATATATGTGCGTCGGTGGCACAGCGGACCATGCATGTGGTCCGGGGTTCGATCCCCGGCCAGCGCACTCCTTTACCTCGCTGAACCAGTAATAAAAATGGTAAAGAGAAGAGGTTGGACATAAAGCTAGCAACCCCATCCCGTAAAAAGAAACACCACTGCTACCGAAACTTCAAACCTTTAGCCTGAAGCCCTATGTTCCACTAGGAATGTGAAGGAATAAAAAAATATGTATAAGTAAACTATTCTGAACAGTGTTCACATATGATGTAAGAATTTTTAGTGTAATTTACTGCTTAATGGTTTCTCTTTGTGCAGGATCTTCATCACGACGTTGTCTAACCTGAAATGCAAACCAATCCTTTACGATGTTTCTTCCTTGTTCCTTTCTGGAAATGTATGACATTTGGTTGAAAGCCAATTGAAAAAGCGGCAAGAGTAGGATTCAAGATTTTAGGACATAAGTGAATAATTAGAGACCACAGGCAGTTGGTTTTATTCCTCAGACAATGCAGTTAGTGATAAATATCTCAGGAACAGTTATCTCGTGTATTGAGATACTCTGCCACCCAGGTTTTTGATTTTTCTCAAGTTTAGTTAAAACTCGCGAATTAGTGGGTTAGCATTAGAGTTCATGTTTTAAATGATTTAAATAAACTCAACAAGAGAAATTATATACAATATAATGATGGAGGGTTCTGGCAGCCCAAGGTTTTAAGCAGGCTGCCCCCTATCCTTTATAAAGCAAATTATTATTAAGCGTCTTGATAGTTTCTAATAATGTTCCTCTCCTGTCCTCATTTCTTTGTGTTACAAGTGGAGTATAGAACTTTAAGTTATGAAATTTCAGTAACAGTGGTGATATCCTGTCTCATACTCAATCTTCCACACGCTTACACTTTTAGGATATGTATTATTTAACCCTTTAGTTAGTATTTAAACTGGTGTGGGCTCATTAAAAATCATCATGAGCTGACATCAGTTAGAGAACCATTAGAATACATGAGAGTACTGGACGGTTGTTTCGTTCCACCAGTTCGGGATTCTTCATCAGCACGCACCTGCCGACAGGGTTCGAACCCAGGGCTTTCTGGTTACAAGGCGAGCTCGTTGGCGACTGAGCTACTGGAGCTCAGTATAATGGCCAGTCCATGAATTCCAACTTCTACCAATTCACGAAATAGTGACACCACTAGCCAATGTACTCGATAAGTATTTGTCCGTACTTACGAACTGCTGTACGCTACCGATCAAAACTTCCCACTAGAACCTCAGCTAACTAGCTACCTAAATAGGGTCAGTCACCAGTGAGCATCTCATTGATCAAATCTCTACAAACCAATACTTGAATCCTTATCTTATTGACTAGACGATTTCTTTATTCGTTGTAAGTCAGCAATATTTAAAGTTGAAATAAAAGCATAATGCACAACAGTGTCTGGGTTTATTTAAGTGCCTAACCAAAGGAATGAAAATTCTAATTAGAATGCAAAGAAGGTAAATAATGAAATAAAATAGATGAGAGAATCCTTGTTATGAAATAACTATAACACAAAATTCATTAGAAACTTTGGGACAAGCTCTGTGGTATAAACAATCCTAAAAATCAGATATGACAAATATTCCGGCCAACAAAGTTCTTTACAATGACTGTGACCTGAATCAAGTAATTCAGTCCAGTTAGCTTAGGTTAGTACGACACTGGGATTCAGCTGAGTGTAAAAACGTTTGCTCTAAAAATTGACCAAATTAGAGAGGAATTCAATAAATGCAATGCATTCACCCATACAGAATCACTCAATAAAACAGGATAGGAGTACAGTTCGAGAGAGGAATACACTAAAGAGGAGGGAATGGTCGAATCCCTGTTCAGCTAATCTATTCTTAACAAATTCAGTAGGAATGATGCAACCCCAATTCGAGAGATATTGAGAATATTCATGCCCATAAAATCAAATGATACGAAATAATGGAAGTGTATCAATAAAATCTGACGTGATGTATAGCCGGTAATGAGACCTAGTAGACTGCGAGCTACATGGGTCTAAAACGCAACAGAGATTACTCTAATCGCTAACTGCAACGTTAAGCACTGACGGGTAGAGGGAAAGGAGAAGACAAAACATGGAAGAAATAGTTTCTACTGTTTCAAATAACAGCTAAAACGCTTTACAGTGGTGCTGAATATATACCTTTTTAATGACGTTCACAAGCGTTAAATCCACTTGATAAATGTTAGTTACTAATGACAATTCAGTCTTCACAAAGAGTGAGAAATGCAAATAGCAATTTTATTTAAGATTAGGCAAAATTAAAAGTAAAAAAAACCTTGATGTGACTGTAAGCAAAAAACTGCAGTTGAAAAGTTATCAGTGAACACAGGGCTTCAGCTGCAAATCTCCACATTTCATTCTGTTCTCTGTAATCCTCTGTAGCTCGTCCCACGATTGCCCATAAGTTGTGATTTCCTGCCCATACAACCGCCTCGGTTTCGCACTCAGACCCACGCCCAACTCATGGTTTCCCATTCGTTTTCCACTCGAGCTATATATTGCCTGACGAATGACGTCATCAAACGGTCTCCCTAACATGTGTCCAGCCCATCTCCATTTTTTTTCGAATATTTGTTCACCAACAAGTCCTTAATTCCTTCGTTCCCAGAGTTTCTTGCTCCTAATTCTTTTCGGCCAACCGACTATCTGATCTTCAGTGTGGAGACAGCAAATGGGATGGCTGTTGCAAAAAGCCTTCAGCAGCCCAGTTTCTGACCCATATGGAAGGATTGACTAACATAACATTGGTGTCGAAAACACGGACATTTTACTTTTTGCTGGGTACAGCAGACTTTCACACTGATAATTAGAAGGTTTGACTTTTCGGTTCTAGTTTAGACATCCTCATCCGTGTTACTGCCTGTAGCTGAAACGATGCTGCCTAGATAAATGAAGGAACTGTCCTCTCTCGTTTGTATTCTGTTGTTAGTAGAACTGCATATTGAATGAAATAAAATTATATTAGAGAATTATGCTCTAACAGTGCGCCTTAATTCTTTTCCTAAATCAATTTACTGCAGATGTTTGATAACCTCATATTTTCTATAAAAGTGGAAATTATGTTAATTTCTAATATTTTATAAAATAACTTCATTTTAGTTCAATATACAAACGTGAGAAGCTGTATCCTCTATTACGAAATTTATCTATACAATATCGTCAGCCTGATATGTATTCTTTTGGTCCGTTAAATGATAGTGATATATTTGTTATGCCTAAAAATATTCCAGAAATTGTTGTCAGACAACGACAAGTAAGTTATATTTCTTTTGAATAGTTTTGATTTCTTGACGTATATGATGAAATTTTTGATTCATGTAGTATTTTCCCGTTGACTGGTTTTGACTGAAATGGTCGTCCTCTGTTGACATGTCGACTCGTGCCTAGTACGGATGCTTCGATGGTATCTGAGGATTTAACTTGGAGTAATTTATTGGATAGCGACTAGCGGTGGAATCCAGCATGCACATTTTATTCTGTTTGAGACTAATTGTCAGCTAGATGTACCTGTATTACCGGTGTTTGACGGTGTTCCCACCAAAAATCGAATCCAGTACCCATCATTTCAAACATCAAAGCGTTGTCCACTTGAATTAAGTCTTGTATTAGTACAGAATTTATTGATCAAAACATCTCTTGACTTTGTCCCTTCAAACAAATTTATCTATTCTCATTGAGTCACATAAAAAAGGCTTTCATCTAAGAGTTACTCTTTTCGGTGATATATATATATATATATATATATATATATATATAGAAAGTGTCTTAGCAACAAAAGGAATATTTCCAAGGAGGTGTCATTAGATTTGTAAATTTCAGGTGACAACAATGGTAATAAGGGGTACCATTGTTGTTAACTTGACTTTTGTTCACTTTTAATTTTAGATAAGCTCTACTCAACTCTGTCAATTAGATTACGTCACTCAACTTGGTTATTTAACCTCATTTTAGTTTCGATAAAGAAAGGAAGACGAAATTTGCAGTATAAAATGACATCATTCTATTTCACAGGTTCTCATCAGCCGCAGACTGCTTTAATGTTTAAGTGTTAGTAGAGAAGAAATACTATAAAACTGACGCATCCAAAATGTATGCATTACATTTTAGTTTCTAACCTATTCAAGAAATTTGTCATCTAAAATTTTACAATTCTCATGACACCACCTTGGAAATATTCCTTTTGTTGCTAAGACAATTTACTATAAATATATATATGCAATAGTACAGCTCGAGAATGATATCGCCACTAAGAGCAATCCTTTGTTGAACGGCTTCTCTTTTATATAAATTTATCTGTAATGCTTTTTAGGGATTTCGTATAATATAAAATGTGGCGACATTAAAAACAGATACTTTATTCATGTAACCATAGTTGGATTTCACTTAGTACTGGTTACTTACAAGGAATTAAAATAAACGTACATTTCTTAAAGTTCTATGTTTTCATACACTGTATGACTAAATTATTACAAATTACCAAGACATGCAAAAGCATTGAAAACTAGAGAGCACCGGATAAGTTTTTGTCCTAGTTGTCGGCTCTTCAGTAGTATGCATCCATGACATCACTGGGGACGGAAACTATGATCTGTAGGTTGCAAGGTAAACACACTACCATTCAGCCACTGGGATGGAATCCAATGGCTCATGTTAGAACTCATGGGCCACTGAATACCACTCCAGCAACTGATCTGTATCTTGGTTGCCTTGTAGCCTGGATATCATGGGTTTAGTCTTTGTAGAATCATGAGTCGCACCCTGGAACAAAACTGCTGACGAGTACTTCCTAGTCTCCAGTAGTCCTCTAATCTAAGGATGCCTGAAATCGCGTCCAGTTATCTATAGAAACACTCATAATGGCTGTTGATGAGATCACTTTTGGTGGCAAGTATATAGCAAAATAGATCTATATGACTGTTAAAATAATTAAATAAAACAATATAAATCAGATGGATGCTTTTGTAAGAAGAATTCATTTATCTGTATCTTTCCTGATGTTTGTTTTTGTTTTGAATTATTCTAGTTACTTAAACTGATAGAGGCATTTGAATTTTTCATGATATCTGATTTAAGAAAGTTAGTTGTACGTCAAACTGATTTAGTAATCAAAGAGCGTAATCGTGAAGAAGGTAACCTACCATTAGACTTGTGGAAAAGACCTGTAAGTATATTTCCCTTGGTTTTTTTTCTTTTTGTTTATTTATTTGCTTAATTGCAAGTGTTAATAGTATATAATACGTTGAAAAAAACACCGTTTATGGTGCGAGGTTATGTATTGTGAATTACACTCACGTCTTTCGTAACAGTATAAATTCTTAGATATATATGATGGAGAAGATTTGTAGCTCAGGTGGATGATTTTGATGTGGTTGTGTTCTCTGAGCTCGATAGTTAATTTGTGAAGCTTTCATCGCCCTACTAGGCGACATCTTCAGCGCATACTTCAGTTTGTTGAAGTGAGCTTTTATCTAAAAGCTGATTGGTTGTTTTTGTGTGTTTTCACACCCTCTAGGCTGGAACAGTAAGTTCCAATACAAGCAGGTTAGGGGGTGTGAAAACACACAAAGACAACCGATCACATCCAAGGTCAGCAGGAGAGATGATTAATAAACTCGTAGAGAAATCTTAAAGCTCACTTGCACAAATTGAAGTATGTGCTGAAGATGCCGTCTAGTAGGGTGATGCAGGCTTCTCAAATTAACCATCCAGCTCAGAGAACACAACCACATCAAAATCTTAGGGATATTTCTGAAATATTATCGAAATTTGCAATCTCAAACTGTATAATACATTTGCTAGGAACAGGAGTTATTCTTATATTCTAAGAGAGCATTCCAGTGACGCGATAATTCTTTGGTTCACAGCTGTTTAATACTTGAGCTATTAGAGTTAATTAAAATTAGGGTTATTTTAGACATTCAAAACATTAGCCATATGTTGTCCACTTTCACAGGTAATCCTTTTTCTTTTCGCAAGTGTCTTCTTGATGTATGCAAAACAGTATATTTGTAAAAACCAGTCAAGTGGTTATTGCTGAACTGATTTGCAGGAGAAAGTGTTATGAACTGTATATAAACTGAGGTGACCTTCAAGTTATATCGCACGGATAGCCTTTGGTTGTGGCCGGTTGAGCGTCCAAGTGTGACATATCAGTTAGAAATGGAGGCTGACGGGCAGTTATGGAGCCAACTGAAATTGACAGTAGACAACCGTGTGGAATGGAAATGTGACTCTGAAGTCCTCTATTTCACTTGGTGGTTCTGTTCATGGAAGCGTAATCTCAAACTGCGTAAAACATACGATTGTTGTTGCGCATAATTGACGCCAGCGTCATAAAGACAATAGAAGTGACGATGAATTAAAAGTGTGTGAGAGGTCAAAAACACACTCTCACTCACCAACTGGTACAATCACGTATATCCACGTACACAACGTAACCTGACTCTTCCAATGAGCCACAAAATCTACGGTCCTAACACCACAAAAATGGGACGTAGCTCTCTAAAAATGTATTCAGTGGCAATGCAGAACGCTTCATCACCAAATTTATTAAGCCTACAAATCTAAAACTACACACCTTCTGCCAGTAAAATTCTCTACATGAATCAGCAATTCAATGGATATTCATCGGAAGATTTCCTAAGAAACCCTATATCCCATCCACTGAAGAAAAACTTCACAGATAAAATTCTACCTACTCTTTCTTCAAAACAAATGATTCAAGAGAAAGTGAAGGATAAACTAACACTGATGGCCTCGTCAGTGTGCATTTATCAATTCACCTGCTTCTGTGGATTATGGTATATCGATCATGCTTAGAGTCTGCTATACAAGTGTATGATAGAAACACATGTCCACATCGATTTAAGGATGATTAAAATATCCCTCCGCGGCCAAGTTCTGAAACACATGATCAATTCTAGATAGCAGGTGAACTTACCAACCAACTTCGGATTCATCTACAGAGTATGCGGGAATATAGCGAAAAGTGTGTGAGTCAAACTTCTTCTAAGAAGTTTGTTTAGTCCTTGGACTTACAATAGACCTAATTTCTTTTGAAATTTGACGTATGACTATTTTAATTTTTAATGAATTTTGCTCTTTTCCCATTATTACATTTCTACTCCTAATAACAGTGATCTCAATTTGACCTTCTCTCAGTTCTAAATGAAGTCTATTCAATCCTGTTATTTGTGTTACGTCACTTAGTTTATTTAATTTCGCTTCAGTTTTTTCCAAATAAGTATTTGCTGTATTAATATATGTGGAAAACTTGGTCACTGTGGTAGTAAGTAATTCCATATGTAGTTTACTTACCTATCAGTCCTATATCTCCCAATGTAACTTCAAAAGTATATATCCGTGTATGTAGAGTGTTCAGCTGACGAGTTCTACCGAAATTTGATGAATTCATTAAATCCTGCTTTATTAACCTTTATTGCTTGTTTTAAATTCCATATTAGTTTGTTTATTAGATGTATCACACAGTCACCGAAACAGTATTATTTACTGGATGACTTTTCGAACAAAATTTATTACTGTTCACAATCATATCAGTTTTAGTCACGCGACTTCGAAACTTGAGTTTTACCGTTTTCTTTGTTCCCTCCTATTTGTCGTCATTGGGGTGGTATAATTTTCCAGATATCTGCCTAGACAGGTGTTGAATCCTTCCTATTACACTTGTTTGCAGTTGATTCGATAAACAAAGCTTCTGTTATCAATGACAGTTTTAAAATCTAGTGTCACACGGTGGAGGGAGAGATTGATCTTTGTTTATCGAATCAACTGCAAACCAACACTTGTAATAGGAATGATTCAACACCTGTCCACTTAGATATCTCGAAAATTCTACTACCCCAACGATGACAAACAGGAGAGAACAAAGAAAACTACAAAACTCGAATTTCGAAGTCGTGTGATTATAATTGATGAAATGATTATGAACAATAATGAATTTTGTTCGAAACTGTGTCATGCAGTAAATAATACTGTTTCACTGTGTGATACATCTAATAAACACACTAATATGGAATTATTCACTGTATTACGTAATTTGAAGTCTCTTAAGTGCTATCTGCAACCTAAAACTTTAATGACACTTTTTTGGAAATTTCCCTTTAGTTGCTATTTCCAAACTGGTGTCAACTCGAAATCAAACTTGAAAATGTTATCCCTGAAAAGATTTACTCCTCACTTAATGCTTCTTCTTTTAAAACTTTATGGTGATTGCTCAGCTAGTATATACTCTTAAGAATACTAATAAAATTAGATTTAGAACAAACATAATTTTACATATATTCGGTGCATGTTTGCGTGACTTTGTCGTAAAGTGGTATGATACTGAATTCTTTCGTGGCCAAAACTGTTTGTTTCAAGTTATCGAAACACTTCAAAATTAAGTGATATTTTTATGTCAAAAAGGAATATGCTAGTTCCCGATATACGACAGAAATACTTCAACTGAGTTTCCAAGCTTTGAAACGAAATAAGAAACAGTTTCATATATCACTATATTTTCCAGTTTCTCATTTCTGCCTCTGATCCAAAATCAAATAGATTATGTACGTGGCAACAGTAATTAATGAATGAACGTCACACTAGTTACTAGTGTCCAATGAAAATACCCACTACAATCCTACAGGAGGTCAATCGCGAGCCCGAATAGCTCATTGGTAACGTCTCTGACTGCAGCACTGGGTGACGCGGGTTGGAATCTCAGAAGGGACATGAGTTCTTTCAAGGTAGCAGATACGCCTTGTTGACGAGTGCCAACTAGCACGAAACCTAAGACCAAGGCTTCCTGCCTATTGCCTCCAACTATCTAATATCATCAAATTGATGAACGTATTTGCTTTCTTTTGATATGCCGATAAAACCATTAATCCATCTTTAAATGAACTGCCAGGAACTTTTATTAGGAGATACTCTTCGTAAAATGTATTTAAAACCTTTAATTATTTAAGTGAATTGGTGGATGGTGACTAGCAGAGGGTTCCTGGATGAGCATTTCGTCGTATTTGGGCCTCGTCGACTGGATGCCCCTGCATTGTCTAATGAGTGATGGTGCTTCCTGCACTGAGGCTCGAACCCAGTACCCATCATTTCTAATGACAAAGCGATATCCAGTAGACCACTTGGGTCACGAAAGTCATCTCTGTAATTATTTAGCCTAAAAATCTTGTTCAAAGAACGCTCCAGGATGAAGTCAAACATTCACTTTGCTAGCGATAATGATGTTTAGCAACAGAGAACTGTGAAAAGCAAACTTAAACTACACATATAATGTACGAGATATAATGCATTAAAATCCTGTTATTCTGTTATTTTTATTATTTTATTCTTTTGAGTTCCCAGTGGAAAATGTGGTTTCAGACTTCAGCCCTAAACGTTTCAGTAGAGGCGGTGTTTATGTGTTAAGAGGTGGGGTTGCTAGCCTCCTGCTCAACCTTTCCTCTTTTCCGGGATAACTGTCGGCTAACCAAGTTTAAGGAGTGAGTTGGCGTCCGGGTAGAATCCCGGACCATGTAAGGCGTGCTTGGTGAGCATCCTACCATTAAACTGCTGATTCAAGCTTGATTCTATAGGGTATCGAAATTATTGTAGCATATTTACTTTCCTAAAACAAAAATGAAAATAAAATTAAATCAGTGATCTGTCAGTGCATAAAATTTGTTCATTTTATCTAGTAGTAGAAGTAAGGTTCTGACAAATTAATTAAGCTATTTGTCTTCTTTCCATTTACAAACAAAATAAAAATTAATAAAAATGAATTTATTCAACAGGCAATGAAAGAATCCTTAACTGTACCACGACCTGCATTAGCTGAAGAATTTCTCAGTGAATTACTTTCACACACAACATACAATGAAAAAACTGATGTATATACATTGACAAAAAAGAATTTCAATGATGTTATACAAAATGTAGCTATTTCAGTGATGAGAAATGAAAGAGAATCATTTGAACAGTAAGTTCATGTTTCTGTATTACATTATTTTGTTTTGTTAGAAAAAATTATTTCCCATCGTATATTCTTTTGTTTATCTGACTCTGTCGTAAGGTTGTGGACATTGTTATTGTTTTAAGTGATGAATGTTGATTATTATTATTGTTTCCTTTAATTCCTAGAGGAACATAGGGCTTCAGCCGTGCGTCTCCATTGCGTTCGGTTCTCTGCTAGAGTCTTCACCTGGCTACAAGTATGCCCACACGTTTTCATCTCCTCTTCACATGACCTCCTTCAAGTCACCCTCGCACTGACGACCAACTCACCGCTTCCCTTTCGGGTTCCACTCGAGCAATGGCTTGTCTAGTGATGTCACTTGATGGTTTGTTTCCTCAGAGTATGGCCAATCCATCTCCATTTCTTCCTGCCTATTTGTTTCACAGTCGGTTTCTAGTTGATTCGCTCCCAGAGATCTCTGTTGCTGATCTTTTCTGGCCAGCCATCTGATCTTGAGTTGTATTGAGCGAAGACAGCTGTTAATGAAGGTCTGTAGTTTGTTTGAGATGCTCTTTATGACGCACCAAGTCTGTGATCCGTATAATAGCACTGACTTCACATTGGAGTTGAAAATCTGGATCTTATTTCTGATGTTGAGTGCTGTTGACCTCCACACAGACTTGAGAGCAGCGAAAGCTTGTCTTGCTTTTCCGATTCTTGCTTTGATATCCTCATCAGTTCCGCCTGTAGTTGAAACGATGCTTCCCAGTTAGGTAAAGGGCAGCAAATGTGGCACTCTAACTTCTGGGTGACCGTCCTGATTTTCTGTCTACTCAGCTGTGAAATTCGATTCTTAGCAACATTCCAACCAGTCAACCGCATGATGGACATGATGTTGAGAAAACGTATCTCTGACCTACATGATCAATAAGTCAACCATTTGAAGGTTAAAGTGAATTTAAGATGTCATCTGTGGATAACTAATGCTGTTATGCTGATCAAACACTAGGCTATTACTTTTAGTTTTACTGATTTAAACTCTTAAGAGACAGTTCTCTCAGTCAGTCTGATTCCTCATCTTCAAGTATGCAAGCTTTGGTACTTTTCCCCCCATCTCAGAAGATGCTATTTAAAACGTTACACTTTAAGTATTACTTTTGAAGAGCCACACAGTTCAAGCTCTTCAGTTACCAAACACCTAATAGACGCAGGACGTTAAATAGAAGCTCTTGCATCATCCAAAATAATTAACAGACAAAACAGCTCAAGTTTTATTCGGTTTGCTGAGGCTATCGCGATTAAATGGCTAAAAACTGACCTGTGCATGCAAAAGGAATCTGTTGCTAGACTTCGGTTACGCTGGTCACTCATCACTTAGTGACTCTTTGTTTTCTAGCTTCATTAAACTTTTCTTTTCAACCCTCCCACCTTCTCTTTTCCGTTTGATGTCCATAAGAGATCATTCTTTCTAAATTTATAAGTTCTACTCACCAAATTGCATCATCTTTTCATTTGACCACTTGCACGCTAAATTTTGATCTTCTCTTATCCAATTATGTAACTGTTACTAATTTTTCTTACCGCCGTAACAACAAATTTGTCTGTTGATATCTCGAGAAATTTCTCTCTAACAATATATATATATATACACTGTAATACCTCAAATACCTTACCATCCTAATGTTTTATCTCACAATGACGCTCTTACAGTATGCTTGTTTACAGTCAAAAGTATTTTAAAATTTTACACTGGCTTATTTTATTAGACATTACAGGGTTGTGCCCACCTGAAGAGAACCAACGAAATAAAATAGATCCATGGTACTCTGCACCAATGTCTTTGCTCAAATTTATAAAAGGGAATTCTTGTATGAAATTCATAAAAATGAAATCGTTTTCTCACTACGCAATTCGGATATTTCTTACTGCAATTGCGAATGTTAAGTCAGCCAGTTCTCCTATATAGATCAGAAACTCGGTGCAAGGGTCATGGATAGCATTTCCAATAGTGTGATGCAGACTGTCATCAAACACTGCCCACTTCGCTGGCTGCAAGCTGAAGATCAGACGGCCTGTTGAAAGAATCAGTAACAGGAAACTCTGAGAACGAACCAACCAACAACCTATTGCTTAACAAATATTCTGAAGAAAATGGAGATGGATGGAACGCACTCTAAGGAGACCTTTAGATAACGTCACGCTTCAGGCGATGCCTCGAGTGAAATCCAAGTGAGAAACGATGAGTAAGGCTTCTGAGGGTGACAAGTAGAAGATCATGTGAGAAGGAGATATGCAATCTTGAGGGCAGCTACAGAGAACTGTAGAGAACAATTTGAAGTGGGGATGTTGTGTTGAAGCCATGTGCTCCACTATGAACCTAAGGCAATAATGGCAATAACCTTCTCACTATTCAATCCAAGGATGAAGAAATTTGGGTATATATGTTGTTACTGTTTTTTTTTTTAAAATTGGATAAAGTTGATGAAATCCAACGAAATACAATGAATGTAAAGATTGGAATTGATAGCTCTACCTATAATTAAACCAAAAGTCTGGGTACGTTACGTTGATGATACATTTGTTATGATTAAAAGAAGTGATTTACAATATACCCATAAATTAATAAAAAACATATTTGAAAACATCAAATTCACAAGCGAAGAAGAATTAGATAACAAAATCCCATTTTCAGGTATCTTAATCAGAAGAACTAACACGGGAAATTTAGAAACACAAGTATACAGAAAATCAACGCACACAGATCAAATACTCAACTATACTAGCAATAATCCAATTGCTCACAAAAGAAACCATGTGCAGACATTGTTTAAAAAAATTCAAACACACTGTAGAGCTTCAGCGTTGAAAAGAATGGAAGAAAAATACCTACTAACAGTCTTCAAAAAGAATGGATATCCCCCTCACAATTTCATCAAAAAGTGTTTAAAATCGAGTCACAACACCAACAGGAAACCATCACCAAAGACTAGAAGAAAGTTCATCCTACCATATATAAAAAATTTCTCTGAAATAACAGTTGGAATACTGAAACCGTTTGAAATAGATGTAGCACACAAGCCAGTCACCCAACACAGTCACTTCATTTGATGTTGTGCAGACCAAAACATCCAACAGAAAAAGAAGATAAAATTAATAAATTTACAAAATAAATTGTATGAACTGTAACAAACATTGCACCGGCTAAAGTGAGCAACCTCTTTGAATCAGAATCCAAGATCACAAATTAACTGTGTGAAAATACATGAAATATATTCTTTCATATCAGTGCATGTAGATAATTATGGACATCAGTTTGATTGGGATAATGTCGAAATTTTAGACAGAGGCAACTCCAAAAATCCCAGGGAATTCCTAGAAGCCTGGTGATTAACAAACATGTTAATATAGACCAAATACACCAACTAATAAGAAGTAAACTATGTAACGAGAAAGTTTCAAATCCAAATCAATAGAAAATGATCAATACATATGTAAAGATGGTTACCGGGAGACGTAATTCTATTATCACTCATGGAAAATTTAAATTAGTTCACTTTATGCTGAAAATTGCGCTGAAGATGTTGTCCACAAGGACGACGAAAGCTCCGCAACTAAACCAACCAGCTCAGAGAACACTACTAATTGCAAAGTGGCGTCATGTTATTCTTCTTAATTTGTTGCTTTTGTTTTGTTTAAATATGGTCAATTATTTAAAAACAAATTTTCTGAAAATATGAATACCGTCTTTCTTTAAAAACTTTACTGGTTTTTCAACTCAGAGTCATGAGGTAAAAATTTTCTCAAAATTAATATTTACTTACCAAATAAATGGTTTTTGTCTTTTTGTATTTCTTCTTCTAGTTATTCAATGTATTATGAAAATTTATTAAAAAATCAACACAGTATAATTTATGCTAATGAACGTGAAATACAAGATCTTAAAGATCAACTGCATCAAAAAGATTTAGAAACTGGTGTCACAGTACAATTTCAAATGTCTGAACAAGCTCATAATTTGTTACTAGGTAAGTAAAACTTATGTATTATTTTTCTATGGTCAGTAAAAATGAATGAAATGACAGATGAATCTATCACAAATGACTTCTCACTAGAACTGCAGGCAACTTCGACGTGTAGCCAGTCACTAGTGGACATCAGATCAATTTTCAGGAGTCAGTTTGTAAGGATATGATTTATTTCAAGTGTGATGACGAGTTGAAATCACTTGGCAAAGCTATTGGATTCCACCAGGTTGAGAGTGAGTACAAATACTCGCCAATAACATTGGCTGGAGATCGCGCTAAAATCACAAATGCGAAGAAGTTGGAATTCATGAGCCATTGGATTGCTTGCCATTGGCTGTATGGTGTACCAGCTTTCCTTGTAGCCGGAAGGTCCTGAGTTGGAACTCCGGTGGGTATGTACTACGAAGACTCTCAAACTAGGATGAAACAGCTGTCCAATGCTCTCTGGTTTTCCAGTGGTTCTCCAACTGACATCAATCCGTGATCAAACTTGAAAATAATTACATATTATTAAAAATTCTATTCACCACTGAATGAAAAACAAAACAAAATTGTTTTTATTACCAATCTTGTGGCCTAATTCTGTAGCATGTAAACGAATGGTTGAAGAGTTTACAAGCCTTTCCAGTTTTGGTGGCACAGTGGTAGAATGCTTGCCAACCATGCATGTGGTTCGGGGTTCGGTCCCCGGCCGACGCACCCCCTTACCTCACTAAGCTAGTAATAAAACGAATAAAGAGACAAGGTTGGTCATGAGGTTAGAAACCCCATCTCGTAAAAACAAACACCACTGCTACCGAAAATTCAAAGCTCTAGCTTGAAGCCCTATGTTCCACTGGGAAGGTAAAGGAATAAAAAAATTTTCGATAGTCGAACAGATGCTCTGTAATGTACACTTTTCCTGGCTTTGATTTATCGTGGAGTCAACCTCCACTGTATCTAAAACATCTATAGCATACATTTCGAATCAAAACTTCTACCACAACTTGGTCATTACTCATTCAGTAGTTTTAGAAAACATGACTGATACAGGGTATTTAAATTTTCCGACTGCATAAAACTAAAAGAAAGCATGTTTATGTTTAATAGTGTTTTCCATAATGCATTTCTAAGGCTTTAATATAATACTCATCGCTCTAAACAAATATGAAATTCTTATCAGTGAATGATAAATGTTGGAGATTACACAGATGATTATGGCAATAAAGGTCAATAATATAAAGATGCAAAACAAGAATAATAAATGTATCAGGATGATATGATCTCATCTTTTATTACTTCAAGGATTCTTCTAAACTGGGGTAATTAGACCAATACATTTGAGAATAGCGTTCAAGATTTTCGGGTAGATTCAAAGCTTAGTTACAAAGTGTTTAATAATGTAATAAGTTGCGTAATTATAGAAAGTATGTTTTATAAAATAGAAAAAACGGTGGCTAGGGTGTGTCATATCCAGAAGAAGCGACAAAATGTTTCTTAATAGGCTAATAGGTTAAATCTTTTACTCTATTTTTTTATTCCTTTACGTTCCCAGTGGAACATAGGGCTTCAGGTTAGAGGCTTGAAGTTTCTGTAGCAGTGGTGATTATTTTTACAGGATGGGGTTGCTAGCCTCATGCCCAACCTTCCCTCTTTATCAGTTTTATTACTGGCTTAGTGAGGTAGAGGAGTGAGTCGGTGGCCGGGGATCGAACCCCGAACCACATGCATGGTTGGTGAGCACTCTACGGCTGTGCCACCGACGCACTTTGCTCTATTATGCAACTTTAATCACCAAGGTAGTAAGGAATTCACCACTGTCACATTCTACCTACATAGGTTACATCTCAATAGTTTGATGGCAATTATCTCAAAAAAAAAAAACGTAAAAGCTAGATTTCTTTTGCCTGTCGGTTATTTTGAACGCCTTCAAATGGTCCACAAAATATGACTAGTATCTAACAGATGGCATGCAGTGGTACTGTTTGATGCCTACTAGCCTTTTAGTCTCAAGCCCTTTGTATTGTTCAGGTTGTAGCCAGTTGAGAAGAATCCCTGAAATAATAACAGACGAATTCATATTATGCTGGTAGATTTGTCATTCTTGCTTTGTTCAAGTTTATTAGTGGAAGCACTGTATGCAGTTTTTAATATAAAGATATTTGAAATAAGAACAATGAAATTGCATGACAGTGTAGATATTTTGATGATCAAATCAGGTCAACACTGTACAAAATTGGAAGCTGTGAATTACTAAAAATGGAAGACGGACAACTGAAATCCAAACAATTATAATAGAAATATGAATGCGTTAAAAAGTTCTTATGTGACGTGTGTTGTTGACGTCAATTTCTACGTAGTGGATTGTTGACGTCTTCTGAAAGCATCTTCAATGATGGGCTGATGGATTCAGTTAAAAAGGAAGAGACGAAGGTCATGGCAGTGAGACAGTATCGAAGGTATTAACCGAGGAACAAAGAAACAGAATACGAATACTCTTTGCATACTGAAGTTCCATTGTAAAGCCTCTATAGTTTGTCATCACTGTATGTCACTTTACCGAATGAACAATTCTTCAGCTAAATACCACCATGTCCTATTGTTACAACAACTGCTTACTCGTTTATTAACTTAACCCTAGCTTGAAAATCCCCATTGAGTCATATGAAAAGAGAAGACGTTCTGCGAAGAGACTCTTTCGGTGAACTCATTCACATAGCTGTACAATCGCATTTGTATATAATTATTTGTCGGCCGTACCCAGCGCTCACTTTCCGAACATATCAACGAACACTTACCAACATGGTTTTACAAAGGAGAAAATCGATGCCCCCGCAGTTCCATCTTAGAACATCTGATAGAATCCGGACACCAAGCTACACCGCAAATAAACTTCAAAGTCGTCTACAGAATACAAAGTAGCCTTCCTAAAGGTGTTCGAATCAGACTTCTTCAAACTGCAGAAGTCCTGAACTCTGCATACAGAAGAAGTTCTTTCAATCACTACACTTGTAATGGACGTAATCTATCTTATTAGCCGATAAGTAAATTCTACCTAATCGTTTTTTCTGTCTCTTCACTAGTATTATTTTGTCTTCTCAATTGTAATATTTTACATTTTCATCTTTCTTGTTCTCTACCCTCACCCGATTTAATTTCTACACCTCACCACCACTGTTACTGACTTGAACAACCTATTTGCTCTATTTCACTTCTACTTAGTCTCTACCTGTAGTCTTCTTTGTTCTCTCCTAACGTCCTAGGGGTAGTAGAATTTTCCAGAAGTCTGAGTGGACAGGTGTTGAATCATTCCTATTACACGTATTTGCAGTTGATTCGATAAACAAAGCTTCCGTTATCAATCTCTCCCTCCACCCTGCTGTTACATTAGATTTTAAAACTGTCATCCTATCCCATCCTATTGTATGATTGTGTGTAATTGCATGTGGTGAGTGCTATAGCTGAACTATTCTCCAGATTTCTTATCTTATTAAACGAAAAATACGACAAAAGTTTGAAATCCTTCTGAACGATTAAACGGAATATCATAAGTCACTTTGAAAACTCTTATTCTGTCTAATACCTAACCCCTAGTGATCAGATAAAATTAATTTAAGCTCTGTATTCATGACACTGAATCTCTCTTCTTCCCAACCAACAAGGTAGGTGCTCAGCAATCCATCTAATAAATCCATGAATCCCTAGGCATACAGACAGCATCCACTAAGCATTCTTATCGGAAAACGTTTCAAAGTTATCTTTGAATGCCTAATATTCGAATGAAATAGAAATTAGCACATACACTGACTTATATACTGAACACAAACCAATGCACTTCATTTTGTTACTTGTCAATTGACAATATACATAAAATATCACCATATTCAATAAACTGCATAAATTGAATTCTCATTCTTCTCTCTATATATATTGTATATTGTAGAGGTTACTGCGCTAAGAGCTAGAATTCATGAATTAGAAGAAATTAACAGTAGGAATGAAGCTAAAGCACGTAAACATGTTAGAAATGAATTCAGTAATTCAATTCGTAAACTATTCGGTCTTAGCTTTGAACAAAAATCTCGTATCGATGAGTATCGTAATCAACTGCATGCAATCACATTACAACGTATTGCTGAAGTAAGAGATGAAGCATCAACAGAAATGTCACGTATAAAAGAACGAGGTGGTGTTAGAGCATCAGCAGGTAACTTGTTTTTTTTTCTGTTTTTAAATTTTAATGTGGTATTTTTCTGAGATGATTGAAATTCGTTGTATGTCATACTACAGTGTATTATTCTACCTTTCGCCTTCAGTGATAACATCTCTTTTTATAAAAGTGTATGGGAATTGTGTAAGATTGGAAGTTTGTAAAAGGTTTTACGGAAACATAAATGTTCTGATTATGGCAATAATAGACCGGTCTATTGTCTGACCTTTCTTGGTCATCCCGTAACTTGTCAATTCCTGAGAAAATATTCCTTCTAACCTACAATACTAAGAAGTTAAGTTCAGACTACCACTGCCAGGTACGTCCTGATCTGGCTCATCCGAAGTGAATAGCTTTTTGTCGGACATCAGGCAGTGGTCTAAGCTAAATGGTCTTAGGTTAAATCCACCTAAATGTCAGACAATTAACTTCACATTCAGTCATAAACATGATCTACAAGAAATCCTTCGTTTATATGATGCTTGTAGTATAGAGAGCACTGAAACTTAGAGAAGAACCATTGAAAACCAGGGATTACTGGATAGCTGTTTCATCCTAGTTTGGGAATCATTGACAGTACGCACCCACTGCTGGGGTTCGAACCCAGGACCTTCCACTTACTAGGCAAGTTCGTACACCAAACTAGGATGAAACAGCTGTCCAGTACTCCAGTGCTGGTTTTCAATGATTCTCTAACTGATATTAATGCGTGATCAACTCGTAAAAACAAATTGAATCCTTACAAACTAACTATAGAAAATTTATCTTTGTTATAATTTTTCAAATATATATTTTATAGAAGATGAATTAGCTGAGCGTAATAATCGCCTGTTTAAAGAAGTGACAGCTTTACATCAACGTAATATCAGTCTTCAACAGATGATTGGACGTTTAAGAGTTATGGCACATTGGCAACAGACTACATTAAGATGTATTTTTGAAAAACAGGTTTGTCGACTATGCTATATATTTATTGTTCCTTTTTCGCCAATCTAAATGGTAGTTGTTATGATACATGCTTTTATTACTTACGTGTTGACTATTTCGTGATAAGAACTTCATACAATTGTTCCCATTAATGAAGAATTAATGTATTAGATAGTTGGAGGCAATCGGCAGGAAGCCACGCCTGACCTATGTTTCGTGCTAGTTGGCACTCATCAGCAAGGCGTATCTGCAACCTTGATGGAACTCATGTCCCTTCTGAGATTCGAACCCGCGTCACCCAGTGCTGCAGTCAGAGACGTTACCACTGAGCTATTCGGGCTCGCGATTGACCTCCTGTAGGACTGTAGTGGGTATTTGGATTGGACACTAGTAACTAGTGTGATGCGTCTAGTTCTTTCTTTGGTGCCTTCAACTATTTAATATCATCAAATCAATGTGCACTGTGATGGTGAGCTACCTAGAATGGTGACCACATTACAAAACCTGACTGATAGAATTCAGTCTGCACAAAAGAAAGGACTAGACACGTCACACTAGTTACTAGTGTCCAATCCAAACAATAAATGTACCAGGATAATATGAACGAGCTCATTTTCTATTATTCTGAGGATTCTTCTCAACTGACCGCCTACAACCTGAACAATACAAAAATATAAATTACATTAAATGTCTCAACATACTTCTTCCATGAAGACAAGGAGTAATCGGTAGGAACTTAGAGTGACATTAGTCAGGAATGATTTACGTTGTTAAATGATTAGGATTTGAAAAGACTAGAGATTTACAAGACAAATGGACGCATAAGCTTGGGAACAAAAGAACAGAGTTCAACAAAATGGGATAGGCTGAGTAAAAGAATAAAATTTCCTAAACACGTCAGAGGATGACGTATACTTTATTATCATCATGACAGTGTAAGATTCGCTACTGTCTCTTTCTGCGTACATAGATTTGGTTTTAATCATTTGAAAGAGATTGCCTCAGCAAAACGTAGCAAGTTAAGTTTTTTTCTGACTTTTGGTTATTTTGAGCGCCTTCAGACCGTCTGTAATATGACCAGTGTACAACAGATAGCATGCAATCACACTTTTTAACGCCTAGGAGCCTTCAGTCTCAGGTTCTTCGGTATGTGTTCAGAAACACGGACAATAGGCTTTCTCTCTGTTCTTGCAATGTATTTGCTTTGGAACGCATATGTAAACTGGTAATTGCAGTTGAAAGTAACATGAGTGAGGTGGGAGTTTGTTCAATTTTGATTTTCTTAAACAATTGGTCTTTTGATAAACATATACAGGCTCGGCGACTGAATACGCTGTTTTCAGGACAGCGTTCAGTCTGCATCTTATTCTACTAAGAATATTATCACCTTTGAAAGAGAGCTGTAGAAAGATAGACTCTGTCTCTACTGTGATGCAATTCACTTTTTCGACACTACGTTTCTCATGTATGTCGATGAAATTCTGTGGGTAACTGTCATCACTAAGGCATTTTTCCACAATGTATAGCTCTTTCTTGACTTTTTCTTCTAAGTAAAGCTTCCTTACAAGATCAAACAATCTTCTTACCAATCTCTTTTTTGTAACTTATAGGGCAGAAGCTTTTGAAGTTCAGAACCAGCTAACAATTGTGGTTTCGATAACTTCTTCCTCAGGCTCTACAGTTATAAAATCCGTGAATATTAGAATAAAAATACCCAGTAAAGTCACATAAAAATTATATCAGAAACCGTATTAGTGTACATGTATAAAATGGATTGATAGTCTGTTAGTTAATATTGTCAACTGAATGTATATTAAATGTAGTCATTCAGAACATAAGATGAAGTGTGAATAGATGACATACTAATGTATTTATAGTTAACAGAATATAATTTTCACTGGGGGTAGTGAGTCAGTTGTGTGAGAAATATGATTACCACAAATTACGTACAAACAAATACCGAAACATGGGGAACACTAAATGTAAGGGCTCACAGATATCAAGTGTAGGGATAAAATAAGGAGGGTCAATTGTGAACTGTAATAAAATACGTGAGACTCGACTAGCTTAGTGTAAATTCCGAGGGTTGATAAATAATAAGAATAATAATGGAGTGAAGTAAACTAAGTTAAAAGAAATAATAAAGGGATAATATAACATGAGGGTATGAAGTAATTATATCTCTGATGTCCTTACAATAGGCCAGAGTAGACAAAGAGGATAAATGTGCTTCTTTTACACACAAAGGTCAGGTTTCTTCTTAATAATCACTATAGCTACCGCTGTAGCTAGGAGACGTAATCATATACCTTTAGGCATATCGTTTGGTACTCGATACACAACCGTAAATGACTAATCTATTTTGGTATGGTGTTCTCTATCCACAAGATGAAATAAAATGGCACTGTTAATTGATTTGGTTGCTCTTTTTCCAAGCCAAACAGGATAAATTTCCCCAAGTTAAACTGTTATAACTAGCTCCATATGAGCAGTTGAAATTGTATACACATATTGATGATGTACACACCAGTTTCTTAATCAGACCTATATTGATACACTGCAGCAAAGATGGCCACATCAATATGTGTAGTTTTCATATGCTTTTACAGGCTATTTGTTTTCTAATATTCATGGATTTATAACTGTATAGCCGGAGGAAGAAGTTGTCCAAAGCAACTGTTCGCTTCAAACTATCTTGTTCTGAATACACTGTGGAGACTTTTAATTTACTTATATATATATATATATATATATATATATATATATATATTGAATGCTGTCTGACAGTTCCTGCAGTCCTTTTATTATATTTTCAATTTCCGAGAGCTAAATGATTCAAGTGACTTTAATTTTTTTCGAAATTGTTTAAAAAAAAACAGATTGACGCTATTGAAGATCAACGGAATCAAAGTAAAACACGTGTTACACGCTTAGGTATACTGTCTGAACAACGTGTACGTTTATTAAATGAAGAAATGGCTAAAGTTCGTGAACATTTAGCTAATACAGAAAAACATTTAAACAATTTACGTAATGCACTGGATAAAGAGGTAAGTTCATGCAGTAATTATTACTTTGTTTTTTTATTCCTTTACGTTCCCAGTGGAGCATAGGGCTTCAGGCTAGAGGCTTGAAGTTCTGTAGCACTTGTGATTATTTCTATAGGATGGGGTTGCTAGCCTCATGCGCAACCTTCCCTCCTTACCAGTCTTACCACTGGCTTAGGGAGGTAAAGGAATGCGTCGACCGGGAATCGAACCCCGGACCACCTGCGTGGCGATGAGGACTCTATCGCCGTGCTACCGACGCAGTTAGGCTTTTAACACTTTGAAAGCACATAGCGCCACAACTGTTTGTTCATGAAGTAGATTCCTTTAGTTAATGTCCATGAAACAACACAGGTTATATATATATACTACGATTAGAAGTTATCTAAACAAGAACACCTCTGTGCAGAATAAGATGGTAACATCATTGTGTATTTCGTTGGCTTCTCACCAGTGCTGTCTACAGTTTAATGAAATTATTAAGTTTATGTAGAGAACAATTTTAACATACTTGCAAATGTTACATGATATCAATTGACAGGAGGCTCCGAACTTCATAAACATTGCTCGGCAAAATAAAACGTATACTTCATCTCCAGAAAATTCAAGTTTAAACAAAATATAAATGCTAGCATATACTGGCAGAGTTACGTAATAAAGACAAGAGGCGAATAAACTGGTGTATAACTAATAAACTCAGTAACATTGTGGTGAGATCAACTCAAATCACAGAACTAGGAGACTAGTAGAGTTGCACTATGATGAAAGCAGGAGAGGTTAAAGACAAAAAAATACATAATCAAATGAAAGAGAGACTAAAAACTTTCAGTTACCAGAGTAAAGAAAGACTGGTAACTACTTCTTTCTGAACACATAAATTGGGTTTCAGGTGTTTGATAGAAATTGTTTCGGCAAACTTTCGGAGCACTGAACTATTTTGTCTACTGATAATTTGGTAAGATTTCCTGATGTCCACAACATGAGGCGTACTGATAAAATGTCTGGCACAGTTGTAAACGTTTGTTCCCTTGAGTTGTAAGCCTTTTGGTACATGTTCATAAAATTGAAGATATGCCTTTCTTTCTGTCCTCCCAATGTAAATACTGACACAGATAATTGTAAATTTGTATACACAGTTAGAGTCAACATGAGAGGGGTATCTGCCGACCTTTGAGTGCACCGAAAGGCATGTTGCCCCATAAACAGGAACCAACTTAGCTGCAGGATAGTTTCTAGCTACTGAGTTATTCAATCTTCCTTTCACTATTCTTGCAATATTATCAGTTTTGAAATCGAGCTGAATGAAGATTAAGCTGCTTTTCCACTGTGATTTGTTTTCCATTTGAGCCGGTACATCTTCCGTACGTGTTAATAAATTTCGGAGTGTAACTGTTGTTCCTCAACATCTTTACGAGGATCAGAAATTCTTCCTCTAATTTTTTATTTAGAGCATATTCCCCTGACTCTATAAAACATAGTTTTAAACAGTGCTCGTTTATAGCTATATGGGCATAACCTACACACTATCCACTTCGTCTAGGTTGACTAGTACAGCGACACAACATAACTTGATTGTCGCTAAAAGTGAAAACATTTCTCTTGTGTAGAGGTGTGATAAGTGAAAGCAACAAAAGCGATATTCAATTCAAATTTTGGTAGAACTCCTTAGCGCAATATGTTAGTTGTCTACTGAGCAACTACTATAAGAATTATGCTTAAACATCAACTGCAGGCGATTGGTGGTGAGAGTTGTAAATCGCTAACTGATCATCCATTTAAGTAATATGCGAATGGATTAAGCTTTAACTTATCCAGCCAGAGTTGGATTAGTGGTATAAGACAAAATATCCACAGGCTATTCAGATATATTAGAATAAATGTAACTGAGTGCTATTTCACTCTCAATAAATAACTGGGTAGTGTGCTTTATACCGATCGCCTATATCATCATCAACGGAGCAGATAATGTATTTAAGTGTTGATATAGTTGGAAATGTAGGGTGAATTTATGTTTGCGTTAAAAAGCTAAATCTCTCAGCAATGACAATTAGAACAAATATAATAGTTGAGCTGAAATATAACGCAAACACAGAATATTAAAATTTAAGATTCTCTGAGTTAATGCTTCACTTATGTACACTATTCTGTATTGAAAAGATTGACTCAAACTAAAATGTACAGAATCAAATTCAAACCAACTTAGTAGGCCTATGAAAAATTTCGTTATCTTGATTTTACTCAAAAACAAAATTTGAATATTGAAGCGTTTAATGTGAGTCAGTAAATAGATTCATACATGAATCAGATATTCTAATCACTTATGTTATACTATACTGTCATAAAGTTACCTAATTACATAACGTTTGATATAATACTGTCCATTGATAACTGACAAATAACTATTGAAATTTATTTCAAGTTTCCTCATGAGCTGACACTAGTTGACGAATCACTGAAAAACAGGTGAGTACTGAATAGCCATTTCATCTTCTTCTGAACACCTTGATATGCAATCTGCGTATGTTTGGCATGCAATTCGCTCCCGCCAAATGTAAGATGATGCTACAGGACCGGACCACGTTGACTCCTAGTTTAGAAGTAGGGGTTGAAGCGTGTTGACCACTTCACTCATTTGGGAAGTTGATCGCTGACGAAATCTCATCACGGATACAGAAGGCTCGGTTTACACATGCCAGTTTACGCCGTCCCTGGTTTAGTGGACGTGATATCCGGCTAGCTGTCGACCAAAGGGCGTGTGTACTGCTCAGCAGTCCGCTATGTTTTCCTTTATGGCTGGCTGTGAGACTTGGCCATTGAAAGTAGAAAACATGAAAAGCCTGGCTAGCTGGCTGTCTTTGGTCATAGGTGCCTGAGTTCTATCTCCCGTGTGAAGTCGTATAATACGGTTAATAATAATGAAGTTAGATGTTGAGGGCTAGGTAAGGAGGGGAAGTCAATCGACGAGCCTGTGGAGCAGCTTTATCGATTGAGATGGTTAGGACATGTATTACGTATGCCCAGCATAGCCAACGCCTTCCTCGACGAGCACTGTTAGCTGCCATATGGTCAGGTTGGAAAGGAACCAATGGTTGTCAAACAAAAACATGGCTTCATCAGTCAATGAAATCCACAACAGTTAGTTTAAGCCGGCCAGTCACGTAGGGAGGTGTGGATTTCCTAACTGCTTGAGGTCCTCGGGACGATAAAAACCAATGGCTGGAGACATTTGGTGATATGGCTGAAAATCGTTCTCAATGGCGCAGATGCATCCACTCCTTGTGACTTATAATACTATTCTCCTCGCCTCATATCTCTGTTTACTGCCTCTAATTTGCATTTCTTTTTACTTTCTTTTCTTACTTTGTGTGCTACATGGAGTGTGGTTACTCGAACTACTGCACATCCGTGCAAAGTTCTATGTTGAAACGATTCAGTCAGTCAGCTGCGTCTTCCTACGAGTTTCAGACTTATCGGCAGTACCCATCTGTCATGGTTCGAAATCACTATCTTCTGGTTACTGGGCAAACTCGTAGACCATTTATCCAATAGGATCCGATCCTATGATCCATGAATTCGTGATTTTAGCGTGACCAGCCGCCAATGTCAACGTTGGCGAGTATTTATCCTCACGTCCAATATGTTGGGCCCCATTGTTCACTACTTCTCACTAGAACTGGAGGCAACTTCATCCTGTAACTAATCAGCAACAATCATCAAATTTTAATCAGAATTTTAAATTTCTGTATGTTGTTTTAGTTCCAGTCAACATTTTAAGAAAAATATTACTAATAATAAATAATAATAATAATATAATTCTTACTTATCCACCTATTTTACTACTCATTTTAAATAGATGAAAGATAAAGTTGAGAAGAAACATGCAGCTGAACGGAAAGCAGCCACAGATAAACAAATGACTATAGTAAAACAAATGCATATCGACCAGCTGGTAAGTAGTACAGTTCAGTACCATATATTATATAATATTTTTCTCATCTTAATGAAATTTCCTGTACGAAGAACTTAACATATGAGATCCTGACCCAAAATAAATTGTAGTTGAGATTATTTGACTGGAAATGTTAATTTTCAGAAAGATAAATTATGTGTGAGTTATTTTTCAAAGAAAGGAGACTTAAGTCAGTGCAAGAATTGGTAGAGCATTATGCTCCTGTTTATCCCAAGCAAAACACTAAGCCGCATCATCCTGGAGAGAATCAAACAAACTTCCACTGGAACAGGTTGGATTCAGGAGAAAAAAGTCATGCATCGATCAAATCGTGACACTACGTATCATCACTGAACAGAGCTTGGAATGGCAGCCAGCCAGCTCTCTATCTCAAATTCATTGACTTTTAAAAGACCCTCAGCAGACAGCGTCGACTGGGAGGTTATTTAGCAACTACTTCGCTACTATGAGGTCCCGCCAACAATTATACACCTCATCCAACAGTTGTACGACAATGCTGCATGCCAAGTAATCCACAACGAGAAACTCACCGAATCCTTCGAAGCGAAGATGGTAGACTGGATAATGCGACAAACAGTGGGCAATGAGGAAACAGGCATAAAATGGACCCACACAAAGAACTTGGAGGATCTGGACTTTGCCGATGATATATATCTGATTTCTCGCAAACTAGGAGATATGCAAGTAAAAAGCAACAAGTTGGCAGAAGAAGCATCAAATATAGGACTTCCTCCAGACGAACGTAGAGAAAACAGAGGTGATGAAGATTCCTGGCCAACAGCAACAACAACAGATAACACTCAGCGTAAATGGGAGAAACCTGAAAGAAGCAACCTCCTTTACCTACCTACTTAACTACCTAGGAAGCATCGTTTCAACTACAGGTCGACGGAACTGATGAGGATATCAAAGCGAGAATCGAGAAAGCAAATAAAGCTTTCATTTCTCTCGTCTGTGTAGAGGTCAACAGCACTCAGCATGGAAAATAACATCCGGGTTTTCAACTCCAATTTGAAGTCAGTGCTACTTACTATACGGATCAGAGACTTGTCGCCACGTCACGAAAGGCACTTCAAACAAACTACAGACCTTCATCAACAGCTGTCTTCGCTCAGTACTCAAGATCAGATGGCCAGCCAGAAAAGATCAGCAACACGGATCTTTGGCGATGAACGAAAAAACCCAGCAGGAACCGATTGTGCAAGAAATATGAAGGAAGAAATGCAAGTAGATTGGCCATACTCTGAGAAAACCATCAAGTGACATCACACGCCAGGCCATCTCTCTAATGGAACCCGAATGGGAGGCGGTGAGTTCGTCGTCAGTGCGAGGGTGTGGTGACATGGAGGAGTTCATGTGAAGAGGAGATGAAAGTTTGTGAGCAGACATGGAGCCAGATGAAAACAATGGCGGAGAACCGAACACAACGAAGACGTATGGCTGAAGCTCTATGTTCCTTTAGGAACTACAGGAAACAATAATAATATTTTTCAAGGAGAATAATTATTTATCTAGTTTGAAATGTAAAAGGATTCAAATGAGAATGTAAAATCATGTAGACTGCAATTCACTCATCTAGTACACTTTTTACAGTAGCGGCTCATATGCTTGAGGTAGTTTAGGTAAATTGAAATGATTGTTAACAAATGATAGAATGCAACAGAAACACAGAATAGAGAACATATAGTTAAATATTGCAATATATTTGGACTGATAAGAAGATTTAAGTAGATTTGGATTCATGTCGAAATGTCACATTTACACAAAGACTCTCAGAAAAAAACCAAAAGGTTGTCAGAAGCTGGTAGCAAACATTGAACTTTAAGTGAACATTGAGAAGACGCAGGTGATGGAGATACACGACAACTAATAATAACAAGGAAGAGCCACTTTTCATGGGAAAAATTTGAATAAGGTCACTTCTTTCACTCGTCTAGGCATCATCGTTACAGGCTGAAACTCAAATAGTCTAAAGGTCAAATCCCACTGACACCTTGTTAACAGACAGCCTTCTTTAGCTGATTCAATCAGTAAACTGACAGTTAGATAATACTCAAATTATCACTTGGAATTGTGCTAAGTGCCAGATTTCCTACTATCTGATATCATCATTTCTAAGCCTAAACACAATTCAGACAACAAAGAATATTTGAGATAAATTGTTTAGAACAACACATTTAAGCGAACAATATTGTTTTCAATTAGATCTCATCAGGCTGAACTCTAATATATATAAGTTTACAAATAAAAATAAAATCAAATGGGGTTGCGTTATGTCGTGAATTGGTAGAAGTTAGAATTCATAAACCATTGGATCGGGTCCCAGTGGCTTAATGGTCTACGAACTCGTCTTGTAACCAGAAGGTCCTGGGTTCGGACCCCGGTGGGTGCGTACTGCTGAAGAGTAACAAACTAGGACGAAACAGCTGTTCTGGTATACATAGTTGTTATGTATGTGAATATGAGGACCTTGTAGACTACGAGCGGATCTAACTAATGCGCTGGCTAATCTGTCCTGATCGCACGTCAACAGCAACAACAATCCCGCCGGGCACGCAAGACAAATAAGAGAGAAGACTGGACGTTGATATGAGAGCTTTTACTGTCTCAAACAACAGTCGGAAATGTTAAACAACAACTCCGTATTTATACAATTAGAAAAATCAATGTCACATTTTAAAAATATTAACGACCTTGGGAATTCAGTAATTTAAATCAATAATCACGCAGATGCGTGAAATCAACGATTACGCTAGTGTGTGAAATAAATAATGAATATTAATGATTCCCTGCGTATATATTACCTCCCCCTTTTAAAAAGAATCTTGCAACCAGTTTAGTATCTTTTTTTCTTGGGGTCGATTTTGAAATGAACTGTTTGTGTTCGTTTGCGCTGGGATCGTCGGCTGGGTAGCATCTCTTGTTTTGCTTCTGGTTTGACTGGTGGTATTTTGAAAGTTTCCAGTAGTAATTCCAGTGGCAATTTAGGTTCTTGGGATGTAGTATATCGACGTCGTATCTGATTTTTATGTCTAATGCACCATTCATCCCCAACTTTAACCTTGTACATTAGAGTTCCATGTCGACATTCTATCAAACCTTCGGCCCATTTTCTGTTCCTCGGTCGATAATCGCGCACATAGACGGCATCACCCTTGCGGTAATACTTCAAATTATTTCTTCGTTGATGTGACGAAGATGGTAACATGGAGTGGTGATGAGTTCGTAGCATTCGACCCATTAGAAGTTCTGCAGGGCTTTTCTTCTGTTCTGCCAGTGGTGTAGTTCGGTATACAAAAAGAAAGTTTTGTATTGCTTCCGGTTTCGCCCCTCCCCCTGCTTTCAACAACGCTCGTTTGAAAGTGTCGACAAATCTTTCTGCCTGACCGTTGGATTGAGGGTGATAAGGTGGCGTCCGCACATGTTGTATACCGTTTCTCTTGCAAAATTCCTGGAACACTTGTGAGGTGAACTGACTGCCATTGTCAGATACGATGATTTCTGGTATACCGAGACATGCGAAGATCTTTTCCAGGACTGATACTGTTCTGCTGCTAGAAGGTGGTGTCACATGTACTACCTCCGGCCATTTTGAGTAAGAGTCCACGAGAACCAAGTAGTATATACCTTCTATCGGCCCAGCAAAATCCACATGTAGGCGGGACCATGGTTTTGACGTGGGCCATGCTCTCGGTGGCGGATCTTTGGCTGCCATGACAGACATCACTTTCAGTTTTTGAGCAGAGCCTCTCTTACTGGAGCCAACAGTTGCTACTTTGTTGCTACCAGACATCGAAGCACTTTTGGCGCAGCCATACTCACTGTGACGATTCGAAGTTGGTTTTTCATTAATCACGTCATTCTTTCTAATGGGCTTAGGTTTAATATATCTGTCTCTGATTTCTGGCTTTCTTGTTGAGGGTTCAATACTTTCAATCTTATGGCATACACTGCTTAACGGAATCTCTGACAGGTGCAGCTTCTCGAACCAGTCTAAACCCAAGAGGTCAAGGTTTGAATTGTTGATGTAGCATGTGCCGACGAAATGACTATCGCGAAAACCAACGCCACATTTAATTTCTCCATTCAATCGAAGTCTTCCACCACATGCACTAATTGCTATTTGATTTGTCTTCTCTATGGCAGGGCATCCCAACTTCTGCCATAATTTCTTTGATATTATTGTAATATCGGATGCTGTGTCGATTTGTAGGCGTGCCGGTCGTGTATTAATCGTCAGATCGATATATTTGCGAGGTGCTGGAGTACTAATATGATATGTGGCAGTAACACCCAAAGACTTGAGCTTGTTGCGCCGTCTGGGTCGACTACGAGATCTGGGTTGGTTGTTGCGTTTGCAGTAGCCATCTTTGTGACCAACAGTATGGCATTGACGGCATTTATGCTGTTTGAATGGGCACAATTTTGCAAAATGCCAGGAGCCACAGTGCCAGCAGGCTGATGGTGGTTTATGCTGAGGACGAAGCGGTGCGGTTGATGTCGACGGTACTGGATGCACCGCATGCACTTCTGCTGCATTTTGGCTGCCAGACTGCACCAAGACGGTATCGTTGTGAATGTTGATTAAACGCTGATATTCTTCACCGACGTCTTTCAAAGTCATTCGTGGATCTTGTTCCAGACGATTTAATAGACGTGTGCGTATATCAGCAAATTTGGGAGACTGCAAACCACAAATGAAAATCAGTACCTTGAACTGGTCTTCTGAGAGCGATTTCAATTTAAAACGTTCACACGTGCGATTGACTATACCCAACTGAGTATGGATATCATCATTTTCGTTCAGAGATAGTTTCATGCAATGATATCGAATGTTGAATAAAGATCTCTGATCACCGAACTGATGACGAAGGGTATGGACAGTTTCATCGAATGATCTTTCGCTGGGCTTCTGTGGGAGAATTAGGTTGCAATATTTATCCAGCTCATCTGATCCCAATTTACGAAGTAGAAGCCGTACTTTCCAGGCATCATCTTTATCCGCAAAGTCTACTCGAAATAGGTCTTCATATCTGCGAAACCAAGTGTCAAAAGTGACGTTCGCATCTGGATCATAAACAAATTCTGAGATGCTGCTACCAATGCTGTCGTTGGCTGTAGATGAATCGGCAGAGCGTGATATCTGTAGACCAGCAAGCATTTCCATCAATTTTAGCTGCTGTTCCATTAGTTTCTCTAAACGCAGTGGGTCCATCTTCAGCAAACCCGTCGCCAAATTTGTTATGTATGTGAATATGAGGACCTTGTAGACTACGAGCGGATCTAACTAATGCGCTGGCTAATCTGTCCTGATCGCACGTCAACAGCAACAACAATCCCGCCGGGCACGCAAGACAAATAAGAGAGAAGACTGGACGTTGATATGAGAGCTTTTACTGTCTCAAACAACAGTCGAAAATGTTAAACAACAACTCCGTATTTATACAATTAGAAAAATCAATGTCACATTTTAAAAATATTAACGACCTTGGGAATTCAGTAATTTAAATCAATAATCACGCAGATGCGTGAAATCAACGATTACGCTAGTGTGTGAAATAAATAATGAATATTAATGATTCCCTGCGTATATATTAATAGTCGATAAGGGTTAAAAACTGGACCGATTAAGTAATGCTAGATTGTAAAGGAAGTATATACACCATATTTTAATAAAGATATAATAAGATTTAGGAATGATAAGAGAGGGGTTGAAAATATAAGTAAGGTGTGGTACAGAAGTCATCGGTTGGTTTGGTCTTAATAGGCCAACAAGGGATGGACAATGGCTTCACGAACTTCTTTTGAATGAGCATAGTTTAGTTCTAATAGTTCGAATGCCTGTCGCCTCAGCTGTGTGCAGTAAACAAATACGAAGTCTATTGGAAAGATTCGGTGGGATACGACGAATTATCATGAAAGCTCTCATTTTCTCCACTACATGACCGCTATCAATTAAATAAGACAAAATTGAGCTACGGATTGTTTTTGTCTATCCTTTGCCAAACTACGATGGGAGATGTTCACTAACACGTTGGGTAAGCTGTCTAGTAGTAACGCCCAACATAACTGTCACCGCACGTGCAGTTGAATTGATAAATGCACATAGAAGTGGCAAAACTATCAAGCTTATCCTTCTTTTGCGTCCCAATCATTCGTCGGCTAGAGAATGACAAGCATAGGTGTGCTTCATAAAATGTTCTTCGTATACTCCTTGAAAGTCTTTGGAATAAAATCTCACTTGATAAGTCACCATTAAATTGTAACTTAATAAATAGAGGTTTCTTACGTGCAGTCAGAGTCTCCGGGTTTTTCTCCGATGTTTTCATATGTTTCTTTATGAAACTACTCGGATAGCCCATCTTCATCAAGGAATCATGAATATATTCAAATTCCTTTTGTAAGAGGTAGTCTGTACATATCTTTCTTGCTCTGCTCGCAAGACATTTTAAGACATTCCTTTTATATTTAATGGGCACGTAACTAAGGAAGTGTGTGTATTGCCCTGTTTATTGTTTAACAATAAAATATTTATATGTACCTCAATAATTCAACGCCTATTTATATTTTATTTTAGATGGCAGAAATCAACGAGAAAGATGCTGTGCTAAATGAGATGAGTGCAATTCTAGACGCAAGTGCTAAATCGAAAAAACAAGAAGCTGATAAATCAGGACGTGAAGTCGATTTATTACGTAAACAATTGAAAGAAGAAAAACAGTTGAAAAAGTCTGCTATACAAAAAATTGACGATTTAATGTCACAAGTAAGTCTATAAGTGATTTTGAGCATACATTTTGCCATCTTATGTAATCTCATGTGTATTCTCAGGACATAATTTTCAATAGACAACTGAGAAAAGTACAAAGTGTTTGACTCGTTACTATGAGCTGATTGACATAGATGTAATTACTGTCCTCTGATTGCTGCTGTATTCATTGAAGAGTGAAGCGGTTAATTATTAGGCCTCTTCTCCGGAGGACGTACGATCATATTGCATTCTATGCTAGGCATTAAACTGAAATAGTCATAACAAAGAGTGTTCAGTAAAAATATTCACTCTGCTTACCTAATCTAACATTATTATCACTAGCGTATTCCTGAAAGTAAAGCCTCTCTCCCCTGATGTCTTAAAAGAATCGATTTCTTAGCTGGAGTTCCCGTATTATGTAGATAATGTTTTTATGTTAGACAAGGTCGCCAATAAAATATAGTTTTGCAATTTAAAGTGTTCTCTGAGCTGGTTGGTTTAGTTGCGGAGCTTTCGTCGTCCTTCTAGACAACATCCCCTTTCAGCTCAATTTTTTAGCATAAAGTGAAATGATTTAAATTTCTTCATGAGTGATATAATTGCGTATCCCGGCAACCATCTTTACATATGTATTGGCCATTTTCTATTGACTTGGATTTTAAACTTTCTGGTTACCTGATTTGCTTTTTATTGGTTGGTATATTTCGTCTATATTAACGTGCTTGTTAATTGCATTTTCGTCTGAGTACCAGGCTCCTAGGAATTCCCTGTCACTTTTGGCACTCTGTCTAAGATTTTGACATTATCCCAATCAAATTGATGACCATAATTGTTTATATGCATTGATACTAAAGAATTCTAATTCGAAGGGGACGCCCACTTTGACCGAATTAGAATCCAAGAACAAAAATTAGCCGTGAAAAGATACGATAAATGTTCTTTAGTATCAGATCTTAGACACAGGAAACACCAAAAGTGCCAGAGAATTCCTAGAAGCCTGCTACTCAAACTAAAATGCAATTAACAAACACATTAATACAGACCAAATCTACCAACCAATAAAAAGCAAATCAGGTAACCAGAAAGTTTAAAATCCAAGTCAATAGAAAATGGCCAATACATATGTAAAGATGGTTACCGGGAGACGCAATTATATCACTCATGAAGAAATTTAAATCATTTCACTTTATGCTAAAAAATTGAGCTGAAAGGGGATGTTGTCCAGAAGGACGACGAAAGCTCCACAACTAAACCAACCAGCTCAGAGAACACTACTAATTGAAAACACTCAGTTAAAATATGACCATATTTAGGATATGGTTTCGTTAGAACTGTTCTGCATCGATTAGAACACCTCACGTGCTTGGAATCACTTCAATCTTACACAAATCAAACAATCTTCAATAGATATCAATCTTAATTGACTAACGAAACTCTACTACTAACGAAAACACAGTAAGATTTCATTAACTTATGCTATGGAGAAACGGATTAGATTCAAATGCGCAGCAGTATGAAGGACACAGTAATGTTATCTACTCTGCTGAACAACTATCAAAAGCAGTCACTGTAGATAAAAAATATGTTCAATCATACCACAAAGATTCTAATAATGGGATAGATTATTTTTAAAACAACACCTCAATTAAACGGACTTACGGTACACTACAATCTCGTTTATAATGGATATCTGAATGTAGTTAACGGAATCCCTTACGAAATTACTGATCTCCCTAGAGGATGCTTTCTCTTGCTTTACAAGTCTTAGACATGAACGCTAGTAGTAAAACGATAAAATAAGACTAGAGATTTTTAAAAATAAGTGTCTTCAAACAGTAAAACTCTGTAGTACATTGAATAATAGAGTCTGGAAGTAAGTTGGAAAAAGCAAGGAAATAAAGTCACTCAACGAGGTTGCAGAATTTGACTTATTGAGGTGGATCGAATATGTGTTGGGGGGGTCCAATCAATGCCTCCTATGAACAGCTATGATTACTGAAATAGAATTAGAATGAAATATTTAAGTGTTGGTTTGCAGAGATTCGATTGATTACAGGATTTTTCTTCACGAGCTGATATCGGTTAGAGAACCGTTGGGAAACCTGGGAGTCCTGGACAACTGTTTTGCCCTAGTTTGGGACTCTTCATCAGTACGCAACCACCGGGGTTCGAACCCAAGACCCTTCAGTTACAAGATGAGTCCGTAGACCATTAAGCTACTGGTACCCGATCTAATAACCAACCCATGAATTCCAACTTATGCCAATTCATGATATAGCGCAACTACGAGCTAGTGTAATCGGTGAGTATTTGTCCTCATAGCCGACCCGCTGTATCCTTCTGGTCCTAATATTGTTGAGACTTACCTAACTAAGACGTGGAGTTGATCCAGGAAGTCAGTGATTATTAGTCTGCACCATACATAGAGGTAGAGTTCCCCACAGGGTTCTATGAATCAACGGTTAGATACATTTGATGGCACTGCTCATAATACCTCACAGCACCTTAGATGCATTCAAGTATTATCAACTTTGGAATTCTGAATATCTTCACTGGAGTACTGTCTCTACCATGACTGTGTTTATTGGTTACAGTGTCTTGACGTTTCTGTTCGCTTACTTTATTTATGCTTTTCTGAGGTATGTCTAACTGAACTAGCAGACTTCTGTGCAAGATCTACATTGTTAAGTCTGTCCACCAGTCTGTAACATAATTGAACATTAGTAAATGTTTTTAACCTCGCCTAGATTACTAGGTCACTAGTATTCTAGCCGGTCCCAAGCCCGGATAAAGAGGGAGGGTTGGGGCGTGGTGCTAGCAACTCCACCCCCAAAACTTAACCAAATTGCTACTAAAACTTCAACGCACAAATATATTCAAAATTCTAAAATTACAAATAGTGACCTTATTTTTCGCTGGAATCGGGGAAGTGAAATGACGCGGGCTGGTGAAAGCCTTCGGGAAGCCAGTCAGCCGATGTGCCTTCTTTCGATGAAAGCGAAAATAAGGATGGGGACGTGGAATGTTCGTACAATGTACGAAGCTGGGAAGGCTGCTCAGGTAGCCGCAGAAATGAGGAGATATAAAATAGAAGTGTTGGGAATCTGCGAGAGCAGATGGAACAGATGTGGAAGGAGCCAACTATCAACTGGAGAGACAATAATCTACTCCGGTCACCCAGAGGACAATCACGAGCACACCGAGGGAGTAGCCATCATGATGTCACCAACAGCGGCTAAAGCTCTCATGCAGTGGGAACCAATCTCCTCCAGGATAATGACAGCCAGGTTCAACTCAAAAGGAAAAAAGGTTACAATCATTCAGTGCTACGCGCCTACAAACGCCTCAGAACATGAGAAGAAGGAGGATTTCTACAGTCAACTACAAACAGTAATGGACAACGTCCCAAAGAGCGATATCAAAATCCTGATGGGCGACATGAATGCGAAACTGGGAGGAGACAATACAGGAAGAGAACTCACCATGGGTCGTGAGGCCCTCGGTGAAATGAACGAAAATGGTGAACTCTTCTCAGACTTCTGCGCCTTCAATGATTTGGTGATTGGTGGCAGTGTGTTCAAACACAGGGATATACACAAGGCAACATGGATTTCACCAGATGGACACACCAAAAACCAGATAGACTTCATTTCAATCTCAAGGAAGTGGAGACGGAGCCTACTGGACACAAGATCGAGGAGAGGAGCAGATGTGGGTTCAGACCACTATCTGGTACAAGGGACTTTCAAGGTGAAGCTGAAAGCCTCGAGGATACCTGGGGATAGGCCACAATGCAAGTTCAACACTCACAAACTGAAGGACACAATCACACAGGACATTTTCACTGCAACTGTCAGAGCAAAGCAGGAAACACTACGAGGCACCACTGAGGAATCATCCGTGGAAGACCATTGGAACTCTCTGAAGGTAATTTTCAACGAAACGTGCTCAACGGTTTTAGGAAGAAAGAAGAAACAAGACAAGGAATGGCTCTCAACAGACACTTGGAAACTAATAGAGGAGAGGAGAAAGGTGAAAGAGAAAATGATTCAATGCAAAGATGGACAAGAGAAAGAGACGCTGAACTCAACTTACACAGCACTGGACAAAGAAGTGAAGAAGAGTGCCAGGAAGGACAAAAGACAATTCTACGACAACCTGGCTACTGAAGCTGAGAAGGCAGCAGGCAAAAGGGACCTGAGGACACTATATCAGATAACCAAGTCTCTATCCGGGAAGAGATCAACACAAGTGAAACCTATAAAAGACAACCAAGGGAACCCAATTACCAAAGAAGAAAGACAGATTAAACAATGGGCGGACCACTTCAAAGGACTCTTGAACCGACCACCACCTACAACCCGTCCAGTAATACCAACAACAGCACGTACACAACTGCAAGTTGACACCAATCCTCCAACGAAAACTGAAGTCATGAATGCAATCAAGCTTCTGAAAGCTGGAAAAGCAGCTGGACCAGATGGAATACCCCCAGAAGCACTGAAAGCGGACCCAGAAACGACAGCAGATATGCTGACTCCATTATTGCAAAAGATCTGGAAAGAGGGAAAGGTGCCTACTGACTGGAGGAAAGGTTACCTGGTGAAACTACCAAAGAAGGGCGACCTGGGACTCTGCAAGAACTGGCGAGGAATCATGCTCCTGTCGACGCCAAGTAAAATCCTGAGTCGCATCATCCTGGAGAGAATCAAGGACGCACTGGATACAGAACTCCGACCAGAACAAGCTGGATTCAGGAAAGGCAAATCATGTTCTGACCAAATTGCAACTCTACGCATTATCATCGAACAAAGCATGGAATGGCAATCAAATCTCTACCTCAACTTCATAGACTTTGAGAAGGCCTTCGACAGCGTTGACCGCGAAGTAATTTGGAAACTACTCGAGTACTACGGCGTACCCCAAATATTCATCAACCTTATTCAACAGCTGTACGACAACGGCACATGTCAAGTGATCCACAACGGAAAACTCAGCGAGGCGTTTGGAGTAAACACAGGAGTCAGACAAGGGTGCTTATTATCACCAATGATATTCCTAATTGTGGTGGACTGGATTATGCGTCAGACAGTGGGAAACGAGAAGACAGGGATATCCTGGACCGACGTGAAGAACCTAGAAGACCTGGATTTTGCGGATGATTTATGTTTGATGTCACACAAAATCGAAGACTTACAAGCAAAAACCGACAAACTGGTCGAAGAAGCAGCAAAGACAGGACTCCAGGTCAACATAGACAAGACGGAGGTTATGAAAATAACCAACCAACAACAGCAGCAACATCCAGTGCCAATCACCATCAACGGGAGGGATTTGAAAGAGGTTACTTCTTTCACTTATCTGGGGAGCATTGTCTCAACCACAGGAGGAACGGACGAGGATGTCAAATCGAGAATCGGGAAGGCGAGAAACACATTCATCAACCTGAAACCAATCTGGAAATCTTCGTCACTCACCATCAACAACAAAATTCGGATTTTCAATACAAACGTCAAGTCAATTTTGCTTTACGGATCAGAAACTTGGCGGGTCACCAAGAATATTTTCAACAGGTTGCAGACCTTTATCAACAACTGTCTTCGCTCCATACTGAAGATTAGATGGCCAGAAAGAATCACAAACAAGAAGCTATGGGAACAAACGAAACAGGAACCAATCGCTCAACAAATATGCAGGAGAAAGTGGAGATGGATTGGACACTCGCTGAGGAGGCCGTTGAGTGACATCGCGCGTCAAGCCCTCGAGTGGAACCCGAAAGGGAAGCGGCGAGTGGGACGTCCAAGGGTGACATGGAGGAGATCGTGTGAGGAGGAGATGAAACAGTATGGAATAACATGGACGCAAGTGAAAAGAACAGCAGAAGACAGAAGCAAGTGGAGACGTGCAGTTGAAGCCCTATGTTCCACTAGGAACCCAAGGGAACAATAATAATATAATAATAATAAATGTTTTTATTTTACCTAAACCTTGATTGAAGATGCCTACTGAAAATTTAAAAGGCTGAGTTTAGTGAACGAAGAGCATTCTTTTCGATAAATCCGTCTTCATCGGGTTCTACATTTATATGACAGTAAGAATTAAAGAAATACTGTTATTAACAACACTAATGCCATTTTAAATCACATTCAATTAATAGCATCGACAAGTTACATGTGAAAAGCATCAGTAAGCGTGAGAGAGATATATAATATTCATCAACATAACACTAAACTGACTGCATATCAGAAGAACTAAGGGAAGTAACAATGAATTTATGGATTTATAGGTTCGACAACAGGCCAGAGTAGTAATAGTGGCTGGATCTGCCTTTCTTTTGCACGCCCAACTCCGGTTGATTTAGGTGAATTACAATGGCCTCTGTTGTTTGGAGTGCTCGTTATCTAGAGGCTTTTGTGAATTTATTTGATATAATACCCAATAGGCGATAAAGAAAGAATCTTCAATGCTAACTAGCTTTGTGGCCTGTTTGGATGAGGAGACTCTGATATAGAAGAACCTTTATTTAACCACAATAGTAGTTGATCGCAAGCATGGAAAACTAAATTCCTAGAGCAATGATCAATATAACTGGCTCCACAAGAGCACTTGAATTGATGGATACATTTAGAAGTGGCTATCCTAGGTACTTCTTCTTTCAGCTTCAAAATCACAACGGGTTGTGTGGGAAATATAAGCTGCAGCTTACAAGCATTGGACACGTTCTTTAAATCGACTTTCTGAACATGTTGGTTACTATTTCACTTGGTATATCACCTTTGAAATGTGGCCATATATATTCAGAGGATAGTTCTTTTCCTAAAAGGACTAACTAGTTCAAGTCACCATTGATAAGAAAATCACTATAAATCCACAAGGATTTTGAACCTGATTTATTGTTATTATATACAAGGGAATACTGAAATATCCTGACCCTTGAGACAAATAACTTGTAAATATTTCTAATTATTCAGCCTATATATGATTCCCGTTGTCCGTTGTTTTTTTATTCCTTCACGTCCCCAGGGGAACATAGGGCTTCAAGCTAGAGGCTTGAAGTTTCTGTAGCAGTGGTGATTATTTTTACAGTCTGGGGTTGCTAGCCTCATGCCCAACCTTCCCTCTTTACAAGTCATACTACTTGCTTAGCAAGGTGAGGGAGTACGTCGGTGGCAAGGGATCGAACCCCGGACCATGTGCATGTTCGGCGGGCATCCAAGCCTCTGTGCTACCGACGCGTTGTCCATGGGAAACTATTCACAAAATAACAACCTTTTGTAGAATGTGAATGACAGTAAAACAGAAAATAATTCATTCTTTTTCTTTCTAACAAACTTTCCATTGGTATAATAAATAATAAGCGATTTGTGGTGGATCTGAATTATTGAATACCAATTAGTCTATGACCATTTGACGCCTTTAATGGATAGTTTTCTGTTCTGTTTTCCTCTTAATACAGCTATACGAATTTGAAGCAAATCAAGCATTGTCATCAGGTAGTTCTTATATTTTATTATCACTTATACTAATTACATTTTGAAATAGTATATTTTAATTATTCTCAATTCACTTCCAGTAAAAAGTTAGGCACACATTACTAATAAATAGGAGTATGCCACAATTGGGGCAAACTGGTAAAGGCTGGGATAATGGATGATATGGCACTTTTATATTTGTACTGTTCGGCTTCTAGTCGATATTCTTAATCTACTTCTAATCTAGTGAATAATCAGTTAGTAATATGAAGCCTAACCCATATAATACGAGGCATATAATGCCACATGTCAAGTGATCCACAAAGGGGAACTCAGAGAGGCCATTGAAATGAGGAGAGGAATAAGACAAGGCTGCCTCCTATTATTACTGATTACAATCCTGATTGTGATTTACCGGGTTATGCGGCACACTATAAATGGGGAGCAAGAAGACAGATGCGTTTTCTCCAGTCTCACACAAACCCGAAGACTTACAGGCGGAAACCAACAAGTTGTCACAAGGAGCAACAAAGACAGAACTTCAAGTGAACATAGACAAGACGAAGGTGATGACGATACCCACCGACAAACGAAAACAACAAGTCACAATCAATATTCACGAAGGGAATTTCAATGAGGTCACTTCCTTCACTTATCTGGGAGCCATAGTTCCAACTATAGGCAGTCAGCGATGTCAAAACCAGCTAGGACTGGAAAAGAAAGACAGAACTTTATCAATCTGAAATCAGTTTGCAAATCTTTTGTAGTGAGCACAAAGAACAAAATTCTAATTTTCAAAGCCAATGTTAAGTCAGTCACGTCAAGCATTTCCAGCAGGCTACTAAAGATTTTTATCAGCATCTTCTCACGTGACTGTCTGCATACTGAAGATCGGATGGCCTGCTGGCCAGAAAGAATTAGCAACAAGAAACTCTGGGAACGAACCAATCAAGAACCTACTGCTCAACAAATATTCCGAAGAAAATGGAAGTGGATGATACACATGTTGAGTAGACTGTTGGATGACATCTTTCACAAGGCCATCGCCAAAGTGGAACACGGATGCGAAACGATGAATTAAGCGTATGTTCGATGGTGACACGGAGCATATCGTGTCAGACGCAGACGGTAGCCTATGGGTGATCATGGGGTCAGCTAAAGAAAACAGCTGAGAATAGGATTGAATGGCGATGTTCTGCTGTTACCATGATAGTAGAAGTGGTTGAATAATTTTCTTTTGTATGCATTATTCTGGTTCTTCTAACTGAATAGCTAGGGCTTCTACAATGCAAAGAAGATGGAAACGTATTGTCTTTGGCAGGTTGTTCTTCACTTTGTAGATTACTTTGAAGGAGACGTTTGTTGAGATGGAATGACCAATGATGACTAGATGTTTGACTATTGCACTCCTTATACGGCCACTACTTCCTTTCTGCAGCCACGCTGGATAGTGTTCTTTGACCCTCTCTTGACAAGATCCGCGTCTAAAGACCGATGTACCTGGATCCACAGCAACAGGCGAACTGATATATATACGCATAGAAGTGGTCAGGTGTGAAATCTTGTTCTTTTGAGCTTCTGCAGATCAGCAGGCAACTGGAATTCATTGAAGTTTATATATACTACGTTATTTTTTTCCTTTACAGGAGCAAAACAAAAACCAATGTCAGCTAGCGCTTCAAGTAGGCCGGATATTGGACAGCCAACTGGAAGCCTGAGAAAAATGCAAGGAGATAAATCTCGACTTACTAGACCAATTACAGTAAGTGATTGATGAATTATTTCTGTGTGTGTTTTTTAATTTATAAGTCATTAGTTTTGTCATTAAGTGAAAATCAAGTATTTAAGATAAACAAGGTATTATGTAATATGTATATAAATATTCATATTCATAGGGAATTCTACATCTTAAGTAAATCATGGAAGCAATTTTGATTATACGTCAGTATCATTCAACCAGTAATTCCAAAAAGATAATGTATATAACACGAACTGACTGTATTTCATCATAGTCTGTCTGTCTGTTTTCGACATAGAACTTTCCACCGATGTGCAGCAGCTCAAGTCGCCACACTCCCTCCTTGTAGCACACAAAGCAAGAGAAGAAAGTAGGAGAAATGCATATTAGAGACAGTAAACAGAGGTGTGAAACAAAGGTATAGTTATAACGAAGAACAAAACAGTTTAATTGAAAACCATACGTCACAAGAAGTGGATGCATCTGCGCCATTGAGAACGATTTTGAGCCATGTCACCAATTGTTTCGAACCACTGGTTTTTACCGTCCCGAGGATCCTAACCAGTACTTTTCACGGAAGTTCAGAAGTTCCACGGAGAGCACAAAAGCAGCGAAAAAGAGATTCAAAAGAATCTTAGTGAGCAGAAATATACGGTAGAAAGAATAGTATCATAGAAAAACAATAGGGTATTAACGCATATAGAGATCACAGAGAGTGAATACATCTCCACAACACAACAATTTCGAGTTTAAATCACCAGTTGTCTCTAGCCACTGATTCTTAAAATGCTGAGGATCCCAACTAGGTAGTCTGTACCTCCCTAAGTGGCTCATACCAAATGTCAAAGATTTCATGAATTGATACCGAGTTTTAATTTTGACCATGAAAAACACTACAATTTCTACCGAGAATCAATGCTCTAAATTTATCTATATCAAATACAACAAATATAACTCATGGTTTTGGTCGCGCTATGTCATGAATTGGCAGAAGTTAGAATTCATGGACTGGCCATTGGATCGGCTCCGAGTGGCTTAATGGTCTACGAGCTCGCTAGCCTTGTAACCAGAAGGTCCTGGGTTCTAACACGGGTGGGTGAGTACTGATGAAGAGTCCTAAACTAGTGGGACGAAACAGCTGTCCAGTACTCCCAGCTGGTTTTCCAATGGTTCTCTAACTGATGTCAGCTCATGATGAAATCCTCCAATCCAATCAAACAAAATCACTACAAAAGTAATACTTGAATAATATGTAAAATCTTAATCCTTTCATAATACATCTTTCATTCAGTGCATTTCGTTGCATAATACGCTCAATCACCACCAAAAAATCTATTCCTTTTAATCAAGAATTGTCTGACAGTTATCAACAAGTTGAAAATCTTAATGTGCTCAACTTCTAGTTTAAAAGTCAATATTTTTTTCTCCTAAAACTCCATTAGAATTCATTTATATGCTGAGAAGTTGCAACTAAAGTGGTTATGTAATACTCTTTAAGTTGAAAAGCATGATTAATTGGTGATTAAATGACCCTATCCACTTCATTTAAAACACACTTCTCTGAATAAACGAAATAATTTGAAAACCAAAAGAAACCTCAAAACTAAAAAGACTTAGGTATATACAACTATAATAATATAACAACACTTGACAATATACTTCCTGACGAAATCGTTTTCAACATTTATTGATATTGAACAAAGAATACTCTTTTCGATAACCCCTTCATCACCAGGCTCTACAGTTATACATACATTATAGTGAATGAATGAATGAGTGTTATCAACAACATTAATATTGTTTAAATAACATCGAATAAGTAATATCAGTAGATTACAGTTCAATAGCATCAACATAATATAAGCTGAATGTCAGAAAAATTAGTAAATATAATATTACAAATTCATGAATTTATAGTCTCTACTGAAGGCCAGCCAGGGCAGTAGTAGGGGGTTGGACATGCTTCTTTTGAACACAGATCACTGGTTGTTTGAGGCGAATCCCGACAGCCTCTGCTGTTTAGAGGATGCGGTGGTTCGAAGATTTTGGCAATTTTGATTTGGCATTTTTAATCATTTATTGATATCACGAGTGGATAAAGTTAGAGATCACAGGTCACTGAATTCCAGCCCAAGTGGTTGAACAGTCTCTCAGCTTGATCTCGTAACCTGAAGTCATGGGTGCGCACCTCTGAGAAGCCCAAAACTAGGACGAAACAGTCGTTCAGTATTTCCAGTACTGGTTTTCAATGATCTGTCTGTCAGGTGCTGGTTCGTGACGAGAAACTGTCAAATGAAATTAACCACAAATCCTCACAAATTCTATAATCTGATTATGAAAAAGAGAAGACGTTCAGTGAAGAGACTGTTTTCGGCGAATTCATTCACATAGCTGTACAATCGCACTTATATACAATTATTATACATACACAGGAAAATAATTGTATGTAAGTGCGATTGTACAGCTATGTGAATGAATTCGCCGAAAACAGTCTCTTCACTGAACGGCTTCTCTTTTTCATAAGACTCAATGGGTATTTTTAAGCTACTAATATCTGACTGTTGATTAGCCACATTAAAATTAAATCAGTTTTCCTGTCTGACTCTTTCTTAAGTATATTTCATTAATATATGAAGATAAATACAGTCAAAGATCACAGCACAAATCACTGTTATCACATAAAGTCAAACAGCAACATTATGGAGTGGGATAAATCTCTGTCAACCTCTTTCAACAGCTATATATGGCAGTGACACATGTCAATTGATCCACAAAGGAAAACTCAGCGAAGTCTATAAAGTGAAGACAGGATTAAGACAAGACTGTCCACTATCATCGATTATATTTCTAATTGTGGTGGACTGGATTGTACGATACACTGGGCACGAGTAGCGAGAAGACAGGAATACTCTGGACCAATAAGAAGATTCTTCTAAATGTGGATTTAGCAAATAATTTATGTCCAATATCACAAATTTAAAGACTTACAGGCGAAAACCAACAAGTCGACAGCAGAAGAAACTGGAAGCGAAGATAGGACTTCACGTGAATGTAGAGAAGGTAAAGGTGATGAAGATAAACAACCAGCAACAACAACGACAACAAGTACCAATCACTACCAACGGGAGAAATTTGAATGTGATCACTTCCTTCACTCATCTAAGCACCATCATTTCAACTACAGGCAGCACAGATAAGGATATCAAAACCAGAATCACCAATCTAAGACAAACCTTCATCACTGTGAAATCAGTTTGGAAATCTGTTTCACTCAATCGGCATAAAGGATAAACTTCAGATTTTCAACACCAATTTTCGTTGAGTCAGATCCTCTATATGGGTCAGGAACTTGCTACACGAGTTACGAAAGGTTTTCTAACAGGCTACCGCAAACTTTTATAAACAGCTGTCCTCTTCGTTAGCTCTAAACTGAATACTAGATGACCGGCTGACCAGAAAGAATTAGCAGCAAGAATCTCTGAGAACAAATCAATCAAGGACCTACCACCCAACAAATATTCAGAGGAAAATGCACATGGATTGGACACACGCTGAGAAGACTGTTGAGGGATATCAAACGTCAGGCAAACGCTCAAGTGGTACCCGAATGGGAAACGACGAGTCAGGTGTGGTTCCAAGGGTGATATGGAGGCGATCGTGTGAGGAGGTGGTAAAAGCTAGTGAGCAATCGTATGGCCAGCCGTAGAGGACTGCAGAGAACATGACAAAACGGAGATGTGCTGTTGAATCCGTATATTTCACTTGGAACCCAAGGGAATAATAATAATAACATCCCACTTTGAGCTAGAAGCCGAGTAGACCTATGCTACAGAAGATCTAGAAGGTGATTAGCTGTGTTGCGACGCCTACTAAGTATGAGAAACCATCAAAGACTTCAGGTATCAGTTGACGAATAACCTTATAGGTATCTAAATTCCTCAAAGTTCTATTGTATGGGGCTAGATAATAACTACTTTGGTTAACTAAATTTTAAATTGATTGGTGACATACAATGTCCAATTGATTCAACCTATCGTTATGCCTATATCAACATTGAAATACATACAGACAAGGGTTAATGTGTCAACACACTTCAACCTATACTATCAAAATTTAGTTAGACAAAATATTTTATTCATTTGACTACTATACATGTTCCCTTTATAATTTTATGTTTAAGTTCAAATTGTTTTATTAAATATAACATACTAACACATAATTGTTTTATCAATTCAATTATTATACAAACTGTTAAATTTTAGCATGACGATATTATAAAACGTAATGCTATACCATATACATATGAGCACTATACACAATTTAGGAATAAAATGGTGAGAGCATGTTTACCCTAATATTTCTGAATGTTAGCTGTTCAGTTGTTTGTTTGTTTGTTTGTTCAATATCTCAAAAAGGTCGAATGAAAATAAAGGAAGGTGTAGAAAGCACAATGTGAAATTCAATTGCCTATTTACACGACACAGTAGTGTGGTACACTGTAATACTCATAGGATTTCTAACGGGGGGTAAACTCAATTCTAGGAAAAGGTCTTCGGCATTTCAGTCTAGGAACCACTCACTTATTGCGTGAGGGCTCAGTTGCTCTGACTGAGATAGGTGCGGCAGCATTTGAAACTGGGACGCACTGGCTAAAAGTGGAGACACATTTCTAACAGATAAGTTTATTTTAAGTATCACACAGTGATACAGTTTGTTAATAATTGCATGGTGTTTCGAGCATAAATTACTGCTCATAATCATATCAATTAGTCACATGGTTTCAAAATTTGTCTTATATATGTTTTTTCTCTTCTCTTGTGGTCACTTTCCACATCTCCGGCATAGGTGTTGAGTCATTTCGATTGCACGTGTGCGGTGTTGAATCAATCAACAAGGATTCAGTGATTAACCTCTCTCTGTCTCCACCTAACTATTTTACTTCTTAACACTCTCACTCTGTTCAACCCACTATTTTGTTATTATATGCAAGTGAATGCAGTACAATGGCTGAGCTTTTTTCTAGATTATTTAACTTAGCAGGGTCAATAAATCTAGGCCTAGCTAAAGCTTTTATATTCTAATAATCTAATTGACACAGATGTACTAGTTTAACATACGTAATTGACCTCATTAACAGCATTACATGGTATTTGGTAAATTATATTATTTTTCTTAATTGGATCTATTGGGTCCTTAAGCTGACAAAGTTTATTTCTGAGAGAGTTAGTTGGTTGGTTTAAATGCCATCCTAATTTCAGCCTCGTTGAGTATCTTACGTAAGGCGTCTGACTTTCCTTCTTTATACGGCAGTAATCACTGAATCCTTGTTTATCGATTCAACACCGCACATCTGCAATCGAGTTGACTCAACGCCTGTACCTGCACTGGTACCAAAAATCCAAGGGAAAGATTGTAAGAAAAAAGCAATAAACACATCGTGAACCCCTTTGACTAAAAACTGATATGATTATGAGTAATAATTTATGTTCAACACATCATCCAGCTCATAATACTGTGTCATTGTATGTTGTATCAGGCCAAGTTAAACTTTAAGCACCTAACTACCAGTGGAGTGCGACTTCATCATTGACCTTGCAACCCTCACTGAACAAGTTAGTGAACTCCGGTAAATAATCTTGTGATCATCAATAAAATATGCTCATAAAAGTGTAATGCTATGAAGTGGGATATCTGGCAAGTTTCAGCTTGGGTTTCGAAAAGATTAAGTTACGGTTTAAGTCAAGGACAAGTTAGGGTTAGGTTAACCTAATAAAGGCGACATTGGGATTGGTTCGAGTTAGATTACAGTTAGTTTAGGGATATTTTCACGTTAGGGTTAGGCTCAGGAAAGATTAGGGTTATTGTTAGGGTTAGAAGACCTAAATAATTACATGCATAGAGTGCGGTTAAAAATTACTCTGTTGACTTAAGAACAGAACTTATGCACTGTGGTAGAGTATTATTCCACTGTGAGTAAAATTTAGTTTGATAAAGTCTCAGTGTTATACAGTAATATTTACTGATGACCACGTTTCGAGCACAATTTATTGCTCAGTGAATATTGCTGTATTACACTACTAGACTTTATCAAAATAAATTTTACCCACAATAGAATTATACTCTGTTGATACTCCAACCTAAAACTGAGAGATATTTTTATCACATGTGAGAGGAAAGTATCCTCTGTAACACTTTTCTATAGTTTTTATGCATCTTTTTCATAAATATATGTATTGCATACACAAAAATGCCTCCTTCACGTGATTGGTCCGTTCGAAGTCAATTCGCTGATTGGTAGTTAGTGGCGCTTAAAGTTGTTTAACCTTGCCTTGCATCAGATAAACTTATCTAATATGAAATCACATTCTACCACAGTGCCCAAGTACTACACTTATAACAACAGAAGACAAGGGCCAAGCAACAGATCGTTTATTAAGGAAATCAAAGCATATTTATATATTTTCATGTACATTATTATAGTTTAGTTAAGCAAACAAACACAGTCTTCTGATTGGTTGTTTCTCACTTAAAGTTAATCTTTCATCTGTTTGTGACTGTTTCTTGAATGTCAGATCATCTATTTGTTAACTGTATCCGCCTACGCAAAGTCTGCTGTGGTCGGTTTTGAATCAATCTTTGTTCACATTTTCTCACGACAAATCTTGGGAACGTAAATATTAACGTAAATTACTGTCTACCAATTTGGCTAGTAGACAGCTCTCAACACACACTCACCTTAATTACTTCAAAAGAATCTCTGTCACAGTATGTTTATTGTCACTTCTTCGGTTTAGCTTAGATACCACCAGTCGAAGGTTTTTAGACTACTCTCAAAAAAATATCCAGGTGAGAAAAATATGACCTACGCAAATAAATTTTCAGTTTTTGTTTTCATCTTTTTTTATTCAGGTCGGTATACCATCATTACGTGAACGTCTAGCTGAGAGATTACTTAGAAATGGTCCACCCGATACGCATTCACAACTCATTGAAATGCAAAAACAATCGGCAAGTGAACAGTAATACTACTGAGGATAATATTAAAGGCATTTATATACTACATATCATTAACAATTGTCAAAGAAAAATATACTACTGAATTGATTTCATACTAAGATATTGAGAGTGTTGATCGATCCACTTGTGAATGAATATCCGTAATATGTAATTTTTTGAGAGAAAAAAAGAAAAGAAGTATCCTTCTTTACGCATATTTCTTTTATTTTTCACTTCAACATATCTGGGTTCATACAATACTATCTATCCATCATTAGCTAACAGTAACAATTCTAATTTTTATTTTCCGATTAGTGTCCAAGTTAAGGTATGTGTTTGAAATCAAAGACATTATATATCAGACTGAGCTGTTGATTGGATCTGAACAATTTCACTGAAACTACAAAGCATTTAAGATTTTCTTTGGTACTACTTAGTTTTTGTGCTCTGTCATTTAAACATTTCACCAATCCTATTTTTACTGACATAAGATGGGACGATCGGAAGTCTAAATATCTGTTTGAGTGTGTGGGTTTCCTGTAAACACTAGTGTTTAACTTCCCATCTTCTTTCCTTTTTATGTTGCAAACTAACATTGGAAGCTCCCCTTCCTGACTTTCCAATTCATCATAAGTGAATTAAATTGATTCAACCTTCGAGTTGATGTGTTCGAAAAACCTATCTATATCTTGTGTTTTAAGTACAGTGAATTTGTCATCTACATAACTCCACCATACTTTTAGGGTGGGGGTGGGGGTGAACGTCTCAATCGCTACGCTTTTCCACTTATCCATGAATATATCTGCTACAACTGGGGATATTGGTGATCCCATGGCAACTCCTTCAGTTTGTTTGTATACTTCCCCTTAAAAGACACTCAAAATACAAAGCATTTTGCTATATTACTTCCATGCGATATAATAGTGTAACGACAGAAGACAGGGGTGAGCTAACAGATCGTTTATTGAGGAAATCAACAGATATTTTTATGTACATTATTATTCGTTATTACTAGCAGAGAAACAGCGTCTTCTGATTGGTTATTTTCTCACTAAAATTTATTCTGTCATGTCTTTGTGGCCGTTTCCTTGATGGTCAGACCATATATCTGCGAATCGTATCCGCCCATGCAAAGTCTTTGTTCTTGTTCTTTTCTCATGACCAAGATTTGGTAAGTAAAAATTGACGTTAATTGCTGTCTACCAATTTTGGCTAGCAGACAGCTCTCACCACAATAGTACACAGCCGTCTTTTTAATAAGTAAGACCTACTTGTTTGTTCAAACTAGGAGATTTTATCATGATAATCTAAATGTGGGTTAGCAATTAGCTCTCTCTGTTGGTTCCCATGTTAGCAGATTTCTTATTAAATCAACTAGAAATTGTTCATTTAAAACAAACTTATCAGAAAAATTCTCATCTCTCATCTTTTTGAGAAAGTGATTTGGACAGAAATGCAGTAATACCTCCATTCCATGAAGTACACTCAGCTGTCAAATTCATGTGCGAAGAACTCTAAAGTGAAATTGCCTTTTTAGCCATCCTACTGAGAAGAAGAAAAATATTTTGGACCAGACAACAGACACATTTTGACATCTTTATTCCTCTCCAGTATAAAAGAAATTTGGTGAAGAGCCCCCACAGCTATTGAGTCAGAGCTGTCTGTTCAGAAGACTGAAGACGAACTTATGGTTGTATACGACAAGTTAATTTAAAAAAACAGCCACCCTGAATAGTTGATCACTAAACACATGGCCAGGAGAGTTGAAAAGAATTCTTCTCTATCTGTTAAGAAAAGCGTCAATGCAGGTACAACTACAATTCAAAGGTGATATACCAAGTGAAATAGTAACCAACATGTTCAGAAAATCGATTTAAAGAATGTGTCTAATGCTAGTCAGCTGCAGCTTATATTTCCCACACAGCCGGTTGTAATTCCGAAACTGAAAAATAAGCTACCTAATCTATCTATCACATCAACCGCTCTTGTGGAGCCAGTTGTATTGGCTGTTGATCTAGGAGATTAAATTTCCATGTGCGCGAACACTTACTAGTGTGGTTAATAAAGATGTTGTTAAAGCTGTCAGAAGTTTCTCTATTTCAGGTCTCGTTCAAACAAGCCACAAAGCTACTTAGCATTGAAGAGTCTTTCTCTATCACCTATCGGGTATTGTATCGAATAAATTCATAAAGGCCTCTGGATACCCAGCACTCCAAATGACAGAGGCCGTTGTAATTCACCTAAATCAACCGGAGTTGGGTGTGCAAAAGAAAGGCAGATCCAGCAACTATCGCTACCCTGGCCTGTTGTCTAACCTATAAATTCATTGTTACTTCCCTTAGTTCTTCTGATATTCAGTCAGTTTAGTGTTATATTGATGAATATTATATATATATATATATATATATATATATATATATATATATATATCACGTTTACTGATTCTTTTCAAATGTAACTCATCGATACTATTAATTCAGTGTATTTTAAGACGGTATTAGTGTTGTCAATAACAACATTTCTTTAACTATTAATATTACCTGATGAAGACGAATTTGTCGAAAAGAATAGTATTTGTTCGTTAATCAGTCTTTTAAATTTTTAATGGACATCTTCAGTCAGAGAGGGATAGCTCACAATACCTTGGAATGATAAACTTGACTCAATGGTGAATCACAGCATGATCCAAAGTAGTGAGCGGTGTTTTACTTAAGTCTTCTGCTGTCTTGAATGAGTAGTTAAACATTGTCGCTGTCAGGTTATCAGGAGATGATCGTTATTTAGACTTCTAATACAACAATCTTCTATGAACCAATCAAAGAGAAAACGTTGCATCACTTATCTACGGTAAGGTTGTACAAATTCCTTACTTTTACCTTGACTTTCCCTGCTAACGTCCGTCTTCAAACAACTTTAATGTATGGTACTAATACAGACGATCCTAGCAAGCGGGACTTTTTGACACTAAGTATATTAAATACACTATCTCAGTATACAGTAACGTATCAACCACTAACATGGTATTGAATAATGACTGCCTCCAAGTAGGTTCTACAACTTCATTCATTTTAATGTTAAATACTTTTAGGAAACTTGCAATAACATATACTTACTAAGTTTAGTTGTGAAGGGAGAGCCGAGAAGGTACATCGCACTAATCACGGCACTTACTCTACTCGAACTCAGACGGCAGCTAGGTAAGAGCTTGCGGAGAGCTGTCATCAGAAGTGATGACAACCAATGGTGTCAATCAGAGATAGCCACTGTCCCTATTTGTGTTTAATTTCATCAAAGATGTACTAATGGAATTGACTATAGCCGTCATCAGAGACTTAGAGATTAACTTATTGACTTATAATATGCGGGATCATATAGTCCATCTAGGTTAAGACGCCGATAAAATGCAGTTAACATAAGATCTGGTTGGAAAAGAACTACTGGCGGTGAACACAAAACATGGAATCACTCCATGAAATCTTTGACAGTTAGTTTGAGCCAACCACTTAGCGTAGGTAAGCGCAGTCTTCCTGTTCAAGGTGCTCGAGATTCTCAGAACCAATAGCTGGAGACAGCTGGTGATGTGGCTCGAAAACGTTCTCAGTGGTGCAGATTTATCTGTTAAACTCTCATGTTTCTCCACGTTACTATTCTTTCGCCTTCATATTTCTTCTCATGGTGGTTCCTCTCTTTTGTCGTCTATTTGTATGGTAAATGGAGGGAGTATGGCAACTCAAACTGCTGCACTTCTGTGGTCGGTCGGTTTTCGACATAAAACTTTGCGCATATGTGCGGCAGTTCAAGTCGCCACACTCCCTGTAGCACACAAAGCAAGAGAAGAAAGTAGGAGAAATGCATAATATAGACAGTAAACAGAGGTGTGAGACAAAGGAATAGTAATAACAAAGAACAATATAGTGTCATTAGGTATTATAAGTCACAAGGAGTGGATGCATCTGCGCCAGCCATTGAGAACGATTTTGAGCCATGTCACCAATTGTTTCCAACCATTGGTTTTTACCGTCCCGAGGACCCCAACCAGTCAGGAAATCTGCACCTTCTTACATGGCTTAGACTAACTGTTGGAAGATGTAGACTTCCTGGTTGGGGTCCTCGGGACGGTAAAAACCAATGGTTGGAAACAATAGGTGACATGGCTCAAAATCGTTCTCAGTGGCGCAGATGCATCCACTCCTTGTGACTTGTGGTGAAACCAGTCAGTCAATCAGTCATCCCACAGAGTATCTACACAGATATGGTCAAAGAATTAACAAGACAGACGTCAAAACAATTTAATATATATGCATAAATATGCATTATATTTTATTATTACTATAATAAAGGAACCATTTATCCTTTACAAAGATAAAAGGCAGTCGAATGAATTTATTCACATATGAGACTAACAACACATAAATACACACACATAAAGAGTCAAATTTGTAGCACATTATTCATCATTTGTGTAAAGACTAAGTTATCAACCACTTCAACGTTGAGGTTTGCTATTTCTTCATGTCAAATTATTCAGTCTTTTTGAACTTCAATGATGCACTATTGATGCAATAACGTAAACCAGTTGGTTTAGGTCCATCCTCGAATACATGGCCTAAATGAGCATTACACTGAAATAATAAAGTAAACGAATTGAATAAATGTATTATTATTATTAATATTAACTAGTTAACAAATAGTCATTCTTAAAGTGTAGCAAAATTAGCCTTAAAAAACATACAATAGTTATATTATGAACAGTTAGTTCATTATTTATTATGCAAGACAAGACAAATGTCTAACAAGATAGAGAGGAAAAGTTTCTAGATGTATTGAAAGTAACTTAGTAAATAACTTTTTGAAAGAAAGTCTTTTGTAATAAAGTTAGACAATAATCATTGCAACACAAAACGATGTTAATCTACTTCATGAACAAGGAGATTCAAAAACTGGTAGTGTAGAGATAAACATTATCAAAATATTTATTAGACAGTTGAAGGCAATCGACAGGAGGTCAAGCCAGCTGACCTACGTTTCGTGCTTGTTGGCAGTCACCACCAGCCAGTTACAGCAAGGCGTATCTCTGTCAGTCTTCAAGGATCTTATGTCCTTTCTGAGATTAACACCAGCGTCACTCAGTTCTGAAGTCAGTCAGAGACGTTACCATTGAGCTATTCGGGCTCGTGATTGACTTCCTGTAGGACTAACTGTATTGGATACTTTGATGAGACACAAAGTAGTTAGCTTAGTCAGCTTAATTGGAGACTGTGAATCGTTTTAAGGCAAAGAAAAAGAAGAAAAAAACCCAAATAAGATGATACTGCATTCAAGATGAACGACTGAGTATGCTTAACGTTAAGGCAATCCAAATTAAGTCATATCACATAAGGTGTTTTTCTTGACGACAGGCAAATGTTATGGGATTATGTCATTCCTACTCATCAATATGAACCAGTAGTCGTATAAAAGGTTCAGTTTGGCTATCTCTGAAATACCTGTTAAAAAAAATTAATATTCACTGAGTATCTAACTGCTCGTTATCCCTAAAACAAGTTGATCACGCATGATTGTATACTGCTGACAAAGTGTAAGAAAATGAAGCCTATTCGGTATACCTTACAAAACATGACGACATATTTAACTGGTTGAAACCAGTGAATACATATACTGTAGTAAGTAGGTACAAGGTTGAGCTCTGAGTACTTTACATTTTACATCTACCTGCCTATCTAGTCGTGGGTTGGATGAAGAAAGGTTTCTAATTCTCATTACAGAAGTGTAGCAGTTCGAATTACTACATTCCATGCATTACACAAAAAAAAGAAGACAAAAGAGAGGAAAAAAGAAATTTGGAAGAATAACCACAAGCAGTAGTGTGAGGGAGAAAGAGAATAGTAATATGGAAAAACAGAAAGGTTTATTGCATCATAAAGAGTGAATGCATCTGAGCCATTGAGAATGATTTTGAGCCACATCATCGATTGTCTCCAGCCCCATTAGTTCTTACAATACCTACTTGGCTGGTTCAAACTAGCTGTCAACGATTTCATGGAGTGACTCCATGTTTTGGTTTGGACCACCACTAGTTCTTTTCCAACCTGATCCTATAAAGGTTAACATTCCCCATTGACGAAGGCGATGGTCATGCATGAGTAACACATGAAGAAGATAAATAATTAGCAATACTGAAGTGTGACAATAAATTGTCCAAGATCAAATAGTATACATAAAGACAGCTAAGAAAAAAACACATTTATTTATTTTCACCCATAAATTATGCCTTAATTTATTTTCACGCAATTAATATGTATGTTCATTAGGAAATGATGGAGAAGATTTGAATTGCAGGTGGATGAAATTGGTGTAGTTGTGTTCCTTGAGTTGGACAGCTTCGCAAATAAACAATCCAACTGACAAAACCCAACTACACCAATACATGTTCATATTTTAATGGATTAACGGGATTATCATTTCACACTACTGACCAGTAGAACAGGATCCTCTACATATATATTACAGAGCTGTTTTGAATCGTATGAAGTACAGAGCAAGTTTCAAATGGTATATACTAGAAATAAAAATATTTTAGGGAAAGAACAATCTCAACCACATTACATAAAAAAGCACAATCACAACTGATATACATACTTGTTTACAAGAAACTTCTATCCGTTTACTATCGAGTGAATTATCTTCTGTTCGAACAATATTTGTTTGTGAATCATCGCGTCCATCAGATCCATACACTTGATAAAAAGATGGCCAACCTGAACCACTGTCATACTTTGTAGACGACCTACAGTAAAAGAATACAATTATCAGTAACTAGAAACACTTTTATATCCAGTAAAGTTCATCCGTCATGATTTTCGCACAACTTCACTGACATTTAAAATGACGAATGTCGAAGCTGTCTTAATACTGCTTTACTATGCTGAGTTTCTTTGTCAACAGACATTCAAAAATTTATCAGTTATTTAAGTTAAAGTTATAAACTGCGCTTTCGTACACAAAGGGTACCCTTCTTAGTGACTGCTAATTTTGTAGGCATAGAAACAAATTCGCTTAGCTCCTCAGTCTTATATACACTTGATCATAAAGACACTGGTAGTACAGTTCATTGCTTCAAGTAACAAAATAAAGCGGCATTTAATATCGCTGTTTACCGCCTAGTTCATGTGCCTAAAACATCAAGTGAATCAAGTGTTAAGTTTAGACCTATTCCTATTACCTCACCATTTTTACACATAATGGAAAAACTGCTTTTACTTAACCTTGAACCTTCATTGAAGGCTTTTGATCATCCTGAACAATTCGTTTATAAGCATATTAGGTGTACTTTATATGCCACTATTGTCTCACAGCATAATGTCTCTAGTTTAGACAGAGTTGCCTTCCTAGATTACACACATCTGTCTTCGACCCTGTACCTAGGCCTGTTTTGTTAAACAAGCTTGCTGCGATACAAGCACAGTGCTGGATTAATAAATAGTTACATTTTCACTTTTCCGATAAGAAGCACTACACCGTATATAATGGGAAGTCCTCCACTGCTTTACTTACTCCAGCTGACATTCCTCAAGGTGCTGTTCTTTCTTCTTACATGACTTTCCCATTCTAAGTATGCTGATGACCTGACTGTTTTTTAACCAGCTTTCTAAATAAAACTGTTTCAAAAAAATATTTTTTTGTTAGGAATTAGACAGTGGTCCCTGTCTTAATTTAAGGCCCTTCAAATTTCAGGTTGTTAACATCAACGACAATTAATAAAATCCTCCACTTTCAAAATGAATGAAATCCAACCATCAATTAACCAGTTAAAACCTGAAGAATCGCTTCAAAACTTACTCAAACAATTTTGAACCGCAGCATACACAAAGATATTCACCAGTTTCTTTATTATGATAGTATTCACCAGTGAAAGGCTACATAGTTCAATTTAAGAAAATTCAGATTTACTGCTTCAGTGCCTTTAAGTCGTGCTACTCGATATTGTTCAGGAGTAAGTATACTTTTCCAATGATCATCTGACTTTGCTGTAGACATTTTTGAGCACACACGCAGACTAAGATTGTAAATTTTACTAAACAATGCTAAGTGAATTTCTCTTGACCTACTTCAATACGCGCATAAAATGAAGTGGGAATAAATTAGTGCAGAAGCATTTGATTTTATTGTATTCGAAAACCTCTGAAATGAAAAAAAACATTCATTAAACAAGGTGAATCAACACTTTCGGAATCAAAAAAGTAACTCAACCAGAAGTGCGTTTACAAACTAGATTAAATGCTCCAGTTAAACACATAGCTAATCAAAGCATAGTGAGTGGAAAAGATTCTGAAGGCAGAAACAGTGGTTGATCGCTGTAAGGTTATACACGAACCAATACAGATATTGGTGGGAGATGACAGCCATCCAAGAACACTGATCTACACCAACTTCTAGTGTTAAGACGTGGTGACTACTTTTGACCGACTGAATTCAATACAAAACTTTGCAAAGATATGCAGCAGTTCGAGTTTCCACTCTTTATGTAGCACGTAAAGCAAGAGAAGAGAGTAAAGAGAGTGACCACTACAAGCCCCAACGGACTAGTAATTATGAGAATCATAGCACAGATGTTAGGAGTTCGTTTGGCAATCACTCATCTGTCTCGCTGTTACTTCTGATAAGATAACCAGAGAATAATCGAAAGGCCTATATATATATATATATATATATATATATATATACTGTTGTCCTACTTTACAATTGTGATAATGACTACGATGTACTGAATGAAAAGATAGCAGTAATTCCATGTGACCACGTTAGGGGGATGACAGGAGTTTGCGAATCTCCATTCATGGAAATGGCTAGGGTATGTGCCAAAATTTTTGCTGTAACTGTATGTTTATAACTGCACTTTCCAGTGAAAATACGGGAAGTAATTCCCAGAACAAAAATAAAAGTCGACAGATGCAATTGACTGTATTAGGTTTACAGCAGAGCTATGCGGAGAATAACAAACTATGTAGTCAAGACAAAGTATTAACACTTGAGAAACAATCCACTGTAGTTTAAACAAATAAACGACTGGCTATGAAGAACTCCAATGTACCTCAATATCAATTGTAAGAAATACAAAGTTATAAATTCGGGGAACACGGTAACATACTACACACTGCTCAATAATATATAATCTGTCATACAGGCTTCAACTAAGGAAAAAATTTATCCATTGTAGTCATCAGTATAAGGCTGACTCTAATCCTAACACTTAGTGCCACGGTGAAGTTAAACTATCACAGTCAAAGTTAGTGTTTGTCAAAGTTGACTATGGACAATTAATCAGACTTAAAGGACGCTACGGAAGGTCATCGGAGGTAGAGACCATTTCTGCGATTGTGGCATTTGGTGAATGAGTACCATGAAGCTCAAGTATTTAACTAATATGAAAATAATGGATTAATGTGAGTCTTGAAGACGTGTGCGTGGGGAGAATATGAAGATAAGGTCATACAACCCAAGTGGAAGATAAATATCGCCATATATGCCATTTATGATATCAGAAGAAATCAGTTTGTGAGCATAGGTACAGCACTTTACTTAATCCCTGCGTGCTTCTTTTTCCAAATCTAAGCTACCTTTTCAAAATAACTTACGTCTAATATACTGTTGGATTTTGCAAAAGCCTGTAAGGACAGTAGTGGCTGAGACAGAAAATAGCCTGCTCTATACAGTGTAAGAATGTCAGAATTGTAAAGATATAGCGTCATGGAAGCTAGAGGACTGTCTTGGAGAAGTAGCAGTAGTCGTTCATGCTGATGAAACTGTGCGGATAAAGAAGTACAACAGCGTAGCATGAAGTTTTGGTGCTTGGATTTTATGACATTTCACTACAGATAAGCTTTATTGGAATAATCCCTAACAGGAGCGCTGGAGCACTAATTACAATTATTCAGCGCCTGTTTGTCAGGAAGGAATAAGGAGGATTACATCAATTGGATGTATTAGGACTGTTACATGTGATGGGAAGATGACATTTCAGGAGAGTTATCAGGCAGTCACCGTCCGCCATCCTTGGTCCCACAATTACCAACTCCAAACATACAAAAAAATTAACTTACCCTCTCGTGACCAAGAGTCAAGGTCAAACTTGTAATTGTGGCATACAGTACTCAACATCGTTCAACCGTGCCAATATAAATCAAGCTTGTTTCTTTCCACTCTTTTGTTGGTAACATGTAATCCTCCCTGGTCATTAGAGAAATTTAGTTGATTAATCTATCATTCTCGCCTGCTTTTGCTTTTGAAGGCTGTGGGTAGTACGTTTGTTATATTTGAATGCTGGTCGGCTTTATATATATATATATTTATATTTTGACTACAGCTTGATGCCACACCGTATTTTCAGTACAAGTATGGAATTTTCAGCATGGATATCGGTAGCCCAAATTTTGCAGGCCGACCATAGATATCGGGTGTGCGTCGGCAGGGGATCGAACCCCGGACCATGTGCATGGTCGGCGACAGTCCTAACCACTGTACCACCGACGCAGTATATTAATACTGTAGTTCATTTACTGAGGTTAATGTTATTCAATCAGGTTTGTTTAGAATAAACAAAACTCACAAATTGTAACTCATAGGAGAAACATATGAGAAACAAAACAAAAATGTAAGTAGGTGTGCAGAAAATCCAGCCAACTTCATTATTTAAGTGTTAAAATACATAAAGTAGCTAAGAAAAATAAAATAAAATTTTTATACTGGTTAAGTGGTTTTCTCAACAAAAACATTCTGTTAGAGTGGCTATAAAATCAGTCGGTCACAATTTTACATAATTTAAAGAAGGTGAACATGGATGGACATTATACAGCAACTGACTTTATCATGGAGAAACATTATTATGATTATATCGAGCTGATAATGCTTTTATCTTTCTTCCTTAGATAAATGTATCTTAGTGAATTTGCTTACTACTGAATAATATCATAGGGACGAATGGATTCATGTATGAACAATAGTTGGGAAAACTACAAAAAAATTCGTTCTCAGAGTGATTCATTTCATCAGACTCTCTTATTATCGACATGACAACAAAATCACAGAAATTGATTTCACTTGTCAAACTGTCTAGGCAGCTGTTACAGATATATGTATATATATATATTTGCATTAAATTCAGAAGGGAATTAAGTTCCTTCAAGATTGTAGATACACCTTGCTGACGAGTGCCAACAAGTACGATACCTAGGTCCAAAGCTTCATTCCGACAGCCTCCAAACATATAATAACCATAATTCGTAGTACATAATGATGTCAAGCCGCCTAGTATGTTGGCCACATTACAAACGTGATTATTAGAATTCAGTCTACATGAAACAAAGGACTAGATGCTTGACACTAATTACTACCTGGTGATTTAATCAGTGTGCATGGTCGGCGAGAGTCCTAACCACTGTGCCACCAACGCACTGCCGGAATGGGAGTTATTTCACCGGTTAGTCATATTTTCCAGTGAGAATGAGGTTGGAATAGTGTAGTTAATGATGATAAATATGATAAGAACATGGTGATTTGTCTATGTTAGTTCCTGCTACATATATCTCTGTAGAGATTTAGTTTTTATTTGAAGGCGTTCACCGGTGGAGCTGTTATTACTGAATCAGATAAGTGCTGCAGCCGTTGACCACTCTGTGAGAGAAACTTAATTCCACCCGTATTTCGTTCAACCTCGGCTTGAGCACCTTGTGGTGACTCCGTAAATGTATCCTAGAGGGAAAGAAAAGGTTTGAAAGGTCAGTCCCTAAGTCATCACTTAATATACGGTATGCTGAAATTAAATCGTCTCTCTTCCTTTGGAATGATAACGGGGAGAGACTTAAATGCTCCGTCCCCTTATCTTTCCAGGATACGTGCATCCCTTTTGAAGCATGGGCTCACCGTTTTTATGCAGTATTCTGGATGAGATCTGACATATATTGCATAAAGCACTTGGAGTTTACTCTCGTCTAACCGTTCGAAAGCCCTTTGGAGTGCCCACAGCATTCGAAAAGCCTTAGCTGCGGCTTGATTAGAATTATTATTTAAGTCATTGCTTAAGATAATTCTTAAGTCCTTTCGTCCCCTAACATCTGGCAGTTCTATCTCCACCAGGGAGTACGACGTGTGAGACTTCTGACCTACGTGCATTACCGCACTTTTCTCGGAATTAACTTCCTAACTTCGGAGGTCAGCTCATTCCGTTAATTTATCTAGATCGTTTTGTGGTTCCAATCCATCATCGTTACTACTTACGGTTTTCCATATCTAAATATCGTCCGCAAATAGTAAGGAAGATGAGGTAAGGATTTTCGGCACTTCATTTACGTATAAAAGGAACAGCAGGAGGCTGAATAAAGTTCTCCGAGGTACACTATTTAGTACTGCTTTCCACTATGACAGTACACCATTAACCCTTGCCTTCTGCCTTCTATCCATCAGGTAGTCGGTCTAATCCAAAGCTTTTGAGTTCTCTAAGAAGACCTAAATGGGATACCTTATTGAATGCTTTACTAAGATCGATAAAGACAACGTCCAACAGATGGTTCTTATCCCTGGCTTCGACATTATCTTCCCTAGATAGCGGTAAGTCTGTCAGGCAGGATCGTCCTGACCGGAATCCATGCTATCCCACTGCCAGTAAACCATGTTTCTCCATATGAGCTAAGAGCTGATCCCTAATGAGTGTTTCTAATACCTTTGCTATAATGCAGGTCAGACTTACAGGCCGGTAGTTAGATGCTAACTGTCTGTTCCCCTCTTTGAAGATGGGGCCAATAAAAGCATCTTTCCAGTCCCTGGATGGCCTAGCTTGGGTCAGAGAAATTTCAAAAATCTCAGTAAGTGGAGTGTATATTATATCCACCGAAGAGATTAGCAGTCTAAGATGAAGCCCGTCAGGTCCAGGTGGCTTCAACTAAGACAGTTGTTTGAGAGCCACTACATCCTCTACCACAATTGTGCGCACTTTAAGGGATACAGCAGTGACCTCGCTACACCTCTGAGTGGTACAATTAGACGAAAAGACGTCGCAAAAGTGTTCTGAGAGCTTTTCAGCTTTTGTTTCGTTTGACTCGGCCACCTCCCCAGCATTGCTTATGAAGGGTGGTATACCACTGCTAGTTTTAGTCCTGCGGCTGAAATAAGAGTACAGTCTTTTTGGATAATACATACAATCCAGTACCAACTTTCTCTTACTCAATATGACTTTTGTCAATCATATGCTTACAAAGGTTTCGAATTTTGCGGTATTCCATGCAAAACCCATCCGTCTCAGTCACAGTAAACCAGTCCCATAAGGTATTTCTTTTTCTTAAGAACCTTCTTATTCCACTAGTAATCCAAGGTGGTTTATGCGAGAGTTTTCGAGGCGTAGACCAAGGTTCAAAAGGTGCAGTGACGCAGTCTTGTGAATTCCTAAATCCAATGCAAGCTTCCTCACCAGTTGGGGATATATCAACGTACCAGTCAGCTAGGGTTGTCGCACTTCAGATTGCAGGTTTATTCGCTCTCTAAATGCTTGGACGAGCAGCCGTTGACCTGATGTGTTAGCACCAAGTCTAGAGTGAACGAATAATGCTCAGGGTGGTGTCGTGTTGATGCATCGATATGCTGCACAAGTGCGCATTTGAAGACTGTCAGTATGAGTTTCCTGTTGAAACAAACGTACAAGTTAGCTTATGTTAATTCCTCTAGATTAATATGTGGGGCATTAAAGTCAACTACTATGAAACACCTATTTCTACTACTCTGTGTCCTGAGGTGATTTAGTGAGAAATCGTCAACTTGGCTGGCAGGACTTCAATGAATAAACCCAATGTCACAGTGCCTTTGTTCAAGTTAATGACACAGCCTGTGGCCTCACTTGTGTCGCTGTCATTATTCCTATGTCATCCCAGATGCGTAGGGCAAACCCGTCACCTTTCCAACCGATTACTCTGTCTGTTCTAATACAGATGTATCCAGATATGAATGGAGTCAAGTGCACACCCACTAAAAACCATGTTTCAGTGATAGCAATCACATCAGGTTTTATTCTTTCAGACAACGCTTCTAGCCCAGGAAGCTTATTCCAAAGGCTACACGTGTTCATGTACTATATTGAGGGACCTATGTGTATACTCGACGTATGAACAGAGGTCTGGGCAACATAGGCTTCCGAGACCTCACTACCCGAAAACCCAACAGTTTGAAGTCTTTTTAATATTTTTCCAGTCGTGCCTTTTATTCAGCAACGGCTTCTCTGCTTCTAGATAAAGCAATAAGAAGACGTAATTTGTCTGAATCGTGTAATGTATTTGCGCAACACATTTCGAACAATCTGATCACACACGGACTTGTCATAGGAATATATATGAAATTAATAAAGAGGTAAGAGGTGAGAAAAAAATAGACTTAGGTCAAGTTTAAAGGACATATTCAAGGTCAAAGTAACAATGAAGACCACTAAACCAAATAACAGAGGTAATAGTACATCTGCTATGGTGTCAAAACAAAATTTACCAAGGAAGGTTTAATGTGATGACAAATTGGGCAAAGTTAAACTTTAAGCACCAGTAACAACCAATCAGCAAACGACCTTGAACGGACCAATCACATGAAAGAGGCGTCTATGATAAGTGGTAACGTATATTTATAGAAAAATGCATAAAAAATAGGATGAAACAGTTACAACGGGTATCTTTTGCGAACATGGGACAGAAGCATTTCCCAATTCAGCGTGCGACTGTCAATAGAGAAGTCACACCAGATGATAGCCTTTCCACTCGTCGGTATGTAAAACTGATCCCGGTTTCACAAGTCGCTTTATAATAGGTACCAGAGTATTCGCCTTCCTGTTTGCTATTCTTTCAACAAACCCTTTTCGGAGGGATGTGTCGTATAAACCTATGATCCACATGGACTACTACATCGTCCCCACCTAACAACGAAGTACTTCTGTACATTTTCCATGAGGCTGTTTCAGTGTCCAGTAGTTGCAAATGTACAAAATCTGGGTTAGGGAGAGATGCGACCTAGCAAAAAAGTTCCTAAGAAATATTACCCTCTCTAATACTAACTCGCTTCCAGCATATTCCACAACGATGTACAAAACCATCAGTTGACCTACAATAGCTTTTTAGAGTCATTACATCACCACA